GGGGGGGGGGGGGGGGGGGGGGGGGGGGGGGGGGGGGGGGGGGGGGGGGGGGGGGGGGGGGGGGGGGGGGGGGGGGGGGGGGGGGGGGGGGGGGGGGGGGGGGGGGGGGGGGGGGGGGGGGGGGGGGGGGGGGGGGGGGGGGGGGGGGGGGGGGGGGGGGGGGGGGGGGGGGGGGGGGGGGGGGGGGGGGGGGGGGGGGGGGGGGGGGGGGGGGGGGGGGGGGGGGGGGGGGGGGGGGGGGTTGGGGGGGGGGGGGTTTGGGGGGGGGTTTGGGGGTGGGGGGGGGGGGTGGGGGGGGGGGGGGGGGGGGGGGGGGGGGGGTGGGGGGGGGGGGGGGGGGGGGGGGGGGGGGGGGGGGGGGGGGGGGGGGGGGGGGGGGGGGGGGGGGGGGGGGGGGGGGGGGGGGGGGGGGGGGGGGGGGGGGGGGGGGGGGGGGGGGGGGGGGGGGGGGGGGGGGGGGGGGGGGGGGGGGGGGGGGGGGGGGGGGGGGGGGGGGGGGGGGGGGGGGGGGGGGGGGGGGGGGGGGGGGGGGGGGGGGGGGGGGGGGGGGGGGGGGGGGGGGGGGGGGGGGGGGGGGGGGGGGGGGGGGGGGGGGGGGGGGGGGGGGGGGGGGGGGGGGGGGGGGGGGGGGGGGGGGGGGGGGGGGGGGGGGGGGGGGGGGGGGGGGGGGGGGGGGGGGGGGGGGGGGGGGGGGGGGGGGGGGGGGGGGGGGGGGGGGGGGGGGGGGGGGGGGGGGGGGGGGGGGGGGGGGGGGGGGGGGGGGGGGGGGGGGGGGGGGGGGGGGGGGGGGGGGGGGGGGGGGGGGGGGGGGGGGGGGGGGGGGGGGGGGGGGGGGGGGGGGGGGGGGGGGGGGGGGGGGGGGGGGGGGGGGGGGGGGGGGGGGGGGGGGGGGGGGGGGGGGGGGGGGGGGGGGGGGGGGGGGGGGGGGGGGGGGGGGGGGGGGGGGGGGGGGGGGGGGGGGGGGGGGGGGGGGGGGGGGGGGGGGGGGGGGGGGGGGGGGGGGGGGGGGGGGGGGGGGGGGGGGGGGGGGGGGGGGGGGGGGGGGGGGGGGGGGGGGGGGGGGGGGGGGGGGGGGGGGGGGGGGGGGGGGGGGGGGGGGGGGGGGGGGGGGGGGGGGGGGGGGGGGTTGGGGGGGGGGGGAGGTTTTTTTTTTGGGGGAAAAAAAAAAAAGGGGGGGGGGGGGAGGGGGGGGGGGGGGGGTTTTGGGGGGGGGGGGGGGGGGGGGGGGGGGGGGGGGGGGGGGGGGGGGGGGGGGGGGGGGGGGGGGGGGGGGGGGGGGGGGGGGGGGGGGGGGGGGGGGGGGGGGGGGGGGGGGGGGGGGGGGGGGGGGGGGGGGGGGGGGGGGGGGGGGGGGGGGGGGGGGGGGGGGGGGGGGTTTGGGTTTTTGGGGGTGGTTTTTTTGGGGGGGGGGGGGGGGTTGGTTTGGGGGGGGGGGGGGGGGGGGGGGGGGGGGGGGGGGGGGGGGGGGGGGGGGGGAGGGGGGGGGGGGGGGGGGGGGGGGGGGGGGGGGGGGGGGGGGGGGGGGTGTGGGGGGGGGGGGGGGGGGGGGGGGGGGGGGGGGGGGGGGGGGGGGGGGGGGGGGGGGGGGGGGGGGGGGGGGGGGGGGGGGGGGGGGGGGGGGGGGGGGGGGGGGGGGGGGGGGGGGGGGGGGGGGGGGGGGGGGGGGGGGGGGGGGGGGGGGGGGGGGGGGGGGGGGGGGGGGGGGGGGGGGGGGGGGGGGGGGGGGGGGGGGGTTTTTTTTTTTTTGTTTTTTTTTTTTGGTTTTGGTTTTTTGGGGGGGGGGGGGGGGGGGGGGGGGGGGGGGGGGGGGGGGGGGGTTTTTTTTTTGGGGTTGGTTTTTTTTGGGGGGGGGGGGGGGGGGGGGGGGGGGGGGGGGGGGGGGGGGGGGGGGGGGGGGGGGGGGGGGGGGGGGGGGGGGGGGGGGGGGGGGGGGGGGGGGGGGGGGGGGGGGGGGGGGGGGGGGGGGGGGGGGGGGGGGGGGGGGGGGGGGGGGGGGGGGGGGGGGGGGGGGGGGGGGGGGGGGGGTTGGGGGGGGGGTGGTTTGGGGGGGGGGGGGGGGGAAAGGTTTTTGGCCGGGGGCGGGGGGGGGGGGGGGGGGGGGGGGGGGGGGGGGGGGGGGGGGGGGGGGGGGGGGGGGGGGGGGGGGGGGGGGGGTTTGAGGGGGGTTTGGAAAGGGGTTTTTTGAAGGTTGTTTGGGGGGGGGTTTTTGGGGGGGGGTGGGGGTGGGGGGGGGCCGGGGGGGGGGGGGGGGGGGGGGGGGGGGGGGGGGGGGGGGGGGGGGGGGGGGGGGGGGGGGGGGGGGGGGGGGGGGGGGGGGGGGTTGGGGGGGGGGGGGGGGGGGGGGGGGGGGGGGGGGGGGGGGGGGGGGGGGGGGGGGGGGGGGGGGGGGGGGGGGGGGGGGGGGGGGGGGGGGGGGGGGGGGGGGCCCCCGAAAGGGGGGGGGGGGGGGGGGGGGGTTTGGGGGGGGGGGGGGGGGGGGGGGTGGTTTGGGGGGGTGGGGGGGTTGGGGGGGTGGGGGGGGGGGGGGGGGGGGGGGGGGGGGGGGGTGGGGGGGGGGGGGGGGGGGGGGGGGTTTTTGGGGGGGGGGGGGGGGGGGGGGGGGGGGGGGGGGGGGTGGGGGGGCGGGCCGGGGGGGGGGGGGGGATCGGGCGGGGGGGGCTGGGGGGGGGGTTTTTGGGGGGGGGGGGTTTTTTTTGGTTTTTTTGGGGGGGGGGGGGGGGGGGGGGGGTTTTTGTTGGGTTTAAAGGGGGAAAGGGGGGGGGGAGGGGGGGGGGGGGGGGATGGGGGGGGGTTGGGTGTTGGGGGGGGGGGGGGGGGGGGGGGGGGGGGGGGGGGGGGGGGGGGGGGGGGGGGGCCCCCCCCCGGCCGCCCCCGGGGGGGGGGGGGGGGGGGGGGGTTGGGGGGGGGGCCCCCCCCCCCCCCGGGGGGGGGGGGGGGGCCGGGGGGGGGGGGGGGGGCCGGGGGGTTGCGGGGCGGGGGGGGGGGGGGGGGGGGGGGGGGGGGGGGGGGGGGGGGGGGCCCCCCCGGGGGGGGGTTTAAAGAAGGGGGGGGGGCCCGGCGCCCCCGGGGAAATCCGGGGAAAAGGGCCCGGCCGGCCCCCCGGGGGGGGGGGGGGGGGGGCGGGGGTGGGGGGGCCGGCGGGGCAAATTGTGGGGGGGTAAAAAAAGGGGGGGGTTTTTTGTAAAAGAAAAAAAAGGGGGGGGGGGGGGGGGGGGGGGGGGGGGGGGGGGGGGGGGGGAAGGGGGGGGGGGGGGGGGGGGGGGGGGCGAACAAACAGGGCGTTACTACTTATGGTTTTTTAAAGGGGGGTGGGGTGCTTTTCGAACAGGTTAAGCATTATTATTTTTTATATATTTTTAAGTATGTTTTTAAAACCGAACCGTAAAATTGCTATTTACATTTGTCTCTACAAATCAGAAACGATGGGACAATCTCATCAGTGTGCTAGGTCAGTATTAATAGAAGATACCTCGAGATATTTTCTTTTGTTATTTAAAGGCAACATTGAGTAGAATTTTTGGTTTTAGAGAAATTACATATATTTTATAACATTGCAAATTTTTTTTTCGTGTTTTTTCTTGGAGCTCTAAAGTGGAAGCCCGACTAATGGACTAGGGCACAGTAGATTAATCTCCTGGTTTAAAATCCTTTGTGGATTTTCACGAAAGAAACCGAAACAGTACAAAATCGGTGCGATTATTTTTTTATTTATTTATTTTATTTACCGTCGTTATGCCAAAGATACCAAGGAATGGATGATTTTTACAGCGCTCTGAATGCCATACTCAAATGTCACCATTTGAGAGTTGTCCTCACGGACATGAGCGTGAGAAAACGCAGACTTGACCATCAGTGGGTCATCCATAGAGATGTACATAAGTATAGATGGAACTCACCCGATGTCAACACATAAACCCAAATTGACCACCTTACAATCAATTCAAACCGGCGCTCGTCGTTGCTCGATGTCTGAAAGCGAAGATGCGCTATTGCCATGCTTTATTGACTGCCATCTGGCTTGTTATTTTATACAGTTAATGAAAGAACAACTGATAATTTTTCATATTTAATATTTAAAATTAACTAATACTATGTGTAGGTACCTACTAGTGTAAAGCAGAAAAATATGCTTGAATAAAATGCCTGTGCTTTGGTAAGCAAGGGTGTAGGGGTTGCATTTCCCGTAGCGCCGGTCCAAAAAATTTAATATTATTCGGTTAGGTTAGGTTAGTATATTATTTTTTTTTTTAATAACTGTTCAACTGAAACTGATCAACTATGTTTGATTTTCAATTATTTTTAATATTAAAATCGAATACAAAAATCGATTATTTTTATTTATCGATTTTTCATGCTAAAAACAATCGATTAATTTACCGAGAATGTCACATCTCTTATAAAAATGGCGGATTGTTGACAAATTTCAATACATTATTACACAAAACTTTTTTTTTTTTTTAATACTTAGACACGTTTCCGGCAGCAAAAATCACTTGGAGGTGTTCCAATGAAGGTCCCCCGAGACTTCTGCATAATCAGTATCATCGTGCGACGAAATTCTAAACCCAACCCTTACTCATATTTGTATTGTCTGTGCTGTCTTAAAACTAACAATCGAATCTTAACAATTTTTTTTAGGTGCTAAGTCAAAATTAACTTAATTATTATTTTCACCAATCAATCTCCTTCGTGCCTTTTCCATCTACACGACACTGGCAAAGTACCTTGAATGGAATTAAAAAATAAACGTCGTGATGCTACATGACAGGCAAGTGGCAACCCTGGTGGCTGGTGGTAAAATGCTTTGTCTTTACTCTGTGGCCTATGTCCTCTGTCCATATCCATCTAGAAAATATTTACTAATATATGTATAAACATTAGTGCAAACTGCAGAATAACTTTTTCTAATTCCAAGTTTCAAATTTAAATTTTCAATACATTCCCCTTCATTCCAATCTTCTAATTATTATGCAACACATTTTGTATTAAAAATAACCGAGATGGATAAATTAACAGTAATCTCAGGGACACTCTTCATGGCTGCAGATGTGTTTGCTATTGTTAGTTTAGCAATGCCAGATTGGATAATTACTGATGTTGGAGGTAAATGTTGTGAAAGGTTTATATAACTTTCACCTAATCGAGTGTGGAAGATATATTTGGTTTTTTACCCTGTTTACCTTGCAGGTGATACAAGGCTGGGCTTAATGTGGTCATGTATAACGCTGTACAATCGTCCCCAAGTTTGCTTTACTCCAGATCTTCAGCCCGAATGGTTGTTGGCTTTAATATGCATATTTATTGGATGTATATGTATTACAACTACTGTGATTCTTTTAGCATCAAGTCACTTTGATAGGAATGTTATTCCTTATGCTCGCTGGGTAGGGTTCGCTGCAAGTATGTATCATTTCCTTACTTCTGAAATTTATCTGTAAACAACCTAAGTAACAATCTTTGTTTCTGGGTTTATTCAATATACTGTAAGGATGAATTTATGAAAAAAAAAAAAATTATGGCTTGGAATACAAAGTTGGCTGGTTTTTATATTCATAAGTAAAAAAGATGCAGACTTAAGCCTGCATGGGCTATATTTAAGAAGTTTCACAACTTTACCTTATACAACAATATGAAAAAATATACAGCTTTGTGTTTCTGTGTTTTATAAATTTTTTATTTATTTAAGCTCATTGAATTAATATTTGATCTCTTTTTTAGTGGTGGTATTCTGCCTTGCTGCTGTTATTTTCCCTATGGGCTTTCATGTAGATGAGATTGGCGGCCAACCGTACCAACTCCCTAACAGCCATCAAGTGGGAATATCATATATTTTATTTGTATTGTCTCTGTGGATTACTGTGATATCTGAACTATTTGCTGGAAAAGTCTGTTTACCACATTTTTAATATTTTCTGTTAACTTTAATGTTTTTTAGCCCCCAATTGATGTAAAAGTGTATTATATGTATATTGAATCTCAACATTCCAATTTATTGAAAAGATTAAATATAATCAATTAATTTTGTTTTGTATTATATTTACACAAAATTGTCTTAAAAGCTAGCAGATCGGTATCTAAAATTCTATTTCTATTAAGATCTTGCTTTAGCTATCCTTTTTTATACTTATAATGTTAACTATCAAAAATGGCCATTAAATTCTTTCAAATGATTAATAATTTCACCATACTTTTTTCAAATACGAATTACCTACCTTTAAAAATTACATCTCAGAAATTCTTAATGTTAATAAAAAATTATACAAACTACTTTTCTCTGTGATGTTTCAAACAATTAAAATTAATAACTAACTACTGACAAAAAACAATTAAAATGTAACAATTTATTTTCATAAATTAAATCTTACAATCAATAATAATTAATAATGAACTATTAAAAAGCAATAAAAAACATTAATATGTACATATTTTAATCAGAGTCCATTAATTTTACTTAAAACTGTATAACTTTACTAAGCACTTTAAAATGTCTTGATACGAAAACCTCCCAATATGGAATTTCTTCACAGCATGCATAGCAAATCTTCAATAACATAAAGTTCTTGACACCTTGCACCAGCTTTTCAATCTTCTGCTGAACAACTTAAGATTATTATGTGATGCTTTCGCCGCCGCAGCCTAGCAAAACCAATGTGCATAATGATGTGGTCTGGATTCATCGCAAAACTTGAACCTGTGACTATGTAAGCTCTACATAATCACGCAGCAATACGAAACTATTACAGGACGGCTGTCTAACAGAAAATGTTATATATTTGCAACAGCTGGAAGGCTGGCTTTGCAATCTATTTGAGTCTGGTCACAACCAGTGTAAGATAGTGGAAACTGATTTAGGAATTCAGAAGCCTTAGAAGGTGAATCAAACGCCAGCTCCCGAGTGATGAAGTCCACAGGAACACTTTGTCTGTAGCTGTACACATAAGAATATATTATTAAAACACTCCCCGACCAACGGGCAGGTTTAAGCTATTGAACAACAAAAACTTAAACAGAAAATTATAAATATTCTTATAAAAGACATGTTATCTTGTTACTCATATTGTCTTTTTGTAAAACACAAATTTACGGAATAATCACACATGATAATATGTTATTGTATATGTGCAAAAAAGTAGTATGATATTAAAAGGCTTTTAAATGTTTGTTTCAACTATAATAGGGAATTGATTGTATTTCATATATCGTAAATTAAATAAACATTAAGAGACAATAAGGTTCAACAGAACAATACAAAAATAGGACTGTTTTTATACTATTACTATTCAGTTTCAAATAAAACTTACCTGTACATCTCAACTATATATATATATACCTTTAACTACCCTTGAAATTATTAGCATTCTTAACAAAAACCAATTAAAAAACAAAAGGAAAGTAACATACGACTTAATGATGTATTTCAGGTATTGCTTCCGTTCCCTGTCCACAAACCAGTCCATAAGATAGCCAGCCATGAGTGGAGCTGTTTTGTATAGCAAGAAAAATTTGTGAAGGTTGCCAGTAGCCCATGCACATCGAGTTTTTAGGGCATGCTTTATACACTCGTTTTCTCTATCCTCCTTTGATAAAAACTTAAATATTGTGGTTAAATCTATAATAAAGAGATTTAACATTAAGTGTTATTCTATTAAGAAATCATTTAAATTTTATTGGTAAATTTTACTTACCTAAAGTATTTTTAGTAAAAAGGTAATACAGAATTCTATATGCAGTAAATTCAGCTGCATTTGCTCTACTATTAGGCAATTCAGAATATAACATTTTTAATTGTGTTTGGCATTGATTGAATTCTTCATGATCTCCTTTTTCTAATGCTATTCTTGCATGTGTTTCATAAACTTCTACAGTAAAACTGTCTCTTACACCTTGTACCTAAAATATTAGATTCTTTAAACTTTCAGGTATATTATATTACTTTTACTAACTTATTTTTAAATAACATTTAACTCTGTATTAACACATTAACCATGTTTAACCTAGGTTAGGAAGTAACACACAGCTGACCACCTAGTTTACATTACAGAAATGTATTAGTGAAATAACTTATGTCTGCCCCATGAATGTTTTTGAGTGCTTATTATTAAAACTCACCGTTAAATCTTGACGTATGGATTTCAATTGGTCACAAGCATATCTATAGTCCTGTTTCTCAATCCATCTGTCTTTTACATTTCGAAGAGAAAACTTCAGGATATTAATAGGCCGAACCTCACATGCTTCTGGTGCTCTAGTTAGCCTTAAAAACGACTTTTCAATTTCTGTACAGGTACCTACTATGTGTATATTATTAAGCTCATAATCACCCTCAGTATCTACTACTATAGATTTCCTAGGATTTAGTTCCCTATTTGAATTAACTTGTAAAGAACTGGCAATAGAGGGAATATTACTATTTGCAAATCTCTCTGCTCTTTTTTGAAGTTTTTCTGCACTACCTTGAGATTCGTCAATATGAAATTGATAAGCTACCTTCTTAGCCTTCTTTTGATACTTATCATTCTTCTTAGAATCCAATGACAAACGGTCTTTAACTTTTAGTTTACTCTTATTTTTAAAGGTTTTTTTTTCCTCAACTTCATCACCAGAAGCAGATGAGGTACTGAAAATAAAGGTAATTTATAAGTTACAGTAAAAAGACATTTTCTAATTTAATTAGGTTTTATAAAATATTGGCTTTAGATAATGTTTTTCCATGTAAAAAAATATTGGTACTAAGTTGTTATAATTCTTTTATATATATTGTATTTAAGCAAAAACAAACGGTTTCTAAAAAAACCTAGCCTATAACTATAAATATACCCATTCCAATAAACATCAAAATTCTGACATATCTAAAATATAATTAAGTACTGAAATAAATATATTTTTATTCAGCACAATTTCACATATTCAAACGATTGAAGTATTTTAACTATTCATAGTAAACTATGTTTCACAAAATATAGAATTGGAATTGGTTTTTAATTTATAATTTTTTACAATGTAGATGTTATTTGTGATGAAATAAAAAAACTATATAATTTACCTGTGCCTTTTTTTGGAAGGACTTCTTGAACTGCTGTTTGAGTGTTGACGCCGCCTTCTTTGAGGAGTTTTAGTAAAATAAGCTTTTGCTGCTAATATTTGCTTAAGTTTATTTACTTGAGAATTTTCATTTTTTTGATAAAGATTTAATGTCCCTTGAACAGGTTTAACTTGTAAATTATTTCTTTCGCTGTACACACTAGGGATAGGTTCATCATCCCAATTTCTAGTCCATATTTCATCTTTATTTGCTGCAGCTGTTATTCGTCCTTTTAAGCAAATATCAATCTGATCACGATCAAAACATGTTTTGCATTTTTCATAACACCTTTTAATATAACGCTCCAAACTTTCAGGCCACGATCCTGCTGATGTTTGGATGGATGAATTTTGTAAGAAACTTGATGACTCACTATTAAAAGTTGTTGGTTCCTCATTATCAGTAGAATCCTTAGGTTCTTCAAAAGGCTCTGGAATGTCCTCTGTTGCTAAAGGTGGAGGCAGAGGAACATCTAAAGGAGGTGGAGGTGGGGGAGGTTTAGGAAGTTCCTCTGGTGGTGGACAAGGAGGCAATGGTGGCGGATGGTCAGGTAGAGGCGGCAATTGTGACCCAATCTTATTATGGTTACCTCCTTTTTTACGCTTCTTTTTGTTGCTACTGTTGTTGTTGTTATTATTATTATTTAAAAGAGGGTTTTCATTAGGAGGAATAGGTGCAGATTTACGATTAGTATTAAGATTAAACCTGATTGGCGATTGATTGAAGAATGGTCGGTTGGTATCAAGTGGAGACATTCCTAACAACGGGGGCGGAGGCACTGAGAATTGTGGTTGACCAAATTCTGGATTTGAATTTTTGTTCGACGGAAATTGGTGTGCATCGTGAAAGTTGCCGTTGGCCATTTGATTATAATACTGTTGTTGATTATAAAAATTGGGAAACACCCCTCCTTGAAACCCGTTGTATTGATTATATAGACCATACATCCAAGGGTTGTGATTCGGTGGCATACCACTCATGGTTTGCAAAGGTGGTTCTTGTTTACTGTTTTCGGACATGGTGTTATACCATTAAAACTTACAACATAATACCTATGATGAAAAATACCTTTATGGAAATGGTTCAAACTTCAAAATGGCGTTCGACAGACGAAATCACAACGGCGATCGGGGTCAAGTAACTTGGTATAGCTGTTACAGCTTACTTTACTTTTTAACTTACAAGAGAATTATGCATAACAGATAACCTCACCCGTATTCGATGAGCAAACAAAAAATGTACAAAATCACTATCACCTTGAACAAAGTACAAAGCTGTTTTAATACTCGCAATTAGTACCACACCACACATTAATAATATGACAGAAATATGTCTTTTCAGAAACTGATTTATCGTTATACTATAGTGAATAGTCTATACCACAGACTAGTAAATCAAAAGTGTGTTAAAACAGTAGACAATGGAGAAGCCAGTCTGGACTAAAAATTTATTTCTTTCATTTCAGCCCCTTAACGAAAATTTATATTTGTTATGGAATTCATCAAAAATAATAAATTTGCAGTTAATTTTTTTTTGTAAGGAATAGATAAAATAACCATGTTTGCCTATAACAGTGTAAATCAACTAATTTCAATATAGAAATCCAAACACATAAAAGTTATATCCTTTAATTATTTCATATGAAATTTAAGATATCTTCTGTCGAACTATAATGACGTTATTTAAAAAACCCAATACGACCTTACGGAAAAATTGATGAAAATAGTGAACCATAAATATTCTAAGCATTGAGTTAAGTGCATATGCATAACTTATCGCTGTCACTGTCAAGTGACAAACCACAAAGTATTAGTATAATCGATAATAAACAAGACATAACTTTTAAAGTATAAAGTATAAACTATAAGATATAACTGATAAAATTTACCTATAAGGCTTGGGTAGGCGTCGTACGGTATTGAATTCTGAATATTTATGCATTTAAGGGGAATATGTAAGACTTAAATATGCAATGTAAAAATTATCTCTTAAAAGCGCTGTCAATTTAATATTAGAAACATCGTAGTCAAATTAATAATAATGGATACTTTAAAAACACCATCCATACCATCTTTGCTAGATTCTGATATTGAATCAGTGGGAAGCTTTCGCTATGATGACTTTGAAGAAGTAAGTAACTAACTATGCAATAACTACTACTGTAACCAGTTTTTCCATTAACAAATACAAAACAACTATTGTGTTCAATTAATGAAAACCATAATAATAATATGCTTTTTTTAAGTTAGATGAGGAAGAGTATGCACTACCGGCTAGTGAAGCGCCAACTTTAGAAGAAATCTTATCATCTGATGTTAATGAACACACTGAAGTAGAATTGGCTGAAGAAGTGACTGAGAAAGAAGCTAAGGAACCTGCAACATGTTCTGCTTTACAAGTTGATTTCTTGCAAGCAGTCTCACAACAACTTACACAAGCAGAGGTTAAAAATATATATTTTTTTTTGTTAATAAAATTGTGTTATAATCAAGACTTGTTTAATAAGAAACTAGATTGATTGAAATGAGTCAGTGAGCTTATTACATGATAGTTATAGTTAGGTATTATATTCCAAACAGGCCAAACTACAATTATTGGTATCACAAGTTATTAGTTGCCTAATAGCTCACATTTTTATCAGATGAATTTATTGGGCATTTTTTTCAGGAAAGATCTTCTGCTGGACCAGCTACTGCTTTAAGTGTAGGGAGCAATGGTAGACTAACTGTTGGCACTGCTCATGGGCATTTATTATCATTTCATGATCAGACATTAAGGTGGGTATGTAATGGCAATGGAGATTGTGGTGCCGTCACTTGCCTGGCATATAATTATGACAGTACCCGTCTTTTAGTGGGTTTTGCAAGAGGGCATGTTTTCCAGTATGAAAGTATACAAGGTGTTGTATTACGTAAAATTACACTAGGGGGAGAAACTTGGGGTATTTTAAGAGTAACATGGGCAGGTACAGCTGGATTAGCACTGGACACAGGTGGTTCAGTGTGGCTTATAAGATTTTCAAGGCCATTAGGAGTTCGATCTGCAAAAGTATCCTGCCTGTTCTCTGGTGCAAGAGGGGAAGTTTTGGCTATGGCTGCGAGAGATGCCAGAATATTAGCTTTGGTTACTCTCACTCGTGTTATAGTTGTGGCTGGAGGACAGGCTGCTGGAGTACGTATAGCCCAACACTCAAACTTGATGCCTGTGATTGAATGGTTTGATCCCAACAACCGCTTACTAGTATGTGCCAGAGGCTTAGTGCTGCAATGGCTTACTGTAACTATAACTGGACCAGGAAGTAAGTTAGGACTCAAGCCTGTAAAAAGAGTAGAATTAAAAACTTCACCTTTGTGGCTTGGGTGGCTTGGTGGCAGTTTGACAATATTTGATTCTGAGGAGAAACTCCGCCTTTGGGGTGATGACTACGACAAACCATTGGATTTGTCTCATATTGAACCTGTATATGCTTCTGCATTTTTTAAGGTAATTAAAATATTGATTTGTACAATAATATGGTTTTGGAAATAAAATAATTTTTTATTTAAGCCTTAAAGGGAAATTATTTTAGGGACATTGGACAGACGGTCGAGTATCGCAGGCCATGTGTAAAGCCGGCGATAGTGCTTTAGCCGGCGCTTGCGTTTCTGAAGGGACATTGTCTATCCTGGGACGTCGAGGCATTGTCAGAATAGGACCCCGTGATATTCTATCTAGGGCTCAGGCGTTTATGGCTTCAGGACATCATTTACAAGCACTAAAATTGCTTTGCTCCACTCAAGGACCAAAAAGCAGCGAGCTTGCAAGTGAATTCGTTATAAATATTTCCGAGCGACCGCATATACTTAACAATAAAAACGTTGCAGTGCAAGTTGTTAAATTGTGCTTTAAATTTGGACTGACGTAAGTTTTAATGTGGTTTGCTTTCTAGTAAGCCCAATAATTCTCTAATACTTTCATTTTAACCGACTCACTAAGGAACCATTATATTTCTCAATTGTCAACATTTTTAAAATGTTTAACTGAAGTTCCACTCCTATTGGTGCTTGTATGATGAATGCCATTCTCGATAAATATACTATTTTACAAAATATATTTATTACAGTGACGAATTATGGTCGTGTCTATGGGAAAATTGTTCGCAAGAAAATGCGTTTGTAGAGGCACTTGGAGATGCTGCTGTCCGTGGTGACATGGCTAACAACCCGCCAACTCCAGACTTTACTCAGGTAATTGTCAACAGTTTTGAAATATGGTTCACTTGTTTTAAAAGAAATCTAGTGAAAGTTGGTATTATAAATTGGCTGAAGCATTTTGATATATTATTTTATACAAGTCTGTGGCATAAGTTTCTAGTTTGCTTAAACCTTAATTAATCAACTTTTCAGTTTGTGGAATTCGGTTTTTCTTATACGTGCACCCCCGCACAGTACAACCGGTTATATTATATAATTAGATGAGACATTTTTTTTTTCAGGCATTAATGGAGAGGTTGGCCGATTTCGAGCCAGATCTAGTTGAACGTGTAGTCGCATCTTTACCTCTTACAGCCATAGACCCGCACCGCGCCAGTTTGTTTACGCGGGAAAGGAAACTATGGCGGGGCGTTGCGGCTATTGCTGCTGCTCTAGGTACGTTATGTACTTATATAAAAAAAACATTTTATTATAGTGGGATAGATTTTTGTTGACAATAATTATGGCTCTCGGGCTCAGTTTAGATTTTTTTACTTTCTGAAACAAAGACTTATTCTATATACGTAGATTACATCTATGTAGTATAAGTATAGTGGACTTTGTTGAAAAATAAAATTTAATATTTTCCCTCCATAGTTTTTTTATAATATTTTAATACATAAGCAACAGAATAATTGCGATTAATTTTGTTATAAAGATTTTAAAATTGCGGTTGAATATTTAATAGCCGAATTAAGTTTCTGAATGAGATTGTTGAGGTTAATGTTCAACAAAAGAAGAAAGCGTTAATTATGCTTTTTTACTGTATATTGTTTGTCAGAACAGATGGATGTAGCGGTGCCATGCGCGAACTAGTCCAATACGTAGACCCTGAGTGTAGATTGCGTAGCAATTGTCAATGCGCGGGTGGGGCGCTAGTTCTTGCGGCGGCTGACGCGTTGGCCGCTCGTTCGCCCGCTTGTAGACCACTTCCGCCACACGCAAAGCCATCGGCGAGACACGACGCCCTACATACGCTGCTTCATGAGGAGGTAAGCGTACAACGTGATCATGAATGTCTTAATAGACAGATAAACTATGTCTCGTTTACGTTGTTACTGTCTACCAAAGATAGTGTGTACAACGCGTAAAAATCTATTGATATCGATTTTTAAACCTTTTTTTGTTTACTTTAACGTACAATACTAACACATATGTTTGTGCTGTAAGATTTTTTATACGAATATTAGACATGAACGTTTTTACGATAGCATTTAACGAGCGATATTAATACTTGTAAATAATTGTAATGCTAATTAACGCAACTTTTTGAATTAAACTAATCACAGAAGCTGCTAATAGTTATGAAAAACGCTTTAAGTGTTAAGAGGATGAAAGTGAACATAAGAAAAACAAAATCTATGGTATTTGAAAGAGGTGTTACCTCTTTCAAAGGACTGTATTAGATATTTTGTTAGATAAAGAAGAGATTAAGTTCGTGTACCTAGGCTGAATGTTTACTTCGAATGGAAAGTATGACGACGGGAGTGAATGTTGGATGAGGAATAGAAAAAATTCAAGTCAAATAAATGCCGTGGAATAGGATAATAGTGATATACGTGAGCAGTATGGGTTAAAAGAGGACGTAATTCTTAGGTGGTTTGACCATGTAGCGCGGATGAATGAGAAGAGTTCATTCAGTTCTTCATACTCAATATCTTTATTCATATAGGTAAACAAGTACACTTATGAATCGTCAGAAAGAAGTTAAATTAATTGTAAATTTACATTTACTACCAGTTCGCAAGTCAAGGGCGTAGAGCGGGCAAGGAGCCCGTTTCTTGCCAGTTCTTCTTACCAAATAATGTAAATTTAACGTCATTTCTGTTGATGTTCATATTAAGTATACGTGGTTACCTATATGAATAAACTTATTTTGAGTTTGAGAGGTTAACAAGTAGGTTATACAAAGCGACCGAGGATGGTGAGATGTTGGGTAGGCTTTGTCGTACATTCCTGGATCAAATCCAGGAGCATGCTGCATGCATGGTGAATGTCATGAAAAAGGATGAAGCGAAAGAAGTATGTCAGGAACGTAGCAAGTGGAGATCCATGGTGTCTGCCTTCGCCTTTGGGAAAAAGGCGTGATAATTTAAAATATATTTCTTAAAATACTGTTTCTTGTTTTAACCAAAACCAAACCGGCAATTTAGGACTTATATAGAACATGTTCCTAACAGGGTGAAATGAGATGTCCGCTCCGTGCCCTAGTAGAACATGAAACGAGCGCGGCAGTGCGGTTAGTAGAGCAGTGCTCCCGAGACCCGCCCTTCGCTGGCCCTTTAGGGAAACAAAACCGCCTTAGAGTCGCACGCGCCTTGATTTCCTATTCAGTGCACATACAGGTTAGTAAATTAAACGCAGGAAAAAATATATTATATTGTATTTACATTGCATTGAAGAAATAAATAAAATATATTACTATAATGTTCTTTCTATTCATCTTGTTTTTTTAAACATAGGAATTATGCAAGGCAATTGTAATTTCAGGAGCCTGATAGAAAATTAGAAATTTTGCAATTTATAACGGGACAATTGAGCAACGGGTCTCTTCCACTGGACCAGGACCTGATCGAGAAAGTAAAAGATCTGGCTTGCAGCATACCGGGAGAAAAAGCCGAGCGCGCTTGGCTCGACGTCCTACTACGACTCAGGGGACACCGTGAACGTCTACTACAGCACTACCGGGACGCTTTGCCCAGACCGCGGCTACTCTGGAGGATAGACACCCTACTTAATAAACACGAGCTCGCTATCAAAGAATTCTTTGACATCGAAAATCCTTCCGAACGGGACGTCGACGAACTATTTGAGTACATTCAATCGCGAATAGAGGTCGATTCGGCGGCAAAGACCCAACTGCACGAGTATCTTCCCGCGTTGATCAAACTGCGGCCCAACGCCGCCGCGAGCCTGCTCACCGACGAGGCCATGGAATCTCTCGCCCCCGTCGTGAAACAATTGACCCCAGAGCGCACTCTCGAGTTCGGTAAGTGCCTGCTCGACATGGAACGCCTGACGGGCGACGTCGCCGCCCTCTACTTGCGCTGCCTCTGCGTCACCCGACCCGCCGAAGTCAAACACTTTCTGAGCGCTCACGCCGGGATCGTGCGGCCCGAGGACGCGCTCTCTCTAGTCAAAGAGTTGGGGCCGAAACACGCGGAGCCCGTGTGCCTCGAGGCGGCAGGGGACCACGTCGGGGCGCTCGACGCCTCGCTCCGCCTGATCCGAAACGCCTCTGAGGAGAACAGGCCCGCGCTGGCCGTTGAGGCGAGCGAGTTGTGCGTGAGGATCGCCCCCACAGTTCCGCGTAGCGTCGCCGCTGAAATGTGGACCCGCCTCGTGCGCAGCGTAGACGCTCTGCCCCCGGCCACGTTGTTCGAGGCGGTCGCGTACATGCCGCTTGAGGAGTTGCTCGTTAAATCGTGTAATTCCGCACAGGTGAGGAGCATCCTGGCGGACGGAGCGAGCGGCCGGGCCATGTGGCAGTCCGCGAGGAGGATAGCGGGCCGTGAGGCGCACGAGGCGCTCGCGAGGGCCCTGAGTGTCGCGAGGCGAGGTCTGAGAGTTCAGGGCCGCTGCGTGCGGTGCGGCGATCCTCTGGAGGCACGCGTGGGCGTCCGGACGGCGCATTGCTCGCGGGCCTTCCACGCTGACTGCGAAGTGTCCCCTGTGTGCGAGTGCGGGCGGCGCCTTCCTTCGGCCTTGCTCACCCTCCCTCCTCTCGCTGTGCCCCACCCCGTTCCTCCGCAGCAGTTCAAACTTCTTCTTGTGGCTCCTCCGCGACCCGACTTAGAAGGACTAGTGTAGCCGTAAATTATACAGGAACTATTTATAGACATTATTATTGTTATTTAAGGTTATGTTTAAGTATAAAGTTTATTAATATATTATTAAATATTTATAAATCAATTTAATTAATTATTACATAAAAAATATATATTCCCAAATATAAAACATCACACCTCCTGTGCAACAATTTCACTAACAAAATTGTAAGAAAGATATGTGCGCGCATGTGCAGAGTAATGTCTTGGAACCTTTAGTAGTTGTCACGAGTGGCCATGTAACATAAAATAAATAAGTTTTTAAAAGCTTTCCCTGAATTAATGATATATAGCATAGGTGCTATATGTAATAGTTAACACATTTCAGAGTTAAGAATAGAACACAGGCAACTAAAGTGCATAATGAGGAGCATGTGGTGTCAACAGGGTCCCACTCAATGTACTGACATCGGCCACAATAATAACTCAAAGAAAAACTGTTATTAACCAACCTTGTTATACAAAAAAAAACTTTGAGTATGGTCAAACATCCAAACAGTTAGTTCAACAAACGTTTTTTACTGTGTATACGGTTAAGGAAAGCAACGCAAGGCAACCGGCTTGTCTGAGACCAAAAATCTACAAAAAGGTCTCAAGTGTGTCATAAAATATTATATAGCTGAAACGATCAGTAGAACATAAAACTACTATATAGCACTAATAAAAAATTCTCTTCTCACAATGTTCGTTCCCATACTACTCCGAAATTGCTTGACTGATTGTTATGAATGTTTTATGCATATCAAGTCTGAGAATCGGCTATGATACATAATACAAAAATACATACAACCCTTAATTTTCACCCCTCTATGATCAACCCCTATTTTTTGTTATCTGAGGTTTATATAGAGAAAATTCACAGAAAAACCTAAAAAGTTTTCATCCTAGAAAACCGAACAGTTTCTGCATAGCAAAAAACAATGTAAAAATTTTACGTTGGCTCATGGACAATTCAATGGGATTACGAAAAATTTGTAAATCGAGGACGTCGTTATATTTAGGTTGCACTGTATGTTTAGGTTAGACATTTACCCTTAGAAATTTTAGAAACAGAAAATATTTTTTCAAACTCTCAAGAGTTCACCACTGTTATTTAATAAAACCACTAATATAACTATATACTATTTATTACGTTACAATCATTCACAAAACAATACAATGTAATGAGTGATAAAAATGTAATCTTAAACTCTATAGTATTTGTAGGTGTGCATGCAATAAAGGAAAAGTCTATATTAAAGTAAAAATTATCAGATTTTACAACCTTGAATCGACAAGGTTTAAGTAGAACGCAAACTATCAGTAGAACACATTGGTAGAATGTTTATAGTATAAGATACAGGAAATTATGCTATTGTTGTATTTTTTTCTAGCACGATTTTTGCGCGTATTAGCAGTTGAGCCTTATACAATTATAAAGTGTTCTACTCATAGTACAAAATTCACAAAAGGTCACAAATTTATAAAGGATTAAAGTTGGAAGTTCAATCGAAATTCGTTCTCACACACTAATTATGATAGATTATTTTTCTTATAATTACCTAAATATATAATTTTAATATAAACGCGATAAATCGTTTTTTCTTATAACTTTGGGATCCTTATAAATGTGTTTTTTTTATTATAGACATAATATTATAATCTATGGTAGGTACATATAGATGTTTCAATTGCACATGACGTAGGCTAAACATAGGTGTGAAGAAATAAGCCCCTTAAACCGAGATCAGATCAAATTTGATTTCTAATAAACAAAAAAAATTGTGATACATTATAAATCATCGAGCGGCTTACACCCCTGGGATCGTTCGTTCAAATCCCGGCTTAGCACCAATGACTCTATCATTCTATGTGCATGCAATGCTTGCTCTTACAGTCAATGTTTACATCTTGAGGAAACGCATGTGTTAGACCCAAAAATCTACGACATATGGCTGGCTTAGAAGCTTACAATAGAAAATGTTATCTTTATATTGCAACCCAAAAGAGTGGAAAAGAACATTACTAAGCCAATATATATAAAATTTATGTATTTTGCACAGGGGGATTTGGCATAAAAAAGTACACACCTATCTTATGACATGATATTAACCATATTATTGTACTTAGGTCTATTAAGACGTCGTTAATGCTCGTTTTGCAATGCAAATAAGTAATTATGTCTTGAGCCCCGTCAATAATGAATAATGACATATCAGAATATCTTTTGTAACTTTTAGCTAAATTCGGGACCATTCGGGTTATCTAAAACTGTCATGTTTCATATACAATATATTTCATTACTAAAAGGTCAAGTTCAGGTTGGAGATTTCGGAATACAAACATTTGTTGTAAGAAAAAAGTAACAAGGACCATATCATTTCATCATTTAAATGGAACACAAAAAACCTTTTCGGAATACAAACATTTGTCACCGTAAGTAAAAGGAAAAGTAACAAGGACCCATATCCTTTCATCATTTAAACAGAACACAAAAAAACCTATGTATAGTTACATAAACTGTATTGTTGGCTAAATATTCCAAATACCATAAATCATCAAAATGGTGATGATTCCTTTTTGAAAGAAATAAAATAATATTAATCAATATATAATTAGTTCAGCTTAGTACAATTTAAAGTAATTGGTAATTAACTGATTTATTATTATTATATTATTTCTTTTTTTACAGATATGAACATCAACAAAAATGATTCATATATGTTAAATATCAAGAATATACCGGCTTATACATACTAGTATCTAATAATTCACCTTATAACATACACAAAAAAAAATCTTATTATCTATAGCTCTAAGAACGTTTTGATGCCAATCGCCTCATTCAGCATCATCATAACGCACTCTGAAACGAAAGCAATAAAATATATACACAAGAAATCGATTGATTTGTGAACAACATCTACCAATCTGTGTCAAACGACACAAAGTTCTTTTTCAGGACGAAATGATGGCACATCTCCCTCGATTCTGATAGGTCAAGAAATTGACAAGTGACGCTCGCTATAACACAGTTTCGATGCTATCTTACCGTTGCCTTTGCCCCTTGCGTTTGCTGAGACGACGACCCGTAGAGTGTGCTTGAAGAGTGAATCTGTTAGTGCTCTCCCGTGACACTCGAAGACTAGGCGCCTCAATCAAATGCGCCGCATCTACCTATAAACACTTCTATCGTTTCATCATCGCATTTTAGCATATTAATTTGTATTTAGGTGATTGTGTGTAATGTTCAACAGCTCACAAGACAACAGACAGACAACAAGCCCTATCTATAGATGTGAGAAATCGAAAAAAAAAGTTATGAATATTAAACAAAAAAATTACTTACTTTATCCATGAATTTTTTAATTAAATCCGGACAGTTTAAATTCTCCTCTGGTTCCCAAGAGTCAAATTTGTTGGACCACCCTTTCCAATGGATGAGAAACTCTCGTACGCCATTCTTCTTGCAATGGACTTCTAATATGCGGTCCACCTTAAATATTATATTTTAAACATAATATATTTGAATATATTAGGACAGTAAAGAAAACACTAAGAGAATGTTGAACATTGAAAACCCCTTAAATAATACAATTTACATAATAAGTCATTTGAAAGAAAATTATGTAAAATAATTGTAAATACATAACTTCAATCCGGATAAAAATTGTTTTATTAACTTACTTCATACTCAGCATTTTCATCTGCTTGTTCGCTGTCCCAGCTTGTTTTGGTTCTTTTTGCTGGAACCTTGCTTTCTTTCTTTTTAGATTTCCTCTTGCCTTTCTTTATAGGATTTTCTTTCTGCAATTTTATTAAATACACATTTAATATAAGAATATATACAATTTAATAATCTAAAGGTAAATATTAATAAAATAGATATAGCTTTATTAAATTTTAATTCTGTATAATATATGGTAACTGTATATAGAAGAGAAGAGGAATTGTAATAGAAAAATTATAAGTTACATATAAATGCTGTTAAATGTAATAACAAAAAGATGAAATGGAAATACATAGCATATTAAATTTGGACTAAATTTTCTTGTTCTTGTCCATAAATCTCTTTAAAAAAAACAACATGTTTTATACTCACTTCTTCGTTATATTTACTAACAATATCAGGACATGACAATGTGTCATGTGGCTCCCAAGAATCACTATCTGCACTGAATCCTTTCCATCGTATCAAATAGTGAAGCTTACCTTTGATTCTTTTTGAATCTATTATGCTTTCAACCTAAAACATTTAATAAACTAATAAATATTGTCTGTATAATTATTACAACTTAAGTCATTTACAGAATGGGTGACCTCATATTCTTCTTCATCATCTTCTTGTTTGGATTCTCTCACAGTCTTTCCTTTTTTAGCTTTGCCTTTGGCCTTACTTTTTGTAGCTCTTTTTTTTGTTTCTTTAGACACTTCGGAATCCTCATCACTATTGACGTTATTTTTTGTTTCAATTTCTTCATAATTGTCGTCTTTTTTACCTTTTCCACCCTTACTTTTCCTGGATTTACTTCTGGATCTACTGGTATTATGCTCGGAGTCGCCTACGTTGATACCATCACTTTGTTTGGATGCCTCACTTTCATTCTGCTCTCCTGATTGGTCCGCTTCTGGTTGATCGTCGTTAGCAAGCGAACCGGACCCGTTCGTTGAAGAAACGACATCATCGTCTGTTCTGCTTTTCGATATTTTACGCATCCTGAATTTCGGAATGTAGACAATAGTGAACTTTAAAACTATTCTTGCCCAGCCAAATATGGCTTCACACCATTAAAATAGTAAACACGTCTTATATATTACAAACCCAAAGAAAAGGAGGGAATCAGAATAACATTGATAATAATTATGCACGACGCGGTTACAATCCACAGTCCACACTATAGATTACCAACTATACTCACAGACCTTTAAACATAAATTTGTATGATACGCTGCTCAATCTAGTTATTCTATTGTCTATAATATAGCACGTAGGCCATAAACTGCAAAAAAAAAAAAAATCTGGCTAATGCACAAACCGTGCCAGAGCCATAAAGGAAAAAAAAAAAAAAACTGCGAAAAAAGCGCGGGAAACTTCGTTCATGGTAGACGTATTTAATTGAAAATTTAATTTAATTTTACTAGTTAAAACGCGTAGTGCAAATTATTGTATTATATGTAAAATTGTGTGAACGAGCCACCCCCGTGGGATCAATGTATCTGTTGTTTCACAAGATGAATTTGACAAAATGGAAACGTAGGTACTCCGTACGTTGTACCGCACGTTGATATTGCGATTAGCGACTGGCGGCCATCTTAATGACGTATGCGAACTGTCAGTACTCAGTAGAGTTCTTTTCGTGAAAGAGGAGTGAGGACCCCAGACGCTGCGCTGCCCTGCGATTCTGTAACTCGCTTCACACACTCGCAGCGCTGATTTTTGCTGTCAAATCGTTCGTTTCGGTGTCATGTTACAATTTGGTATTCTGATAAACAATAACCGCGACAAAAGCGCCGCTCAAATGAGATTGTTCACATTTGGAACTAAAATTTGGCACTGCTACACTTACGCTCCAAAATTGTTGGTATTTGGTATTCTGATACATACCATTTGACATCTCATCTCACTTAAATGTACATTTTGTACGTCAAATTAAAAGTTGCTCTTCCCTCGCTGAAATCGTCATTTACCAGTGAGTTAGCCATTTTTAGCGAAGTTAAAACTTGTTTTATGTGAAAATATTCTAACATAGGACAATCTATATGTATCTTGGGGTAAGTTTATAAAATAATATTTATAATACAGCATTATTTTACGAAAAAATTATATATATAAACATTAAGCTTCGTGAAATAGAACTTTGTTATTGTTACAGAAGGCCCGTTTCCACTTTAAAAGTTTAAACCTCTATTTCAAGAAATAAATGACCATTAAAAAATTCTTAATATAATATCTATAGATGGCGAAGAAAATGTAGGCACGAAACGCCCAATTGGTTTCTCGGCGTTGGTTACTATCGCTTTTTTCCAATACTCAAGAAATTATATGGTATTGACGAAACCTAGAACATATGCTGCTGAGATGATTTACCTATTTTACATTAAGCATAATATGTAATTTATCAAATAATACTATTTTCCTGCATACTTCGATGAAACAATAATTATGTTATGTAAAAAGTATATTTTATTTACTTATATATGCGGTGTTCTACCTACTTCCAAGTAAAAGATGAGAATAGAGGGTTTAGAAAAGCATTACAATTTTTTATTCAGAGTTTTATTGAATAATTGTGATCAGCGGCCATAGGAACATCACTGTCTGATGAGTGAATGGAAACAGAATCAGATTCTGTTTCAGTATCACTAGCCGTAGATATAATAACTATTTTTTATATTGATACTCTTCCCCGGGGTGACAATTTTTTTCAAAGTACTCGCCGCTGTTATACCTTCTTTTGTAATTCTTGTTACAGTTTTCTCTGATATACCTGCAATTAAAAAATGAACGATTTAAAATATTAGTAAGTTTAAGGTAATAATGCTTATGTACTGTAATGTATATATTCAGTTACCTAGTTTCATCACGTTATGTATTTGTTCAAAAAACCTAACAAACCTACCAATGATGTTGCCTCATATAGGCCTATTGCGCTGTCCTCAAACTGTTTTAACTAAGGTTGCTAAACATCTTGTGAAGATTGCTTAACATCAGGTGAGCCTCCTGTAACATAAAAAAAATTGCTATATTAACCACAGTTGTTCGCTTAGCTTTTTCGCGTGATGAAGATATTGTTGCTGCCTTTTTGGACATCGCTACCGCTTATGATAATGTGAATTCTATTCTACAACGCAAATTAATAGAGCTACAGGTTCCTACATAGACACATGGTGTTTAAATAATTTGATGAAATTAAATGTCAGTCTCATTTACAAACAAGACTAATACAATCAAATTTTCTTATCACATTCAAAACTTACCATTAATTCGTAAATATTTTTCAAGAGACCTCGGGGTAATTTTGGATAAAAATCTGAATTTTAGTGAGCACACGCAAACAGTTGCCAACAAGGCTAATAAAATGCTAGGTTTTGTATTAGGGTCCTCTTCATCCTTTAGTAACGTTCAAAGTACAGTTTCTCTTTACAAATCACTTGTCCGTAGTAGGGCAGACTAGCGTTTTTTACGCGCGCATAAGTTCGTCTTTGGAAGCGCATGAAGGCACGTATATGCGCGCCTTTTGGCACACGCGCAACTCGTACGAGCGTTGACGCGCTTCTCGCTCGTATAAGTTCACAGTTCTGGGTAGAGTGTGTTAAAGTAAACGGTTTTCTGACTAGATGCATCTTTTTCGTGCGAATTTTGAAATTTCGAGAGAATACGCCGAAATATGCCAGTTTACGCGCGTCCGGGTTTTTGATGTGCGTATTGGAGCTCGCGTGTTAGCACGTATTCTAAAACGACCGTATATGCGCAGAAAATAAGCTAGTCTGAAACCGCCCTAATAGTACTGAGTTAAAGCTTACAGGTTTAATGGCCTTCCCCAAGGTTCAGTACTTAGCCCACTTTAATATAACATTTACTCATGATTTATAATCATCTATAAATTCCCATATTAATGTGCTATGCAGATGATCTTTTTTATTCCGTAGATAAAACTATAGATGAGGCGTTCAATTTCAATTTTCTTAATGTCTGGTTGGTTAAAAATAAATTAGATCTATCAGTGTCCAAAAGTTCAATAGTTCTCCAAAAACGTACAAATCCTGTCATAAATGTGACCATAATTGGTCAACCTTTGCGAATTCAAACAAAAATTAAAATTTTTAAGAGTTAAATTTGATTCAAAATTGTCTGGACTTGCCTATTATGGACATGTTGTTATGAAATGTGCACAGCTACTTAATATCATGAAACGCCTTTCAGGTGTATGGTGGGGTGCTCACCCGTTTTCTATGAATATTGTGTATAACGCTCTTGTAAGTCTGTTTTAGATTATGGCACATTTCTATTAGATGGTGGAAGTGTCTTCGGAAGTAAGATCAAGTTTTTGATGTCATTCAGTCAAAAGCTTTGAACTGATTGTGACAGGAGTGATGAAATCTAGCCCAACCAATGCTTTGCAACAAGAATGCTGCAATTCACTTTCAAAATAAAGAATGCAATTTCTAAGTGATCGATTCTTGTTCAAATCTATGCAGTTTTCTAACCATCCTGTACTTAGAAAACTGCATAAATTGAACAATATTATTCAAACATCCCGGCGTCACAACCATTTCTAATAATAAGGTTTCATAAATTTTTAACAATACACAGCCGCATTCATCGATCTCCATCATTACCCATATTTAGTACACAATTCAATTCTTTAATTCTAGCTCCAGATATACGATAAAATATAGGCAGCAAGCAAGATATTCTGGAAACAAATATTCGTTTCCTGAGTATCGTTGAGGAACAAAATTGGGATGGCTTGGATTATATTTTTACAGATGCCTCTAAAATGTCTGTTGATGATTGTGTTGGAGTTGGTTTAGTTCATTGCCAACATAAAATAATACAAATGATTAAACTTCCTCCTGAATCCTCGGTTTTTACTGGAGAGTGTTTTGCTCTTTTAAAAGCTATAGAACTAGTTATCTTTGCATGGATTCCAAGTCAATGTGGTATTAAAGGAAACGAGAAAGCCGATCAGCTTGCCAACGGAGCTATAAAGGATGGAGATATATTGTCCCATAGTTGAATTACTGTCATGATTTGGCTGCTCTTCCCAAAACCCATCTTTGGGAGTGATGGAATGATGTTTGGTTGCGAAGCATCCAGTTCAAAGACTAACTTTATGCTGAAATTCAACCCAGGATCCCCAGTAAACCATGATTCTTTAAAGTTAAAACTTCTAAAATTGTAACTTCCATCATTTCCAGAATGCGTTTAGGACATGTATGTACACCTCAGAAGATATTGGTCACCACGACCATATTTTCTTTTCTTGTTCCCAATATGACCACACCTCCATTCTGAATTCCTTATTAATGTTCAATGTTCCGTTTCCGACTAAAATCTCCTGCCATTTGCTTTATTGTATTATAATGTATTAATATCTTCTTTCAGAATCAATAATAATATTAAGATTTAATATGTTTATGTACATATTTTATGGTAACGATCTTAAAATCTAGGAGGTGTTCCAATCAAGGTGCCCCGAGACTCCTGCATAATCAGTATCAGACCGATTTGAAGGTCCAACCCTATTTTATTTTTAAATAGCTTATCACTTTAGCGTTTCCTTTTGATGCCTTTGTTTATTTTTCCTCGTGTGTAGTTTCCCTACCTTTTACTTGAGAATGGCATAAAGTTAAAACTATTGCCACAAAAAAAAAACGGAGTACCTTACTACTTTCTTCTTTAGTCGATGAATACTGACAGCTCATGTAGGCAGTAGGTATAGTGCGTTTCACGATAGTTCCCTTCGCCGTTAGGTTGGTAGAACTAAAATCAGTGTTGCTACAGTTTGAAGAAATCAAATCACCAAAATCTGGGGTAAACTACTGCAGATAAATTATCTTCATTACGAGGCAGACATTTGGTTTAAAGATACATGTTAATTCGCGCTCCGTGGAATAGGAAACTTGATAAAACTACCCACGTTTCATAATAATCCTTCAGCCATAATGTCATTGTTATGGAACTCTACAAAGGGTAACGATTTTGGAGAAAACATAAATCATGAAATTCCTCAAATAAAAAAGCAAATTTATTTCGTCAAAAAGTTATTCTTTTACTATACGTGTGATCATCTAAAGGACATACATCTGAGTCATGGCTTTCATCCGTATCATCAGATGTGTCGCTATCATCATCTCTTAATTCAATTATAAAATTATCAATTTCACTGTCTACAGATATGCCATCATGGTGATATTTATCTTCCTTTTTTGTTCACGTGGTCGCATTCCTTTTTCCTCTCTTCAGGAGTTATACATGAACATGCTTCTTTTCAAGTAATTTTAACGATGTTTTTTACTTCTTGTCCTACATTTTTTTTCAGCGACTCGTCGTTTTAGTACACTCCATATTAATTCGATAGGATTAAGGTCGCAATGATAGGTGGAAGCCTTACTACTTTATGACCATGTTTTTCAAGCATCAGGTCAGACTCATATTTAAGTGGTTCCTTGTGCTCTTTCACAATCTCATATCATTGAGCTTTTACCATTGTCGGCAAATAAGTAAGACCTTTACTTTTAATCCAATATGTTTTGATCTTTCGTACTTGACATAGTTGGTGCTTTGTTGACACCTATTGTGTGGTAGGATGCATTGTCCATTACAATTGAAGACCGAGGAGGAAGATTTGGCAACAATATTTCCTCAAGCCACTTGTTGAAATTATTCCTGTTAATGTCGTCATTTTTGAACAAAAAACCCATTTTCTTCATTATCCTCCAAAGAGTACCTGGCTGCCCTTAAAATCAATGTCATTTAGTTTTTCGCAATATTTTAGTTACAGTAGGCAACTCCTTTTTAACCACATAAAATTCGTGAATTTTATGCCGGAGCGCACACATTTCAAAATCGTCAAGCTGAATCTTGCTTTCCCGGGGTCGACTTTTGCCAGGCGTTGAAATTTTGGTTGACGTACTAGCAGCCACTTCTCCTTCTTTGGAAATTTTGGTTACAGTGTTTTCGGATAAACCTGAAGACAAATAAATTGTGCGTGTACTAGGTGTACACACGTAAGAAGTGAAACTTCTTTATGATCTTATTTTTTCGAAAAATGATCTACTATATGCAACTTTACAGAAATTCGTTAAATTAGATAAAGTTTAACAAAAGGCTTTTATTATCATAGACATAAATACAAATATTTCATTTTACCTTATTACCTACTACGAAGATTATTATAGAATTTCATTAATTGTAATAGAATTATTACTATCATTGAAAAACGTGACGATTTGCTACAAAATTTCTCCCATACGTCGATAATGAAGTTTAATTCCAACGCCGATAAAGAAGTTTGACTTCAAAAAGCAACATGGCGTGTAACCGAAAAATGTGACGCGTAACGAAAAAATATTACACTAAATTTTTTTCCAACCTCGATAAAGAAGTTTCACTTCAAAAATAGAAAAAAAAAAATAAGTACAAAACCTGTATTTGTAATACAATGTGAAAAACAAAACTTAAATTTTTGAAGTTATACTTCTTTAGGCGCGTTATGAAAAATTTATGATAGTGAAATTTTACGATACGCGCGCACCGTGACACAAAATTATCAGTATGGGCGCCGAGCGTGCGCGATCGAGATGGGAATAAGACAATCTACAAGTAAAAAGAAATAGAATATGCGTGACGTTAGCAGCTATGCCAAGAATTTTGAATGACCATAATGACATTTCTAGTACCTTTTAAACAAATAAAGGAGTTTTAATTATTTCTTCAAAGAAATTTAGCAATGCTTTTTCACAAAGACCTATTGTTACTTAGTTAAAAGGTTATGAAACATACCTAGTTATTAAATTGAATTAATAATATAATAAAATAATAAATAATGATTATTATTAATATTAATTAATAATTGAATAATATACTAAATATTAAATATTGTTAAATTATTAACGCTAAATATTAATTATTTAATATTTAAAAAAAATAAAGAAAGCCAAAGTAGTATAACTTCTTACGCGCGTACATAAGTACACGCACCATTTTTTTTTTAATTCTTGTTAATTTAGGTATCTAGTATGATATTGTCGGGAATTTTATTCGAGGCTGGCCATCCTATTTTGCTTACCTGTCATGGCGGCAACCCGATGACGAACTAATTCATATGGAATTATTGGCCCTTTGTTTGATTTTTCATTTTCACAAAACGATTTCACCTTCAAGACCATCTCCCTTCACCACTTTTTAGTGTTTTTGGCATGATTAAACGCACAAAGCTCTCATAAACCTTTTTTTTTTAATTGCTCTGGCACGATTTGTTGTAGCCAGCGTCAAGTATAGGATTTTTTTTATAATTCGTGCTTGTCTTTAGAAATTCGACCGTGTCCTTCATGTACGGTTTAAGCACTCGCCCGGTACCGCACAACCCTCCCAAAGGCCGAGATCAAATTTAAATTAAATTAAAACTTGTCCTAGAACCGGGAATCGAACCCGGTACCCCTCACCTAGCTGCCACTTAGTAAGACCGCTAGGCTATGAGGCCCCCCAAACCGTGTTTACTGTTTGGTGTTTTGACTTTTGACAAACAGTTTGGCCAACATAACGACGAAGGGAACTATCTCGTGAAACGCACTATACTATATAGGTTAACTAGGTAGAATCAAGAATGTAGATTGTATATAGAGTAGACATTAGAGTTTAGACAATTACTATGCCACTAGTAGTATCTATTTAAAAGTTACTCTGTAGTTTTTCTAATTTGAGGATTCTATTTTTAATGCATAAAATTAACAGCTAAACTAATTTTCTTGCCTAGAAATTGTAGTTATTAAGAATAGCTTGACTTTAAAGTCAAAAATCTCGATTATACTTTGTGTAACACTTAATGACACCATGACTGCTAGAGGTAATATAAAAAACTCTCGAATGCATTTTAAATTTCAAAATGAGTCGAATACCGACTACAAAGGAACAAAACCAACAGCCGAGAAATCATCAATTTTTGAAGTTCTGGCCTTAATGATTGTGCATCTTTGCAAAAAAGTGTTATTCTTTGATACTAATTTAAAAATTGCAATTTATTTAGGTGCACTTTTTTTACTTTCACTTATAGCAGACGTACTTACGTTTCCCAAAACATACTTTTCGAGAAGTGATAACATTTTTAATCAATATTTTGTGAAAATTGGCTGGTTTTGGACACTATTTTTGTCTGTGCCATATGTTGTACTCACAGCTTACACTATTTGTTGTGGGAAGAGAAAAGTAATTCTTACTTCTCATTTATCAAGATTATTAATTGCTACTATATCATGGTACATGTGGACAACAGTTTTTAATATAATAGAAACAAAATATGGCAGATGCAATTCAAACAAATTTGAGAGCAAAGTAACCTGTTTGAAAAATGGACATTTCTGGAATGGCTTTGATATTTCTGGACACTGTTTTATATTGATATATTCCAGCCTAGTCTTGATTGAAGAAGCTAAAGCTATTAATGGTTGGGAAAGAATAAAAGATTATATTAGAGATGAAAATTATACAAGAAGTCAAAATGATAAAACACCAAGTCAAAACCCATTGAGGAATATAAAACCTGATGATTTGAATACTTTAAAGACTTCTTATGAAAAGTTTACACCATATGTCAGGGCACTTCTCATAGCAATTACTTGTCTTCAACTATTATGGGATATAATGTTAGTTTCAACTATATTATATTATCATATTATGGTTGAGAAGTTTATAAGTGGAATTATAGCTATATTATCTTGGTTTGTGACATACAGGGTATGGTATACAATTCCCAACATTATGCCTAAGTTGCCAGGACAAGGCCTGTTCAAGTACAATAGTGATAAACCAGTGCAAGCAAATATACCAACTCGAAAAAGAACTAGTTTAACTAATAGCAAACATTTTATGGGTATGCCCATTAATAAAATCCAGGAAAATGACACAACAGAAGATAGTAGATAAAATAAGGAAATTACTTAAGGTTTAGGGTGTCCTTTTTGTTTTGTTATGGGAAATAATAATTGTACAGTGGTTTTGTTGTAGCTTATATAATTGAGGTTGGTTATCTATGAGGTATATAAGTTTTAATTTATTTAATTCAGCAATTTTATTTCCATTTATTTTGCTGTAAATAACATTTAAATATTTATTTGTTTGTAATTGATGTGACTGTTATTACTGTAATAAACTTGTTTTTTTTAAATTTTGACACCTGATTTTAACTAAATAATTTATTGACAAACACTGAAATGTGAAAAATTTTATTCTCATTTTTATTTGCTTGTCTACAGTATGATATTTTATTTAAAATAGTTATACAATAAATATTTTACTTGTTCAAAACAAATTACTCTTATAGTAAAGATAATACTGAAGTATAATTGAGATTAAGTTATTATGGAACAATTACATTATTACAAATGCAAGTACATTTGTGTAGTACTTCCAAAACACAGCCTAAAACTTTCTTAATACTTTTTCCTTTAATGTATAAGTTTTTTAAAGAAATAGGCCAATGCAAGAACCATTCCTACTGAGATAGCACCTGCTGCCCCAATATATGTGGGAGGCTGTGAAGTAACTATCATTTTTAAATGTACAGGCAGACCTGGTATTGTCTTTTTAAATGATTCTCGTTCCTTTACACGTTCAAAATATTGTTCAATATGAGGACGTTTTCCTCGTGTCCAGAATCTGTCTTCCAGGCCTAACTCCCAGAGACGTTGAAGTAACACAGCTAAATTGATATCAGCAATACTAAATTGCTCACAGCACAGCCAATTTTCTGTAAATTAAATGGAGTATATATGAACATTTCAAAGTAAATGAATATGTTTGTTTTTATGAAGTTTGTGTGAAATAATAAGCATGTATGATGACCAGAAGCAACTTGTTTCATATTAATATAAATAAAGCCTTTATTACTTTTGTCTATTACAATGGCTAAAATTTTAAGTATGCCTGTTTGATGATGTTCATTATAACACCCCTTTACCTTGATATTGTTTTGTTAATTGTTCTTCAACATGTGATAAAACATCATCCACTACATTTAATACTTTCAAATATTCATCTTCATTTGTAATAATTTCATGCTTTCTATCTTGTATTTCTGCTTTATAAAGTAAAACATTTTCAGCTTTTGGATTTGCCTTTGCTAATTTTCGCAAATTTTTTGAGTTCGATAAATCACCATCTAAAATAATAATTAGTTCATCATTGCTCTTTACTAATGTTATTATTCCCCATCAAATTTCATTTAAATACATTACTTTTAAGTACTTCTCGGACAGGTAATATAAATGGCATTTTTGGTGTGCCACACAAGTGAGGGTGAAAGAACGAACCAACAGTGATAAGGCCTGCGGGTAAAGCCTCTATCATCTCTCGAAACATGTTGACATTTTTCATTACTTTGTTGTCTGCCGAAACGTTAATTAATGGGGGAGTTTCTGTAAATATGTAAATCATAATTTGAATATATAAATATAATTAGTGCTACTGAATTATTATAAAAATAATAAACCTTGGTTTAAGTAAAATTCCAAGTAATCCAAAATTCTAGTTGAATCTGGTATTATAGCAGTATTAACTTTTAACACAGGAATTTCCCCTCTGGGATTTATTTCGAGAAACCATGAAGAATATTGCTCCCCTTTTGTAATATCGATTAACAGAGGCTCAAAATCTATATTTTTTTCATATAGTGCCATTAAAACCTTAAAAAAAGAATAAAATTTTTAATAAAAATATTTTCTTAAATATATTAGATTTTTAAACAATTTCTATCATTTTAACATACCTTTTGAGAATAAAAGCTATAGTAGCTACAATATAGAAATATGTTTGTTTTAAATCCATTACTTATCGGAGTATTATTTGTTTTAGGATTTTGTAACTTTTCCACATATTTTTGTACATAATGCATTTCTGTTAAAACAATAATACCGAATCAAAGCACTTCTATTTACTACTGTAAGATATCTAATAAAACTTAAATTGTATTAATTCAACTATATGAAAACTTCCGCAAAGTGTTAGCGATTTACGCAAAAAAATTTAAACTCAACTTAAAAATACAGTCTACCAACTCTTCCAAATTAAAATCAGGTGATAATAATCTAGACATTTGGGTTTCCGGATCCTCTACAAAATTCTAAATAACACTTCCCGGTATGAGATCTGTGTATTATTATTCAAGAGTATAGCACAATAGCACATAATAATGTTAATAAAAAAGACCAAATGATTATTTTAAATAATTTTGCTTACAACATTACTGAAAATATCAAATAGAAATAGATTACGTTTGAGGAATAGAGATAAAAGACATAGTAAATGACTAGATACTAACTCATCTGATCTGTGATCCGACGCTATTGTAGGTATCGTAGCCTGTGCTTTTGACTTCTGAGTTCTGACACAAATTAACGTAAATTGTATTATTGAATTAAATAAATATTACTGAATTTTTAATTTCGGTTGTAGTTACTAGTTATTATAATTTTCTAGGGTATTTGAAAACAATATTATTGTCATTTTACAATTGTTTTACACAATGTTTAAGCAAACCTATATATAAAAAGAAATATTCGTAAGACGCAGTGTACATATTTCTATAATGGAGTCTTCTAATAACACCGATGCAGTCAATCTCGGATTAGGAGAAGTCGAAGCTGAAATCGGTGAAGAATTAAAACAATTGGAAGAAGTATTAAAGGATGCGTACGATACACGAAGTGAGGTTTCAAGTTCGTCCTCGAGTGACTCGAGCAGTCCAAGTATTAGTAGTGTAAGCACAAAATCAAAAGAACGCCGTAGTAACAGAAAACGTGCTAAGTCCAATAGTCATTCTCCTGCTGAAACCAAACGTCGTCGCACATCAGGAGCCGCCAAGATTAAGACATATGACTATATGACGAAATTAAATTACTTGTTTAGGGACACCAGGTTTTTCTTGATTAAATCAAACAATGCAGAGAATATAACTTTGTCAAAAGCCAAAGGGGTTTGGTCAACCTTACCCCAGAATGAAGCAAACTTAAATCAAGCTTACAGGGAATCCAGAAATGTTCTTTTAATATTTTCAGTTAAAGAGAGTGGCAAATTTGCTGGTTTTGCTAGGCTAGGCAGTGAGTCTCGCAGAGATGTCCCTGCAGTTTCTTGGGTGCTACCTCCTGGTTTATCAGCCAAAGTGTTGGATGGGGTGTTTAAAGTTGATTGGATATGTCGAAAAGAATTACCATTCAGCAGTACACTTCATTTATACAATCCTTGGAATGAAGGAAAACCAGTGAAAATAGGCCGAGATGGACAGGAAATTGAACCAAAGGTTGCTGAAGAACTATGTAGATTATTCCCTGAAGATGAAGGTATAGAAATGACTCCAATTCTGAGAAAATCAAAGGAATCCTCTAAAAAAGGATACCTCAAGAGTGGTACTTATAGGACATATAGAGCACCTTTGTCTTCTCGGGGTGGTCAGTTTAGAAGCAGGATTATGAGTACTTCTAGACAAAGGCGTAAAGTTTTTTCTTCACCTAGAAGTCGTTTGGGGTCATATAAAAGAAGATCACCTTCACCTTACTTGAGGGATAGACTCCCGTCATGGTTTGTTCGAGGACGAGATAGTTATGCCAGTAGTGGATCAGCTGCTGCAGAAGCATATGTAGCAGAGTATATGAGATCTATGCATCACCAGCTGCCTCCTTTACCTTATGTGGCTCCACCTGGCTTTAGTGGTGCTCTTCCACCATATGAAGGGCTTCCTCCGCCTCCCCCTCCTCCACCTCGTTACTATGATTTGGGAGAGTACCCACGTTCAGTGCTTGTTTATGATAAAAGGTCATATGAACGTTCAGTTGATGAATTTCTTTGGCGTACATCTGATCGTTCTCAAGGTAGAAGTCGTGATCGTGACTCACATAGATATAGAGATCGTCGATAGAGTTAATCCAACAATGTATGTTTACTTGAAATTAATAAATAAATGTGTTTGAACTTTGAACTTTATTCAGTAAAATTTATCAGTGTTGTGGTGAACTATTTTGAACTTAGTTTTGTTAAGTATGAACATTTTGGCTCATTGAAATATTGTATGGGACTCTGACAGTGAATAAAATAAATAGTTGAAAATTTTAAGTCCTCAGTGATGAGACTTCACTGTGGATTGATACAATGGTGTTAACTAGATAAAGTCAGTTAAGTAACTTTACGGCTGTGAATATCTGTGATAATCTACTTATACACATATATATAATGCACACTAGAGATATAAATATTTTGTAATGTTTCCAGTAAACAATGTTAATTACAACATTTACTCATAATATCATTTGTAATATGTATTCATCAATGATTTCTTTGACATTTTTCATCTGTTAAAAGCCTAATTATCAACCACATAAGGCCACAATGAAATAACACTATGTAGTTAAAAATACTAAAGTATAACTTCAACATTTCTTTTCTAAATATTTACGTCAATGGCTTAACAAGATAGTCTTTAAAAAATAATATTTTGATCACATTCTACATGCAGTCTTATCTATTTTTATTGCTATGATCATAATATTCTCAGCTGCATCAAACACTTATATAATTAATATTTTTATTATTGGCTAACAACAGCTGCCAAATGGTATTTATACCTTACATTCTAATTTATGACGCAGACTGCAAATGTATATCCATTATCCCATGATTATTCTTCTTCTAGCTTCTTAATGAGCTTAAGCTTGAGATAATGATACTTTATATGTTATTCAGTGTACAGGTGTTCTGTTCACTAGTACACTAGTCTATACAAACTACAACTAGGGTATGTCCGGTAACTATGCAAATGAATATGTAAGTGTCTAAACTCTAAAATTAAAATGTATTAAAAAATCTTTTATGCTGTTCACAACAATTTTGTAAAGTTTCGAAATGGCAAATACGTTACTACATAATTAAATTGTTCTGATTTAAAATAAACTACAGCTGATTTCGGGTATAACGACAATGATGAGTCCACTCGAATTATTATATTCGTTATATCCATTATCCGGACGTCTTTACAGGCAAAGGTAAATACAGATTCATATTCTGAGTAGAAACAAAGTTGCTAATCACTTTGTTACTAAACCATAAATAAACTCTAAAACGTATACGCAGGTAGGCGTAGCTACTTAGCCCATATCTATATAAACAAAAGGTCTACGTTTGTTGACCATCTCAATGTTTGTATATGAAAGATAAGAATGTGTCCTTCGCGGCCGACTCCGGTCGCAATATCTGCATGGGATTTATAGGAATTAGTTAAGAAATGATCCATTAACGCAGTCTATACCTGAACGTGGCATCACATCCAGTCGCCAAAGCCATATGAATTTTGTACTAAGGTATAATTTGAGTTTTAGGGTAACGTCGCTAATATCGCGTAATAAATGGAATCCACTGAATTTAGACTATAACCTTAGTTTTTAATATTCCATGCTTATTTATATACAAGGTCGAAATTTCAGAGGGTTAAGGCGCGGTCGGTAGCTACTTGATTCATAATGTGCCTAATCCCGTATCAATATCATCGCGCATTGCTCATTCATTCCCATAACAGGGGCGTAAAATGATCTTTGGTGGAACTTATATAACGGTAGGCGTGGAACCTTAAAAACGCAGGCGCGGCGTTGCCCGCGAGACCTGAGGGGTGAGGGTGCGTCAGTCGGCCCTCAGCGACCGGAGGTGCTGTGCGCCGCGCCCCTCGACGCCAACGCGTGGCCCGGGGCGTGGCGCTTACGTAAACACGCGTGGTACTTTCGTTGCTGTAGCCACGCCACTGTCCGTCCTAGAACGACCCCATGTCGGCCCGCCGCCTTATCAATTTATGTGGATAGCTCACAGCACGCTGCCGCGCCACCGACGCTGCCATTGCCATCACCGTTTTCGGCGCTTATAGGTATTCTACTGATTCTTTTTTTAATATTTTTATTCTATTTTGTATTAATAACGCTTCTGATAAGTACCCGATAGACTGATTTTACTATGGGGGAATATAGGTGGGGAAAATCACCTGTAAAATAATACGAGCTGTAAAATTTATTGACCAGTAAAATCAATAAGTTATTGATAAATAAACAAAGACAAACAAATACGTGTGTAAAACAAACAAAGATGTACACTATCAACTTTATAGCTGAGGGTATAAATTTCCATAGCCGGAATTCCTAAAATATCGATTTGAAAATGCGCAGATAAGATGTGCTACAGGAGGGTGCTACTTTACTAACTTCAAGTTTTAGATAGTCGTCTTGGAGGTATTAGATATTTTTTATAGGACACTTGCGTGTCCACTTATAATGTTCTTTAATTTTATAGGTGCTACGTACTTTACCATATACCTACACCAACATTATTTAGTAACGAAAGAATAGATGTTTTGATGACTAGTATTTATTTATTTAAAACTTTTCTACACAAAAAATTACATAACAAATGGGTTGGTTTTGGTATTATTTTCTTTGTCAAGGACTACGTTATTATTATTGTTGTTTTATGTATTTTAAGGAGAACTATGCTTTGATGCAAAGTTACGTGTAAGCATTTATTCTTGTAGCTATTTTAATACAAATAAATTTCATGCAAAATATTGTAGTAGGTACATATATGTATTTATTAAATACCGCCCGGAGGTTCGCTCATACCTACTACCAAAATGAATTATTATTATTAATTATTACCATGTTTTACATTACATCTTGAATTAATTAATTATAATAATAAAAAAACAAATCTTGAGCCTTTATCAATAGTTAGCCTACTGCGTGATGTAATTACCGTAGGAACAACAAGCAAACACATAGTACCTACTACTCGTACATTTTGTTTACCAAAAATTTTCAAAAAGATATTTGAAATCAATATTGTCTTTATATCATAGGTAGACACTTTCCTATATATAATGCATTCTCTTGTTTGATATCTGCGATAAATGGTATAATATCTACAGCATCAAAAATGAAGATGCAGGCGCGAGCTTCGCTGATGGCGCTGGCCGCGCTGGTAGCGTTGGTAGCTGCAAATGCGGAGCGCGGTGGTGGTATCAAAATCGGTAGCGGTACAATCGGCGGCGGGGGCAGAGAGGGTGCTCGCGGCGGCGGAGTCCGTCTTGGATCCCGTCCGCGGACCTCACCTGCTCCCCAAATACCGCGACAACCCTCTGTGATCACCGCTGCCCTTGTCGTGCCGCACAAGGCTTTCGGCGCACGTGATTACACAAGGGCCGAGAAGGCAGCCTTATCAAAATTGCCGCGTAAATTAAAACTCTTCTCACAAGTGCGTCTGAATATAACGCTTTCTATGCAGGGCTTGACGCCTAGTCCTATGTGTAAGTTTTAATAAACGTTATAATTAATTATGCTAGATACTAATTTTTGAATTTGCAAGACTTTAAAATTGCCAGTGTATCTATACATCTTTATAAGATTGCATGAAAAAGGAATGGTATAAATAGTATTCTTAACCCGATACCTAAATAAATCCTATACATACTTAGATAACATGAAACGCACGTGCAGTGCATGCAAGACTGATACGCCTAGCAATTTTATCTAGCTAAATCTTCACTGTCTTCCTTAAATAGCACTCTAGAAGTGAGTTAAACATTATTGATGCTTTCAGCTATCTTGGACTCGCTATGTAAAGAATTTTTAGCAGTCAACGTGTCTGCTATACTATATCTTATGAATCATGAACAATATGGGCGGTCTACTGCCTCTGCACAATATTTTCTACAGCTGGCCGGATATCTTGGCATACCGGTAAAGCTTTTTATGACTTCCTATACTTCGCTTTCACATAGAAACGATTATGTACCAACTAGTAAAGCATTTTTTGGCATGCGTAAAATGTTTGTGCATAACATTTAGTTGGGTTTCCGGTTTCTCATAGGTCATTGCGTGGAACGCTGATAACAGCGGGTTAGAGAAGCATGCGTCGCATGCATCCTTGAGATTGCAATTGGCCCCAACAATTGAACATCAAACTGCAGCAATGCTTTCTATTCTGGAGAGGTATAAATGGCATCAGTTCAGTGTGGTCACATCTGCTATAGCAGGGCATGATGATTTTATTCAAGCCGTTCGTGAAAGAGTTTCCTCGCTACAAGTAAGAGAAAGTTTTACAACATTACATTCTTATTAAGAATGATAGTATTTTTTTTTGGTCCATAAGCCCGAGGTAAAATAGTAGGAAATTATATCTAAACGAAGGTATATATTTATATTACCTTGGTATTGCTTTCATATAATATAAATATGTACCTATAAATGATAAAGCAAGCCTGAATAAATATGATCACCCCATTTTGATGTGGGTTTTTGATCATATGATGACTGACCATCGAAAGTCTCTGACAGTTTGAAATAAAAATGCTGACTTTTCAGGATCGTTTTAAATTCACAATATTAAACGCAGTGGTAGTGAAGAAACCAGCTGATCTCAACGAGTTGGTGACTAGTGAAGCAAGAGTTATGCTATTGTATGCCACGCGGGACGAAGCCGCTGATATTCTTTCTACTGCCGGAGATTTACACCTCACCGGAGAAAGTTACGTTTGGATCGTAACTCAAAGTGTCTTGGGGTCTATGCAGCCGCCGAACAAATTTCCTGTAGGCATGCTGGGTGGGTAATTGCTGTCTTTGTAGCCGTGAATACTAAGCAAAATTAATAGGATCATTGCTGTGTAATGTTACACATAAGCCGCGTACTTGTCACTTGTAACATAAAACCCTATATATTCATTAATTAAAATTATATAATAAAAGTATGAAAACAAACATCCATCGGATCGCGAAAGATCCCGCGTCGCGTACACTTAATTTTGGCAACGCACACAAATGTGTCGTACCTACGCATAAATAGCTATGTACGTAATCTAACAATATGCTAAATACGTAACATGTAACACGGAAAACAAATAAAAAATATATGAGAAATACAAACAGTAGTTATAAAGAAAAACCTTTTAAATATTATATAACCTTGCAGGAGTGCATTTCGATACAACGAGCTCCTCCATCATATCAGAAATAGCGACAGCGGTAAAGGTATTTGCATATGGAGTGGAATCATATTTATCAGAAACCGAAAACTTGAGATATCCTTTGGGCACTAGATTATCCTGCGATAGTGCGGGTAGTGGTGAGGCAAGGTGGTCAACCGGTGAAAGATTCTATCGACATCTGCGTAACGTTAGTGTGGAAAGCGACTCAGGAAGACCGAGTATAGAGTTCACTTCCGATGGTGAATTGCGAGCGACCGAGCTGAAAATAATGAACTTACGGCCTACTATTGGAGATCAGGTAACTTAAGTTAACACTGATATTCGTTATATTTACACAAGGTCATATCTTTCATATTACATTCTAAGAAAACTTAAACTTAATTTTTTTTCAATGCAGTGAATTTATATATTATGTACCTACTTACATAAATTATTATCTTACAAAATATTAAGTATTTTGTCAGATTTGTACCTATGATTTATGGTGTCATAATTGTAATAATCAAATTTAAGCACTCATCTATTTAAACATAAATTAACAGTCACATATTTTTATCAGCTGGTATGGGAAGAAATCGGGACGTGGAACTCTTACCCTAAGGAACATTTAGCTATAAAGGACATAATTTGGCCTGGTGGTCTACATACACCACCGCAGGGAGTTCCAGAGAAGTTTCATATGAGAATTACTTTCCTAGAAGAACCTCCTTACATTAATTTAGCACCTCCCGACCCTGTAAGTGGGCGGTGCTCTTTAGACCGAGGTGTCATTTGTCGTGTTGCACCAGAAATTGAAATTGTTGGGTACGTATTAGATATTTATATATTAACTAGCTGATCCGGCAAACGTCGTTTTGCCATGTATATCATTTATAATAAAAAATAGGGGTTGTTCGTAGAGGAGTGAAAATTAGGGGTTGTATGTATTTTTTAATGCTGTATCATAAAAAAATAAAAACAGAAAAAAATATCTAAAAATTAAAAAAAAATATTTACGGGTGGACTACCCTTAACATTTAGGGGGATGAAAAATAGATGTTGTCTGATTCTCAGACATACCCAATATGCACACAAAATTTCATGAGAATCGGTCGAGCCGTTTTGGATGAGTATGGCAACGAAAACTGTGACACGAGAATTTTATATATTAGATTTACATCACGGGAGACCGAAGAGCTGGCAGCTACCTCGGACAAAGATTAAGTCTAGGTATTCAAAGGGGGAAGGCTGCCAGTATCTTCAGAACCTTGCCTAAAGGGACTCCTTTCAATAATATATTGTAGTTATTATATTTTAAGGTTAGTTATTGTTTTTCTCTTATTAACTAAAACGTAGATTTGAATGAACATGATTTAAAATATGAATTAAACCATAAATAAAATAAAAGTCGAAAGAGCCAAAATCTGACAGATGTTCATTCTCCTGATTACGTCACAAAGAGCTTGATTCTAAAAATTTTTTTAGAATTGAGGCTGGAGCCGCTCACAGAAACAGTTCCTTATATCAATGCTGTAGTGGATTTTGTATTGATTTATTGCAACAACTGGCAGAACAGTTGGGGTTCACCTATGAACTCGTGCGCGTGGAAGATGGCCGATGGGGTACCTTCCAAGATGGCAAATGGAATGGTCTCATAGCGGAACTCGTTAATAAAAAGACGGATATGGTACGTCACTACATTTTTAAATATCTAGATTATAATTAACTCTAGTCGAAGCCATTTGAATGAAATGATTTTTGTAGGTACTAACGTCCTTGGTAATAAATTCGGATAGAGAGGCCGTAGTAGACTTCAGCGTTCCCTTTATGGAAACTGGGATTGCTATAGTCGTGGCGAAGAGGACCGGAATTATTTCACCGACAGCTTTCCTAGAGCCGTTTGACACAGCGTCATGGATGCTTGTAGGGGCAGTAGCGATACAGACAGCTACTTTCTGTATTTTTATATTCGAATGGCTGTCACCGAGCGGACTTAACCGTTCGCCTGGTCAGATCAATGTGCAGAATCGGTTCTCGTTGTGTCGAACTTATTGGATTGTTTGGGCTGTATTGTTCCAAGTAAGTTATTTAATTACTTAAAGTGTTTTTATGGGAATTAAAATAGAATATTGAATGTATTATAGTACCAAGATATACTATTAAGGCTTGTGTAAATATGATTTTTTTTAACTCGCAATAATTCATAATTAACCACATTTCAACTGTATCAGATCTAATTTTCGACTAGACTTTAATAATTAGCTTTATAGAGTGAATATGTAATCTAACAAAAGAGTTTAATGAGGAAAGTACATGTGTTATATTCCTACAGGCTTCAGTCCACGTGGACTCTCCGCGAGGTTTTACAGCTCGGTTTATGACGAACATGTGGGCAATGTTCGCGGTGGTATTCCTTGCCATATATACTGCGAATCTCGCTGCCTTTATGATAACAAGGGAAGAGTTTCATGAATTAAGCGGCATCGATGACCCCAGGATCGTAAAGCCTAAGACATATCAGCCACCACTGAAGTTCGGGACGGTACCTTGGTCCCACTCGGATGCGACATTAAAGAAATACTTTAGGGAGCCCCACTCTTATATGACCCCGTAAGTTTCTTGTACACTCGGTACTAAGTTATGTAATAGTTGTTCCTAAAATGAGTACAATTTAAAATGCTAATTTATCAATAAGCCACCTAATTAGAATTTTATGTTTTATTGGTCTCACACTGATATACAGTCGTTAATCAAAAATAGTTATGTACGATCGCCATGTTCCCAATCGGAAGAAAAGATCTTTTGGTGCCCTTTTCTTAAATTGTTCTTTTAACTATTTGCACGCATTAAATTTTATACCTGAGTTGCACCGTTGTGTATGTAATAAATTAAATATTATTTTAGAGTCGACCTCAAGTAGGCTACAAATAATATTTATTTATTAGGTTCTATAAAATATTTTGTACATCCAAAAACGAAACTTTTAGATACAATCGAAGTACTGTAAGTTCTGGAGTGACGAGCATATTAACTGGAGACCTGGATGCTTTTATTTACGATGGAACTGTTTTGGATTACTTAGTATCGCAGGTAAAACAACATCATTATATTACACCCGTGTATGTACTTTAACTGGTAAAATTGTTTATAAGGCACACGAATAATATACCTACAAACAGACACATAGAAAATATTTAATTAAAAACACAGAAAATATATGTAAATATGTACCTATACAATGTAGTCATATATACAGACATATTACAAAAGCATACACATCATAAAATAAAAAAAATATTTTATATTATATTATATTTTAATATTTCATAATTTGATGGAATAAACATAATAAAGTTGTAAATAATAAGTAGATATACTATACTGCTCAAAACAATTACGGGAACAAAACTTTAAAGTAGAACTAAACTTTTTACTTAAGGTTTTAATTATTACTGGTCACTAGATAATGTTAATACATTGTCGAAGAAAATAAAAAACAAAAAAGCATCGGCGTTTTGGTTAGTAGTCCTATAATAAAGTGGCAGTGTGTCTAGAAACACCTAAAAACAAAGTGACGTCTTTGAATTTTCATTACTTTCTAATCACAGAAAACACATTTTAAGTATTTTTTTCAATCTTTTGAGTATTAATAGAAATTGAAGTGAGCCTTTTGAGTATTGTTATTCATTGAAGCGAGTGAGTTAAGGTCATAATGCCAGATCTGACTGAATTGCATGTCTCCCGAGCTATCGCTTTGCTTGAAGAGGGTCGAACTATGCGTTATGTAGGAAATGATCTAGGAGTAGCCCCTTCTGTTATCTACAGACTTTGGAAGCGACACCGTGAGACGGGAGAATACTCACGAAGGCGTGGTCAAGGTCGAAAGAGAAAAACTACACGTTTGCAAGATCGCTACATCGTCAACTGTGCTTTACGTAACCGCACCACAACTGCAAGAGATCTACAAAATACACTAAGGACGGCTACTGGTGTAGAAATTTCCGACCACACGGTAAGAAATAGGTTGTTGGAAGCCAATTTGAGATCACGCCGACCAGTTCGGGCTGTGCGTCTAACAATTCAACATAGACAAGCTCGCCGACAGTTCGCGCAAAATCACGCTAATTGGCAACTTCGACATTGGAGGCCAGTGCTTTTTACTGACGAATCACGATTCCGTCTAACACGTTGCGATGGTCGTCTCCGTGTTTACAGACGCCCAGGCGAGCGATACAGTGCAGCAGCAGTCCAGGAATATGACAAATTTGGATGTGGCTCTGTGATGGTTTGGGGCGGCGTTAGTTTGGACGAGCGCACAGATCTCGTCGTTGTTCCCGGTCGCTTGTGTGCTCAAACTTACATTGAAAATGTGCTCGAAGATCATGTTTGGCCCGCAGCATATGGTATGGGCCCAGATTTTCTTTTAATGCAAGATAATGCCAGGTCGCATACTGCAGCCATCACGTCAGATTACTTACGACAGCAGGAAATCCGTGTAATGGAGTGGCCTTCCATGAGCCCTGACCTAAATCCAATTGAACACATTTGGGACTTGCTTGACAGGCGCATCCGGAAGCGTCCGATTGCACCTCAAACACTGCAGCAGCTCACTGAAGCGTTGATTGAAGAATGGGAGCGAATTCCACAAGAAGATATTCGGAGGATCATACGAAGCATGCCGCGTCGTTGTCAAGCCGTGATTAGGGCTCATGGAGGCCACACACGTTACTGAAAGTCACTAAAGACGAATATTCAAACGATATAAGAATATTTCTTTGATGGACCTTTTTTATCACCAATTAGTTTTTCGTCTACAATGCACATTTTAATTTTTTTTTAATAAAAAAAATACAAATTGAATTTTTTTATTAATTGTAGTAATTAACAAATTAACAAGGTAAAAAATAGCGTACAAGTTAATTTAAATGTAATTTTAGTTTAAGCAATAGAAAGGAGAAAAATCTTGTTCCGCTAATTGTTTTGAGCAGTATATTTTACGTTCCAGAGCCAATCCGGTGGACTTGAGTAATATGTATAAATACATATTAAAATGTGTAGTTGGTCCTATTAAAGATAATATTTTATTATAATGGTTAAAATTCTACATAAACATTGTATTTATGTTATAGGATGAAGATTGTCGACTGCTGACAGTGGGCGCTTGGTACGCTATGTCCGGATACGGTCTGGCGTTCACGCGTAATTCAAAATACCTCGGAATGTTCAACAAACGACTTCTCGACTTGCGAGCAAATGGCGATTTAGAACGGTTAAGAAGGTAAATAAAACATATTTATATATATATATATATAGGCCATATTCACGCACTAAGTAAATATCTCAATAAATAGAAAATCGTTGTAACAACAATACTGATTAAATTGGAATTAAACAGTTTTAATTACAAGGTGAAATAAACAGTGTCTTTTGTAAGTACCTCTTTACTATATAAACAAATAGGTATTCCCCTTTTATTGTACTTTAATTTTCTTATAAGTAATATTTGGTATAATAAGCATATTTTTACTGCGTGGAAGGTATGCTATGAATCGCAGCACGAAAAAAGAAATATAATGAAAATTTTATTCAGATACTGGATGACAGGCACCTGTAAGCCCAACAAACAGGAGCACAAATCTTCAGATCCTTTGGCGTTAGAGCAGTTTTTGTCTGCGTTCCTATTGCTAATGGCAGGCATACTTCTCGCCGCCGCTATATTGTTCTGTGAACATTTGTATTTCCGCTACGCGCGGGAACACATCGTAAAGTCCGAGTTACATCCTTGTTGTACACTCGTGTCTATCTCTATGGGTAAGTAATAAAAAAAAATTAAAAATTTATGAGTTTATTTTTTTTATTTAAAATACTTGTAACTACAAAATTAATTAAACTTTTTTTGTAAAACGTAATAGATGAAACATATCATCTGAAATAAAAAACTTGATACTATGTACGGAACTTAAATACTATGTGGAACCTAAAACCAAAGCTTAGACAGAAGGAAATGGGTCGAATAACAAATAGGTATATTTGTCCGGCACTCTAATGCAAATATTTTTATTTTGAAAACAAACCGTCATCCGTCCAAAGAAGATTGACCTTTGGCATACGTACGGTCATTGTACATTCTCTAAACTCTAAAGAAATTAGAAATACAAATTTCATTCATAACACAAAAGCAAATATGTTCCACCATTAGTTAGTGAGGCTTAAGCTGAATAAGGTAGTGTTTAGGTACTACCAGTACAGTTTACTACCATGTTTTAAGAATCTCAATCTTATATTTTAATTCCTTGTTAAAATTCCTAGGTCAATCCCTTTCAATGCAAAATGCAGTCATGGACGCGACGACAGATCAAGGCTTTAGGTTGGGCAAGCGGCCCCATTGCCGATCTGCCGTGTGTGCTGCTCAGGTACCTACAAGTTTTCATTTTCCCTCTTCTTAATTTTCTACTAATTTAGCAGTCGTTAACTTATACTAAGATATGTACATTCCAATGACTTTCATTATCATTAATTCAAATCCTTAGCACAAACAGTAAGAAAATCATGAGCAGCGCTCGGTGGGCGTGTTTTGAACGAAACGGAAACACGAACATACTTACAGCTTTCGATTACATTGAGTGTAGAAAACTATACAAATTTCTAACAGTTCAACAGCGACGGATACTCGATGAAAAAGGAAACTATAATACGCAAAGTTCGTGCGAAGTATATTATACCGGTTGACCCAGTTGTTTTAGAATTAGTTTATTGACTATAAAATAGTAGTAACTGCTGTTAAATATAAAAGCTTTATTTGGATGATTAGATATGGCGTGCCCAACACGAGCGCGACGCGGCGGTGGCTCGAGCGCGACAGTTGGCGGTGGTGCTCGCGGCTCACGGGCTGCAGCCTCCGCCGCGTCGACTCGCCTCCGCGGCGGCGCTGCACGCACGCGCGCACGACGCCACGCGCCCGCGCACGCTGCACGTGCCCGCCGACTTACTGCCCGACCTAGACCGTCCGCTTTCTTGCGACGATCTACGTGCTAGGTAAAAACTGAGATACTTATTTTTATTAATGATTGAGTACATACTTATAACCAAAAACGATGCAGAGTTAAAAAGATTTCACTTAGTCCTACTATAATGAAATAAATTTGATCTAATATTAATATGGCCGCCTTTTTTTTGGTTTATCAAGGTTTTGTTTGCAGAGAGCGGACGCGGGTAGAAATGGAAACAGTGCTGTGAGGCGCATATAGCGCCACCTTTTTTCAATTCCTGAAGGCTGTTCTTACACCAAGTTATACAAAACAAAATTAGTTATACTTTATGTTTAAAATAAGGTCAGATAAAAAAGTGTTGTAATTATTAAATAAAATATTCCAATTATTAAAACCGAGAGGCGGATGTAGATAGCGAAGCGTTGTTGTGGGACGCGCGCGCGACGCGGGCTGGGCGTCGGACGTGCGTCCTCGTGTTGTCTACTACAATAAAATATATTTTTTGGACAATATTTTGATATTTTTATTTATCCTATAGTAGCCCTAGCGCAGATTTCGGGATTTAGTATCGCGTGGCAGATTTATATACAGGGGGATACCTTGTACCAAATTACTAAATATGAGCCCCATATATATGGCCGTCCGTCAAGGATAAAGGATCAGATTAGTAATAAAAAAAATTATCATCAGAAATTCTCGAGCGTGGCTGATTTTTTTTATTTTGAAGGAAATAATTCAAGGATGACGAAAAATATATAATCTGACGGAATTCGATAAAGTTAAATACGTGCGGTTGCGTTATGCCTATATTAGTTTAAAAGTATTAATTATAAGTAATATTAACATTCACGAACTCGGTTTACACGACTGAATCTCTCTTTACGTTGATGACACCTGCTTATTTTACTTTGGTTCAAATATCCAGACTATGGTTGCTCAAGCTGAATCAGACCTAAATGCTCTATCTTCTTGGTTTCAACAAAATCTTCTAACAATTAATATTTCAAAAACATCTTATGTAATATTCAGGGCAACAAATAAACTCATTCCTATCTTTCAACCGCTTAAAGTTCAAGACGTTGAAATCAATAACAAAAAATGGAAGAAATATCTGGGTCTTAGAATGGATACAAATTTAAAGTGGAACTTTCATATATCACACATAATTACCAAACTAAAATCACTGATAGGCAGATTTTGGTCAATATCAAAATGCATTCCGCAATCTGTACGTCATTTGATTTATAATTGTTTAGTCAAGCCACATTTCATATACCTAATTGAAATATGGGGTACAGCATGCAAAAACAAAATTTCTAAAATACAAACGCTACAAAATAAATTAATAAAAGCACTATTTAGATACAATTTTTTAACACCTACTAATAAAATCTACCAAGAAACCCAAATTATGACGATTAAACAACTATATGTTTATAGCACCTGTATCCTTATTAAAAAAAATTTAAATAACTCTCTACATAGTAACTTATCATTTAATAAAATCAAATACACAACTACACGCAATACTCGTCGAGCGAGTTTGCTTATCTTGCCAAAGCCGCGCACAAATTATTTAAAGAGATCTATTAGGTATGAGGGTATGCAATTGTTTAATCGGTTGCCGTCTAAGGTTCGTAACATTCATTAGCGTGATTAATCAGTTCAAAAGGGCATTAAAGATACACATCAGAATGAGCCCATTAGACTAAAATTGGGCTAGCTGATGGCGACGTGTATCTCGTTCGTATATAATATTAAATTTCTCATGTAAATAAAAAATAATTTTTGTAATGAGAAATAAAGTTCTTTAAACATTAACATAAAGTCTTTATTTTGTGGTGAAACTACTTAGCAAAAATCAATAAAATTTACATAAGAAAAATTTATAATTTTTTTTATACTAGATTAGGCAAATCCCTCCAGATAGTCATCAGATTATGAGACATCACGTCTCGGACATAAATATGAACCATAATACATATATCTGACGGCTGACGCGCTTGAGTATTTCATCAGATTATTAGACGAGAGCTTTTTATAGGTTCACTTAATATCCCCTTAGAAAATCTGACGCGTTCGATAATTTTTTTTTCATTTTCAACCCTTACTTTACGTACGCCCACCCCCACCATGCAAACAACAATCAGATTAACATACGTACATTATTAAAAATACTTAAGACATGGTTGCTTATTAGCAACAATAGCATTATTATGCTATCAATATCTGACGCGCTCGAGTATATCCATAGCTGATTTTTTTTACATTTTTGAAAATCTATAGCCGCGCTCCCCCCACCGGTCAAAAGGTATAACATTTTTTTTTCATTTTATTATCTAAGCTTCGCAACTCAAAAAGTCTCTATGACGCCCGAGTAAATTTAGCATCGTGGGTTATGAGTACACATAATATAAGTGCTAATGCTCAATGCGTCAGCCATACGAACAAGTAAAAATATAATTCAATTCGCTGCGGCGCGGTGGCGGAATGGAGTTTTATTTTCAAAACTCACGAGACCGGAGTTTTGTGCGGTTACGCAGCCGTCGCGGTTTCGATTATCGCTCCCAAACTTGGCGGTTGATTATTGCAATACGAACGGTTAAACGATCAGTTGAGTGCCAGACTTCCAGACCGCCATGGACACACACCAGAAACGAGCTGTTGCGTTATACTTAATTCACAGAAGAATTAAAAAAAGAAGGCCTAAAGGGTTCTGGGACAAATAATCCAGAAAGAGATCTTTATGGATTATTTGTTACTCTTATTAATGAGTTAAAGAAGGATGAAGAAAAGTTCTTTAATTTAAATTTAAATCGCCCGCCAACCGATGGCAGAGCGCGCGGGTACAACGCGGATGTAGCGTGACCCGCAAACAATCGCACACCTAGCGGGCGTAAAACGCGTCGTGAAATGTGCTTTAAGTTTTTACATAAATATAAAATATCTACAAAGGCTGCGGGCCCGCAACTACGGCGGGCGCGGGTGAAAACCGCTTCGTGAGTCTTTAGTCTAAAATGGTTTTCTTCTAATTGAGTCGGAAATTTAAGGGTAAAACAATTATTGAAATACAAATTTGAAGCAAGAGATTGAATGTATTAAAACGATCAAAACAAACAATGATTATTATTTACATTACTCTATTAAAGGTTTGGTCAAACAGCGGGCGGGGCGGGACGGCGACGGGAAGTGAGCAGTTGTAATGACTATTTAATGTACTAATTAATATAGGACATGTCACTAGATTTAGAGGTTTCTCAACCGAGTTAGGGGCAGAATTGAATTCAGGCAGTGGATTTCTGGGGAAAATCAAATTAGATATAATATTATTATTGATTTATTTATTTTGATTATTTAAACACTTTCGATGAGTTTTCAACTTTTTCCATGTCCATTTTTGTAGACGAATACAAAGCCGTCATCACGCCGTCCTGCTGTCTGTTTGACTACTTCAACAATTACCCATATAACACAACGAGTTGCGTCGCGCTCACGCCCCGTCCCGCCGTACTTTTGTTGTATTACCGTCGGGCGGGGCGGCGACGGGACGCGACCGTTGGCCGCGACGGCTCTGTGTGACATGTCCTATATTAATTAGTACATTACAATGCTCACGTCCCGTCGCCGTCCCGCCCCGCCCGCTGTTTGACCAAACCTTTAGGTAATCTGTGCAGCACAGACTGTGTATTTTTTTCCGAGTACATATTATTTCTCTATGCTGTGTTGTATTTATTACACAGGTAATAGGTGCCGGTAATTTATTGCATATCATTTTAGTTAAAAACTTCAAGGGACTATTTATTACTTTATTATAATCAGCTTTTATAAAGATGTCGAAGGATATTATTATCCTCGTTCCTAATGGAAGGAGAATGAAAGTTCATTGCACACCAGATACAAGCTTTTTGCAGGTATGTTGACTATTAAAATGTCAATCTTAAATGGTATCTTAGAAAATAATTAATAATAAAAACGAGTTGTAATATCGTTAAATATTAGTATTACCTATATTTTTTAAGGTTTTGGAAGATGTTTGTGAGAAACATGGGTATCAGCCAAATGAATATAATTTAAAACACCATAACATAATTGTGGATTTGACCAGCACAATAAGGTTTTGTAATATACCCAATAAAGCTATATTGGAAATGGTTGAAGCTGTAAGAAAACGGGTTGAAAGTAATGTTACTGTTGGACTCTTATTAGATGATGGTAAGAGAATTCTTATATTGATTTAAAAGCTGTTTATAAAAAAATCTAAATTATATGAATATCAACATCAATCAACCTTAAAGAGTTAAAACCAATCCCGGTATTTATTTTAAAATAATTGTATCTATTACCGAAATTGCTATCACTATGATTAATATATAAAAATCTTATAGGAGAAAGAAGAACTGCAGAATTCAGCCCGCACACATCACTTTATGATCTAATTATATCTCTAGCCGCAAATGAGTTACCTACTATGAAGAATCCAACAATTATGTATATGCGGCAGGAAGTTATAGGTATTTTGGCATTAAAGGAAAAATCACTAAGGCAATTAGGCTTAATAACAGGAAGAGCAATTTTAAGGCTCATGGATAAAACTGAAACTGAGTAAGTAGTTATCTAACAAGACTTTCAAACTAAAATAATAATTTAATTTTCCCAATCATTGTGAGCTGGGATAAAATAATTTCAAATAATAATTACAGGCAAGCTAATGTGTCAGCAGTGTATCGAGCAAAACCTAAAGAAGAATTGTTAGAAATAAAGGAAACTAAACTTGCCAAATCTGAAAAATCTAATCCTGATGTTAATGAAATAAACAGTTTACAGTCTACTCCAGATGATGGTGATATTAAGAAATCTGTTCAGAAACAAGATGACACTAAAAAATTTGACCCAATAAAATTGATTAAAAATGAAATAAATAAAGAACAGCAGAAGACAGAACCTACAACTAGTTTTAACATTAAAACAAATATTGATAATGACACAGATTCAAAGGCTTCTGATCAACCTATGACTTCCAAGCATTTTGAACAAAAAAATGCAAACTCTTTGGAAGCACAGGAAACTTTAGAAAGGCGTCTCAGGATAGAGGAAGAAGTCAACTTTGTTAGTATTGGATAGGAACATTTATTTATTGAATTTCAAAAATTAGTTTTTCGAACTACTAGAATATTCAACATTCCTGAATTCTTTAGTTTAGACATAATACTATATATTATATCTTTAATTTCCAGCTAGGATCACAGAAGGCAATTGCTTTTATGCAGCCAGAAGAAATTGAAGATGAATTATCAGACCTCCCAGATGACTTTTATGAATTAAGTATTGAGGAAGTAAGAAAAATTTACCATGATTTACAACAAAAATGTATGGAGTATGAAGAAACACCTCTATTAACAAGTAATAAACGAGATCAACTTGAAAAAGAGGTAACTAATGGTGTATATGTTGTATTGTTGTGAGAATGTAAAATTTATCATTTCATTAATTTTTTGCCTGTTTTGTTTAAACAAAACGATTTACGATTAATCGTTAAAGTTATTTTATCAATGTTTCGCCAAAATTGTTAATGTAGAATCTGAAATGAGATGCATTTTTTTTACTTATTTGGTTCAGTGAAATTTATAGAAAAATAACCATGATTGACAAAATCTTCTCTTCGTTCCACTCATGCCTTTATACTTTTAACCTATCATTCAGTTAGTTGTTCATTGATACGGCCTGATAATTTCTAGAACCATGAAAGGCCTACCAATTCATGAAATTATCAATTAAACTTTAACTAATATTATAACCCTGTTTAAAATATTATTTTTTATGTGTTTCATAGTCAATTTAGGGTTAAGATCCATTGGCCATGATAACAATTAGTAGTAGACCAATAAGTGATGCTGACTGAAAAAAAAAAAAATTTTTTTTTTGAGAGCTTGCGTTGCATGCACTAAGTAATCAATGTAAGTTATGCAATAATCAAGTATGATGGCCATATTGTTACTTTGTATAAGCTTGGTGAGGATTAAATGTAAGTAAGTTGTTCAGACTGTCTGTACAATTTAACCATGTATTTTCCTTATTTCTAGGTGTCTCAACAGAAATTAAATACATATAAAAATGTTGTTGTACGAATACAGTTTCCAGACAATATGATACTGCAGGGTGTTTTTAGTCCAATGGATACAGTAGAAAATATTAATAATTTTGTTAAAGAACACATTCACGATCCTAATCAACCATTTCAAATTTGTAAGTACTAGCTTGTACATTTGCGCCATAAAAGCATTTACTTGAAATCTTCAAAACCTTAATTTACGTACTCAAACATGACAAATGGACAAGGTAACAAACTGGACTGGTATGTCTGGACCTCTCTAGCTTGTTGAAAAAGTGCAATGACGAAACGTCATTGTTGCATATCTTAATATATATATTTCTTGTGTGCGTGTGTATGTGACTGAACTCCTCCTAAACGACTGGACCGATTTTGATGAAATTTTTTGTGTGTGTTCAAGGGGATCTGAGAATGGTTTAGATTCACAAATCAGCCCGGCAGATGGCACTGCAGTCGGTACTTTCATACTTTGCTTAATATCCTAATCGCTTTGAATATCATGCAGGACAACGTCTGTGGGGTCCACTAGTATCGTTATATATTTTAATCATGCAGTGGACCCATATTAATTTTACACACCCTAAGTTGGTTATCCCATCAAACCCTTTTTGATTTAAGGAAGCATTTATATGCAAATTACTTTTAAAATCATGATTGAATTTAGTTATACTTTGTTTTAGTTACTACGCCACTTAAAGAAACGTTGGACCCTAAAACGACTTTGTTAGATGCAAAATTCGTGCCGTGTGTTCATATGCATTTTAGGTGGCTAGAACATTCAAACTCTAATGGATATTTAAAAGACGAAATTTACCTGAAACAAACATCCAGTGATGCAGCCAGTATTCTAGCATCAAAATACAGGTAACATGTTTTATATCTATAGTAATTTTAAGTTAAATAATAAATGTGTGAACATTGTATATATAATTAGATGTTGGTAAAAAATTACAGAGCTCCAACAAGGAGGAAATTAGAAGAAACTCAAGAGAACTCAAAAAACGCACAATCCAGATCCTCAACATCTAAAGAAAGCAAATTGCCAAAATGGTTTAAGAAATAAAAAAACTTTTTTGTTATATCTTTGTACAGTGTTGATGGCTATATAGTAAAACCATATAATATTATTGTATTTCAAATGAATTTTTTAAATAAACTTTCTAATTTAACTTGTTACCACCATATTTATAATGATAAATTGTTTAATCTTCAAATTTTGTTTTTATCCTCCTTAGCTGTAATTAGCTTAATAATAAACTAAACAATATTCAAGTATCACATGATGAATTGTTAAGAAATGAAAAAACTTATTTTACAAATAATTTTAAAACCGGGAACAAAGTAAGACAAGAATATGAGTTTTTTAAAATTAATTTAATACTAATTAGTTATGATAACATATTCTCATACATCCTATGAATTAAAAAGACACATTTCGTCATAACTTAATGTATGAAGGTAAATCTCCTAATTTACATCTTGTTGGTTTAATGTAATCACTATTCTTGAAATCTTCCTGTACTGCTTCCTTAAAGTATCTATCTTCAAGAGCTGTGTTTTCTTCAGAGCTTGTACTTGGTATATCTAGTAATTGATCTTTTTTATCTTTAATTGGTATATTTTTTTTCAGTTTTAAACATTCTTTATTGTTTTTTGAAAATTTTATTGCATCGCAAGATATCTTTTGTTTCACATGCTTGAATAAGCAAGTCTCCCCCTTCTCACAATAGCCCTTCAGAAAATCTTTACAAATTGAAGCTTGATCACCTAATTTAACATGAAGGTAAGGGCAATTATCTTTAACACAAATACCATTTAAATAGAAATAACATGTAGGCATTTTTTTCTTAGATATTTCATGTGAAAGTGCACAATTTTCTTCATGGCAAACCCCTTTTAAGAATTTTCTACACAGTGATACCAGTTTTTTATCATGAACATAAGGACACTTGCTGTTTATATTTCTTAAACATTTTCCATACTTACAAAATAGAGCACATGGTATGTTATTTATTTTTGATTTGCCTTTAATATTCTCTATTTCAGCTTTATAATTAGTTTTCTTGGTATGGGTAATAACTCCTCTCACTTTTTCTTTTGATTTTAGGGTATATGACAGATGCGATTTTATTTTGAAATCATGGTTGTTTAAAATTTTATAACTTGAAAAACTAAGAGGTTTTGCTATAGAATATTTTGTCCCTATCTTGCTCTTTATACTGTCTAAATTGATAATGTTATATTTGCTTACTTTTAAGTTTCTCTTTTTGACCAATGGTGACTGATCAGGATTTATGCGTTCCTTATGTCTGATCAATTGATACCTAGACTTGGAGATAGGCAGTCGGTTACTTGGAACTGCTTTATGCAATCCACAAAACTGAGTTGTTTGGGGAGAATTTGCCTTATCAGTCTTTTGTGAAGATTGATTACGAACTAAAATATACCGCGATTTGGAAGTAATATTATGTTTAGTTGTATCATCTGTATTGTCAGATTTCACTGCAAGAGTATGAATTTTATTTAAATGACCCTGATTTACAACTTGATTGCAAGACTGAGCATTTGATTGTAAGGGATGATTTACATTGCTGTGCGGGTTATTTATGTGTCCATTTAAATGTAGGTTGCTAAAATGAGCCTCTTGAAAAAATTTACTATTGTAATGGGGGTTAAGGTTCAATGTTGACAAATGGTTTACCGATGAGTATTGTTGAGAATTACTACATAATGTGATTTTATTAGATACATTATTACTCTTCATAAAATTTGGGTTAACAAAAATTTTATTTATGCTATTTGACTGAGATTTAGATTCAAGGAAATTTTGATTTATATAAATTTGTTGGTTGGGTTTGTTTTGTCCTGGCCTATAATTTGGGTTTATATACACTCTTTTGTTGTTAAACTGTGAATCCATTTAGTCAAGATGAAACTGGTAATATTTATTACCAACTTTACAATCTACTTTTTGTATATAAAAATTCCTGAAAACTTCTTTCTCCTGAGCCAGAATGGTATTTAATTCATCAATGTGATTTAAAATAACATCCTTCATATCCCCTTTCCACCACAAAATGCTCATATGAAATGATGGATCCTTGAAACAAAAGAAAGCATTTCATATACAGTGTAAACTCCAGAGAGAACTCCACTCCAAAGAGTCGAAATCACTCGGCTTTGGTTAGTTTAGCTTGTCTTCCCTACAATGCTCTACATACTATTACGTACCACCCTCAATAACGACAACAATTAAATGCTAAAAAGTACTTTTAAGTTGCCAAAATTAGTTAAAACTGCGGATCTGTGTACGTTGTTTTGTCGCTTTATTGTCCTAGCGAAAAATAAACTCGACTGTTTGTACTCGTCATATGTACCGAACTTTCCAAGAAATCCGTTCATTTTTTTACAATTTGCACATGCTTGCATGTGATTTATCACGAAGATGCCTCAATATCGCAAGATATGAATTATGTTAGTAAAAAAATACAACAACTGGTACAGTACAAAAAAAACAGACCGCGCAATAGCGTTCAAATACGAATTGTTTTTTAATGTAATTACCAACCCTAGGCTGAAATAAACTTTCTTTTTCTAATACCGATTTCTTTCTCCATTTAAGGGCAACTGCTTGTAACGTCAAAATAGGCACAGTCCCTTGAGTGTTGTTACATAGAGTTTACACTGTATATATAAATATATATACACATATAACTATTTTTCTTAATTTAACAAACTAACTTACTTTATAAAAGGTTGGTAAGTTGTAGTCTTCAAGTACAGTATCCACTTTTTCAACAATTTTGAGCAAAAATTTTCTGCTCAATTGATCGGCCTTCAAAGCAAGAAATGTTCGAGTTTTTTCTTCATTGGTGTATACCTCTATAGTATCAAACCCCAATTCAAAACTGCAACATATATTAAATACTCAAGAGCACTTATTAGTGTCCCTAATTTAATTTACAATAATTCTATAAAAGTTACATTTACAATAAATATTGGAAAAACTTACGTTTCTATTCCGCTAATAATCTTTTGTAAGGATGTTGTAAATGATGTTATTAGATGATACTTTAATACAACAGTTTTTGACACACTTATATGTAAATTATCACATGGATAGCAGGTTTCATCAATGGTTTTAAAAACAAATTTTATTTTATTCAGCAAATCAAGTACGTCACTTTCATCAGGAGCTGAAATTTTTAAATAACAGGTTAGGTTTTTTTAATTTCTATACAATGTATAAACTATAAGTGTGTGCCCAGACAGGGACAGGTGTGAGAGAAAAGTCTGGAGTATGGCAAGATCAGGAAGGAAAAAATGAGAGAAAATAAAACAATTATGCATTTTAGACACAACTCGTCGTGGGTCTTGTTCAAATTAAATATGTTATTGATTTTGTTGAAACCCTGCAAAGAACCTGGTAAAATATTAACGTCAATTTTTCTTGGTGCTATTGGAAATTAAGTTCTTTTCTTAAGGTAGTGATCAATTTCTGATGTAAAAAATATTTGTCAACTGTTGTTGCTTTAGTTAAAGAAATGAGGACATAACATGTCATCTCAAATGTATAAAAAATTAGACTTACATTTTATATACACTAAACTCGCCCAATTTCCTCTTATATGAGGAAATGTTCGTATGCGACCATGGTGTTGCTGTGGATCATCACAATAAGAATCTGAAGGACATACAGATACCTTAGTCAGATTCGGTACTGGTAACTTTAATCTGGAAAAACATGTTTAGAAAACTTGAGACAGAAATATATATATTGCCAATAAATGTAAATACATTTAAAGTGTTGGTAAAAGTTGTACATAGTTCGTATCTAAAAGGAGTAATTGCTTACTTTTCTTTTACAATATTCCTACTTTCCTCCGTTTCACTTTCTCCGGAATCTCCGTAATCACACAAGTAAGATAATCCAGACATTGAACATTAAAGGGGTCGTTTTCAATAAACAGTTTACAGATAAATTCCTAGTGGGAAGTGGAAACTGTTAACTGAGTGGATGTGGATACATTTTTTTTTTATAAAACCTATTCTATTTAACTCACAGATCAATTAGAGGTAAAATATAACTCAAACTCTATGGTGAAAGCACAGCTACAGCGTATAATTTTAAATATAACGAAGTGGTTCGTGGAACCGATTATATTTTGTCGTTTATAGACGAAAATAAAGTCACAGACTCACAGAGTAATAAGTATATTTTGTAATTTAAATTCGAAAATGAATATTTAAATCAACACAAATAGGAAAAAAGGGTGCGTTTACTTATATACGCGCGTAAGAAGTTATACTTTTTTGGCATTATTAAAAATAGTTTTTGAATGCATGCAAATAATTAATTACAATTAAAGAATCAAAGACTGGAAAAGGAGTCATTATAGTCAATAAAGTTCAGTTTACATTTAAAAATTCAATAAATATTTATTATTATTCTCTTACATTAAGTGTAACATAAATTCTATTAAGTTAAAAGTATACATTATTATATATTTAGAACATCTCTACCAAACACTAAGATGTATGTTGTAGCTTTGGCAGTATTGCCATTGATTGATTTATTTTTATTTATTTAGTTATTAAGCTTACGACATCACACACAGTACTAAATCTACTAATTATTTTACAAAATCTTACATCTAAAATGTGTGACAATTAATGTAGGCATAAGTTTCACAAAAAAAATTAAAAATACAATCAAAACATATACGATAATACAAGCACACAATAAAATAAAATTACAAAAATTTGTTGGCACTTAGAGCAGAAAAAAAATGGTGCGTGTATTTATGTACGCGTAAGAAGTTATAATTCTTTGGCTTTCTTTATTTTTTTTAAATATTAAATAATTAATAATAAATATTTAGCGTTAATAATTTAACAATATTTAATATTTAGTATATTATTCAATTATTAATTAATATTAATAATAATTATTATTTGTTATTTTATTATATTATTTATTCAATTTAATAACTAGGTATGTTTCATAACCTTTTAACTAAGTAACAATAGGTCTTTTTAAAAAAGCATTGCTAAATTTCTTTGAAAAAATAATTAAAACTTTATTTGTTTAAAAGGTACTACAAATGTCATTATGGTCATTCAAAATTCTTGGCATAGCTGCTTAAGTCACGCATATTCTATTTCTTTTTACTTGTAGATTGTCTCATTCCCATCTCGCTCGCGCCGACTACAATCATACTGATAATGTTGTATCTCATCGCATCGTAAAATTTCACTCTCATCAATTTTTCATAACGCACCTAAAGAAGTATAACTTCAATAAATAAATATTGTATTAAGAAAAAATGGGGAAAACGAACGAATTTGAAACGTTTTTGTTTTACTGGTTGGACAGGAAATAGGTGGTAATTAAGTAACTAGCGACCCTTCCCGGCTTTGAACAGTAAACCGGGACTTGAAATGTTATATATGTATACCCAAACCTACCTCATGAATCATCGTCTTGATATTGGTGAAGACCGCAATAAATTCCGTGCAGTAGTTTTTGAGTTCATGGCGAACAGAGGAGGAGGAACAGGAGCTAGACGCGGCGTACTTGTTCTATATAATATGAAAGACATATGCTCCCGTTTTTGCACGCATTATCAAGCTCTACAATATACCTCTAGAATCATATATATATATATATCTTATAGTTAAGGCTGTTTTGGTAAGAAACATTTTAGATCAACTGTTATCTACAATTAAGTAGATCCAGAGAGACCCTCTACAACCTCACAAACTTTACCTCTTTATAGTTAGTATAGATATAGAAGGCAAATAAATGTAGGACTTTTTTTTAATCTTTAATAATTCCAAATTGTTAACTGAATAAGGATTAATTAGACGATTAACAAAATTATCACCACCAACAGTCAAAACTATATTAAAATACAATCAAACAAAAAATAAATCGAAGAAATTATTTTTTTTAAATGAGGGTTGGATTTAGAATTACGTCACCCAAGTTTGATGATACTGATAACGCAGAAGTCTCAGGGGACCTTGATTGGAACTCCTCCAAGTGGTTTTTGCTGCCGGAAATGCGTCTAAGTATTTAAAAAAAAAACAAAAGTTTAGTGTAATGTATTGAAATTTGTAAACAATCCGACATTTTCACATTCTCGTTAAAAAAATGTTTTTGAAGTTATACTTCTTTAGGCGCGTTATGAAAAATTGATGAGAGTGAAATTTTACGATGCGCGCGCACCGTGACACAAAATTAACAGAATGAAGTTAGTGGCGCATGTTGGCACGCACGCCGCCTCTGTTCACTCTGTATTTATATTTATAATATTTATCCACATGCTTTGAGTTTCTACATTTAAAACACGTGTTTTCATTTTGTTTTCATTTTACAAGTGCGAATTTTATGTGTGCGTCTGAATTATAATCAGAAGTGATTTAAATTGAATATTTAAATCAATACTAATTAATATTAGAAAATAATAATAACTATAATATTAATAAATATTTATTTATTTAATTTTTCAAATGTAAACTGAACTTCATTGACTATAATGACTCCTTTTCCAGTCTTTGATTATTTAATTGTAATTAATTATTTGCATGCAATCAAAAACTGTTTTTAATAATGCCAAAGAAGTATAACTTCTTACGCGCGTACATAAGTACACACACCCTTTTTTTTTAATTAATCGATTGTTTTTTAGCATAAAAAATCGATGATAATTTCGTGTTGATAGATTATAGGGTTCCGAAAATTTTGAAATTATCGATACCTACTCGTTTGTATTTCGTATAAAGTGTTTACTTTAATATCCAAAAAGTACCCAAAACCGTATCAGAGCACCCCACTATCCACGTGGTCTTGTCTGCCCTACCCCTAGAGTGTATATAAAAATCGGAGGCGCGGAGGAAGAGCAACCCCTCCGCAGCTTCGGCTTTTTGGTCCAGCCTTAGCCGCTACGGCTTGAATAATGCCTGTGCTTTGGTACGCAAGGGTGGAGGGGCTGCATATCCCGTAGCGCCGGATCTGTCCAAAAAATCTATTATTATTTTTGTTCCGTCAGGTTAGGTTAGTATATAGTAAAATAATAGTATATAATAAAAAATAATAAAAAACAAACAGAAAAAAATTCAAAACAAATAATACAAAAATATAACCAAACCAAACCTACCCTAGGTTTGGTTTGGTAATATTCTTTTAGATTTTTTTTATTTTAATTACTGTTTCCGGCTCGCGAAATTGGTTGGGGGGTGATTACTACACCCCTCCTCCTTCCAAACCCCCCCACCCCCCGCATTCCCCAATTCGGGCGACGTAATTCTAAATCGTTACCAAAAATGGTATAATCATTTAATAAATTTGACAGTTCGAAATTCGAATTAACATTATAATCTCTATAAAATCGAGTTTTGACTGTCATCATTCGAATCAAGTGTTTCGTGTTCATCTCTACTAAGTTTGTAAATATCGAAACATTACTTATTACTGTTTTCGAACTAAAAACGGCTATGAACTGTGGTGTGTGACTGGTCACAAATATTAACCATTCACTAGAGTTAATTTTCAATTTTTATAATAATTCGATAGGTTTAGTCCTAATAGTTCGTAAGTAGACACGTAAATATATTTTCAATAAAACGTATCTGATTTTTAACGAGATAAGAAGTTGAACATTCTAATAGACTATCTAACCACTTTAGCTGGACATTGAACTCTACAGGTGTATATAAGATTATTTAATAATCATTATCCAGATCGAGGTAGTATTTTAGAAACGAAAAATGCTTAGAAACACATTTATTAAGAAAGTGCCTTTAATATTAGCTCAGCATGTAAATACAAAAAGTTTTCATAGTTCAAGATTAAAAGGAAAAGTTGCCATTATTACAGCCTCTACAGATGGGTAAGTTATAATATCTAAAGCTTTATTAAAACACAATGCAGCTACAAATAATGAATATTTCCTCAGAATTGGATATGCCATAGCAAAACGTCTTGGAAATGAAGGTGCTTCAATTGTAATTAGTAGCCGGAAGGAAGAAAATGTGAAAAAAGCAACAGAAGAACTTCGCAGAGATGGTATTCAAGTTGAAGGTGTGGTTTGCCACGTTGGAAATGAAGATCAAAGAAAACAATTGTTTGAAACGGTCTGCTCAACAGTAATAAATGAAATATTTAGTTTGAAGAATTGTACAATTAAAAAAAAACCTGTATTTTTTTTTAAATGTAAAGACAGATTTTTTTAAATATTTATACAATTCACATAGGTAATTTTTCTTTTATATGCAGGCTAAAAGCAAGTTTGGTGGACTAGACATTTTAGTATCGAATGCAGCAGTCAACCCCTCTGTGGCTGACACATTAGAGGTAACATTAACTTTTTTGGTATCAATCAACAAAGCACACAGAAAGTTAAAAAATTACAACCAATACAATAATGTATAATATAAACAAACTTTAAAAATAATGTCTCAAATGGCTTTAAGAAAGTTAAGTATTCATATTTTATAAATTGCATATAACAAAGTAAAAAAAATCCTAATGGCTAAATTCCACGATTTCAAGGCACGAGAAATAATTTTTCCTGTCTTGTGTAAATTTACTATTATAATTATTGGATGTAAGGTGAAGGAAAACATCCTGAGGAAACCAACATGTCTTAGACCCATTAGGTTGACGTCGTGTGGAAGCTGATCACCTTGACTATTCGATTTGAAAAGCGATCATGAAACAGATTCAGAAATCTGAGGCCCAGACCTAAAGAGGTTGTAGCGCCACTGATTATTATTAATAAGCCAACTACTACTTTATGTTGTACTTGTATACTTTGTGTTTTAGACTGAAGAGAAGGCTTGGGACAAAATATTTGAAATAAATGTAAAGTGTTCTTGGTTATTAGCTAAAGAAGCTTACCCAGAATTGATTAAACGGGGAGGAGGCAGCATTGTTTTCATATCGTCAATTGCTGCTTATCAACCTATGCAGGTATGTACTTAAGTTTGTATAATGAAGTATGTGATTTTGTGTAAGGACCTCTGAAACTATGAAGTAATTTAAAAATTCTATGTAGTGGAATTAATTAGTATTATTTGTGTTTTGTCCTTTTCACATAATGACATGTGTTCTTAATATTATATTTCTTTTGTTAGAAATGTTTGGATCATACATGATTTAATTTATGCTAATTAGCATATTAAAAATTATATTTTCTAGAGCTCCCACATTGGACCAAGTTTTATTCAAGGGAATCAATTTTGTCACTAATTGCAAAATATTCTTTTAGCCTTTAGGTGTGTACAGTGTTAGTAAAACGGCTCTGGTGGGACTTACAAAAGCAATTTCTAATGAAGTTGTAAGGGAAAACATTAGAGTAAATTGTGTGGCACCAGGCATTGTTGCTACAAAATTCGCATCTGCAGTGAGTATGCTTTTCAATTTCACCTCACTTTTTCAAGACTAAGCTAGTAAAATGTCAAAATAATTTTGATTACAGATAACATCAACTGACTTAGGAAAAGAAACGTCTTTATCAATAGTACCCATGAAAAGATTTGGAAAACCTGATGAAATAGCTGGTGCTGTTGCCTACTTGGTCTCAGATGATGCTACCTATATGACGGGAGAAACCCTTGTTGTTGCTGGTGGTACTCATTGCAGATTATAGTTCAAATGAAATTATAAGAATAGAATATTTTATTTTTATAAAACTATATTTTTATGTAAGGGGATATTTTTATATCAGGGGATATTTTTATTCATCATCATCAGAATCTAATAAATCTGTTTTATTAATGCCTATTGTTTTCAGTATGTTACTTGATGGTCCAGATAATCCTTCTTCTTTTATACTTTGTATTAAGTTGTTTTTAACTGTATGATGGTCTGATTTAGGCAAATATGACAAAACAGAACACAGCTCTTTATCAACTTGTTGACTAACTTCATCATCCATTTCACTATACTCACTATCGTCACTTAATTCTATAGTGTCATTTGATGTTACAATATTTAAATATTTATCTAAACATTTAGTAAATTGATCAGGATCAAATTCTATTTTATTATCTTCAGAATGTTCAATAGTTTTTTCAATTCCTTCAAAATCAGAATTCTTCTTTAAAAAGTCTGTTAAAGCTGATGTTATATTCTGAGCTGAATTAATAGTTTTATCTTTATCTGTAGTATTAGCTCCAAATCTGCTTGTTAATACATCATCTAATTGATCAGGAGAAATGTTTAGCCAATTATCATCATCTTCAGTAAGTTCAAAATCACCCAGTGAAAGCTGCTGTTTTATATTATAAAAGGAGTCTTCTGTTTTAATTTTACATATTTCACTATAAATATGTTTATTCATTGGACATTCCATTGTAAGGAAATTTGTTTTAGCCTTTTCCAAAAGTTCCTTATACTCTTGAGAACCTTCAATGTTATTTCTAAAATACCCCATGTTTGTTAAACCATTTAGAAACTTTTTATATTCAGGAGAGAGAAAAATATCCTGAGTAGACTGATTCATTATCAGTTCATAACCACATGTTAGCTTATAACCAAGCACCTTTTTCTTTTCATCTTGAGCTGTTAAATAATGTTTACTTACATTCTTTCGCAGACTAGCATGGAGCAGCATAGCATATAAAAATTTTGTGAATGTAATTGAAACATCAATACAATCTGTATAGTTAACTTCTTTGCAAATTTTTGCTTCAAACATGTCATAATTACAGTAAGTGTTAACTATTGAAGAAATAAGTGAAGGTTTTAATTTCAATATTGTAGCAATCTCTTTTGGTAAACTTACAATTGCTGTGTGAATAGTATCTTGTATTTTCTCAGGATAGCCACTAATTCTCTTTTGAATTGCGTTTTGTATTTCACAGCTTGCTTTAGTGTTCTCACAATTATCTATTAATATTTTAACAGCACTACAAATATCCAGATCATCTTCTAAGCTGATCAAGTGAGGATTAATTAAATGAATACAATTTTGAGACAAGAAAACCTGAAACGAAAATATAATTAAAAAGCTTATATTTTAAAATTTTGTTTGTGTCTTAAAACTTACTCTATTGTCAGCATTATCAGGCTTCAACCAACATGGTAGACAATTTGCAGCTTCAATTAAAAGAAAACAACCATCCCCATCTTCCATGTGGACTATCAAGTCCTCATACAGTTTAGTTAATTCATAAACCAAATAAACTATGAACCATTCATCTTCGATGTTGTCACCAAAACATGTTAAACTTATTAAATACTCAATATCTGTAATAAGAAATATATTAAATTAGGAACATTTTGTAATTGGTATATTAATATATATTGCTTTCCATATTATGATAGAAATATCTACTTATTTTGTTTTCTTCTATTTGCAATGGGACATCAATCTTAAATTCATCTCTATTCCACAAATACCCGTTTGATATTTTATTTATTGTAACGTTTAAATCGTTGCATAGATATTCCCACTCTTGTTTACAATACTTGTTGCGGGAATAAAACCGACACTGGATGGTGTCATCAAAGTTAAGTTCTTTTCCTTTGCGTACCATTTCTAGTAGTTTGTTTATTATATACTTGTAAAAGTTTTTTTAAGTACACATTGAGTTTTAACAATTAATTGCCAGGGGGTCTAGCCAAGATGGCTTAACAGTAGTGTATGTAGAAAGTCGAAAACTAAATTTGTATGAAAATGACAGCTCGTGTCGACAGTCGGTAGCCTAGGCCCTAAAGGCGTGAGTCGGGATACAATAAGCAACGCCATGACAGTGCTACGAAAAGACACACATTAACGCTTACGCTATTCGGTAGCCAACGGCCAATTAATGTTTCGGCAGTGTAGAAAAAACGGCGTTTCTCCGCCATGTTTTAGCGTGATCTCAAAAGCTGCTGTTTGCAACAATTCAGTACAACTATTGCCATCTTTAATGGCTACCGTTTTAAAAACATGTCATATTTTAGACGTTTTAACGAAATGGTTTTAATTTGTTATCTGTCTTTTTTTAACGTTCTCGTGTACCTAATTACATATAATAATTTAAACTAGAGTTAATATTTTTAAGTTAAGAGTTTTAGTTTTTCTATGAATCAATGCGAGGATAACATAATAGACACAGATAAATATGAAAATATCAAGAAAATCAGTAAATTAGTAGAGGTAAATCCTAGTGATATTGGATATCTTTTATTGATATTTATATTGCATGTAAGTTCATGAAATTATTCTTTAATTTGAAATATATATATATCATTTAATATTGCATATATTATGTAATCACAAAGTAAAATGATTGTACATTTTATTTGTATATTTCAGATGAGAAAGCAGTCACTAATGAACATAATTAGAAGTTCTAAATATATTTTATTGTAATTATAATAGAAGCTAATGATATAATATTGATTTAAATTAATCAAATAAAGTGGATTTATACTTTATGAACTTTGGAAATATAAAATCTAGTGAGCAATACTAAGTAATCGTAAGCAGATATTTTCTTTAATTATTTACTAAGTCAATATACTAGAGAAGTTATTATAATATTGTTAATAAATGAGAAGTTTGAATTCAAGTCCCTTGGGAGTTACTGACATTGTTTGGTTGTTAAAAACTTTAATTGACAATAAGCAGCAAAGTGACAAATTAAGTATATTTTTAAGTTTAGAATTAAGTAAAGAGTTTTAATATTAAAGTTACCTATTGAACAAACCTTGGACCGATCTTACAGTTTAGTTTGTCAGTTTTCTATTTGATCAAAGTACTAACTAAAATATTTTCTTTTCAGAAAAAGAGAAGCTAATAAGACAACTAAAAATATTAAAAAAAACCACAAATGGACAAGTTTTATTAAAGTCTTATCTTTTAATTAATTTAAGTGCTATATTATGTACCTGAAAATGAATTTGATAATGGGGAATGAAGCATTTTATGAATAATGTAAAAAATAAGACAAGTGGAGTATGAAATAATGGTTGGTTTGGTTTGAGTAACATTACCTCATGAACAGGAAACAGTAACTGAAACTATGTTCTTCCACATTTAATCTTAATAAGGTCAGCAGTTTGAATATTAATGAGATATTATTATAAACAAACTGCATTTGTAGATTTTGGGAAGAATTATATCTTTACAATAACTATTATTATTTACAATCACCCAGGATGTATTCATAGTAACTGTAGGTATCATAGTAATTTTATGAAATCATCACAACATCTAACGTTAGGTTTTATGAATTGAAATTTTTTTTGTATATAACAGCACACAAACAAGATATTGACATTGGTGCAAATTAACACTTACATTTATTAGTTAATTATCTACATATATAAATATGAATACATCTACATTAGGTAGTAATGCATTGAATTTGGTGCACCTGTGTGTGTACAGTAGTAATGTCTGTATTGTTTAATAAGTTGTTACATATGCTTATTTTTCTATGTAGACTGCATTATGGTAAGAAAGATATTTGGTGCCTTATTTTAATAAAAAATAACCATAACTGTAGCATTTTTATTTTGATACCTGTTTGTTTAATATTCCTAACTATTAGTAGGTACGGGTTATTCATATATGCATAATCTGTATATTCTTGTAAAATAAACTAATATTGTTAACCACTTTAATGGCTTTTCCTACTAAAGAAGACATAGGTAAATTACCAAAAATAAAACTGACAAATACATAACATACAATGTTTATTCATTTCTTACTTTAACAGATTTTGCATTTACATATTAACTAGTAGCAAATCACTGATATAACCAAAAGCTAATTGACATAAATATTAACTTAAAATCAGCGTCAAACTTAAATTTATATCTAAGATGTTGGAGCATCAATATGGAATCAAAGGTTGATTAAGGGTTATAATTTCATACCAGACTAAGTTTCTATTTTATAATTTTTATTAATCCCTCTTTTCATTTCATTGAGTACTTGCTGATTTTCAATTCTCACTTTCTAAAAGTATAAATTTATTATAAACAATCAACCTTTATGACTCTTAACTTAAACTGATATTGTTTGTTGGACATAAACAGAGATAATTCCAACTAGTAGCAAATCACTAATAAAATCTACACTTATATATAAATCTGCTTTCAAATTGACATTAAAAATGTTCAAGCACAAACACCAAACCTAATTAAAGCTTAAATCAAACTCTAATTTCAGTGTTCACACTAGTCTACGTTTTTTTTCTATTGTTTTTTAATTCATTGGACTTTATCAACTTCTAGTCAACCTTATTTTCACTCTTTATTTATCAATCCACAGTACTATTTCTATTGTTTCTTCTAAGCGGTAACAAAATCTGTTGCTTCTTCCTTTTGCAGATTAGTTGTGAGGTCAAATCCTAAAAATATCAAAGTATGAGTACTACTAATTATTATATATCACGATTATGCAATTTCAAAATATTGTATTTTTGTAACCTTAAATTTCTGAGAAAACATGAAACAAACCATAATTAATTTAAACATTCAATTAAAATTCATATATTCACTTTGCACCTTTCGTAAATTCCACTTAAATCGAAAATTGTTCCGACCTTGCTGACATTCTAATGTCCGTTTTGCAGCTTCCAATTGCAAAGTTACAATAATATTGTAAATTTTTTAACTTTTATTTGTTTATAAAAGTGACATTAGGAATACGTTTAATCCAGAGACAATATGACGGAATAAGGTGCTACGAACAGCAGCTCGCTTCTACGCTGTCGACTTTGCGGTAATGTATCGACATGCCTCTTGGCTACGAACGAAGCGTTTTCGACAATACAATTACGCAAAAGCGGTAGTGTATGTAGAATACTTTTCGACACCAATATGGCTAGACCCCCCTGCAGTCTGCACGCCAAATCCAATCCAAATTCCAATTGGTTTTTGACATACAAGCCAGCTGTCAGACAGGTAAGGTAAGTAGTACAGCAGCTATATTATAGCTGTGAGTCTAAATATATCTAAAGATTATAGTATTGGTATGTAATTTAAGTGCGTTTTCCAATTACAAAGCATAATGCGACTCAGTGCCGCACAATGCCGCATAATGCTGAAGCGTAATGGGAACGTGAATTAGTTTTCAAATGCATCAGCAGAGTGCGCTAAGTCAGTGTTGAAAAAAAAAAATGTTCTGAATAAAGTTAGCAACCTCATTAATGTATAAATAATATGGTTAACAATAATAATTGGTTGAAAACTTTTTACGCTTATTTTAATAATCAAATTATTTCATCAACATTTTTTTACTGAAATAAGAGAAAACCTTTAAAGAATATAAGGTTTTTAAGCCTTACAAATTTTTCAACAATAAATAATATTTACTAACGAAAATTTCGATAAATGCGAACTTAAAGAAAAGCACTGGTAAATTTTCTGTCACTGTGTTGGTATTGATTGCGAGAAGCACGCGAGAGCATTAGTTTTGAGAGTGCTCAATTGTGCGAAGCTTTGCTGTAGTTGGAACATTCAACGTTGAGCATTATGCCGCATAATGCGCTCTAGTGCTGTAATTGGAAAACGCACTAAAGCTGGCGGCTTCAACACATTTACACTTTGTGCGTGTGTAGGGTCTGTGAATAAGCGCGAGGCGTGATGTCAAACTGAAATACAATCACAAATACATCATGAAAAGACTGTCCGTCTCTCTCGCGCTCGGTCAAGCTTATGAGTATAAAAGTGACAGTTATTGTTTTGCTTTTGCTACTGTTTATGTTGATCTTTACTGTACATGTTGATCTTGCATCTTAATAAAAACAGTTTAATGGAAAAATGTTATTTTTAATTTGACATCAGATGCGACTGGGGTTTCTAAGAGGAGTATTGAAAGAATTGTTAGTGAAGTGTGTTGAGCTAGATGGAGCTTATGTCGAAAAATGAAAAATTATTTACACAAACTACTCTTTTACGTTCTTGGTCGGGCTTAGAACTTTTGGATCCACCCTCGTATGCACATAATATTTATATGTATTTGACACATTTTTATTTATTTACAACCCACCCAACCTTACTAAAACCAGAGTAGACTAAAATTTAATGCTTGGCAAAAAGTCATATTTTTAAACATACTGTATAGTGAAATTGCATTAGGATGAGTACTGTGAACGCGCCAGCTATCGATAACCGACCTATAGCAACGGACCATTGCCTATTGATTGTCATTTGTCAAATATATGTCAATCGTCATGTCCATGTTTGAGGTTAAAAATAAAAACATTTGGAAATAATTAAATTTAAAATGGTATTAAATATAAGAAGAATATTATACAAGTACGCTAAGTGCCTGATTATTACTGTTCTAACTATATTCTTTGCTCAGATATTAATATCGATAAATTATTTTCCTTCTATTCATGAAAATAAATTTTTACGAAGAAGTAGCCACAATTCCCTTCATTTAAACAACTTAGCTGAAGTTTCTGCAAGAAGAATCAACCCAGGTATTAGTGACGATGAAGATTTATCTCCGAGAAACCAACAAAATAAAGCTGTACTAAGGAAGGAAGAATTAGACTTTATTCCTATATGTGAGGTGAAAAGCCGGGAAGCTATTTCAGCTATTCACCGAGCTAAATCTCAGTTTTGTAAGCAACTTATTGTAAATAAAACATGTCTTATTCAAGATGGTAATTTTTATCCACAAGAATTGAATAATTATTGCAAATTGAATGCCAAGATATTTGGGCGACATATAGGTTGCTATTCGGATGAAAAAAAACTGAGATTGTTATCAAGCTTTTATGGTAATTATGCAAATCTGAACTCTCCACTATACTGCTTAGATATATGTGTTCAAGCTGGATTTCCCTATGCCGGTGTCCAATATGGGTGAGTGTTTTCTTAATGTATAAAGTATTCTTAAATTGAGATGAATTAAATTATTTACATAATTATTACATTTAATTTAACTTTCAGCTCTATATTGTCCAGTCAGAAAAAATAGACCTGTTTTATTATTGGTTAGTTAGTTGGTAATTCACCTATTTAAAATGATTAAATAAACAGATATATAAATGTGGTTATTCAAGTTTATGAGACTTCAGATTTTATAGAAAATAGATATTGTATATTGTATTATTTGTAGAACGGAGTGTTTTTGTGGGGAGGAATCTCCTCCTGAAACTTCTAAAATACCTGATAAATCATGTGACATGAAATGTCCTGGGGATATTAGCCAAGTCTGTGGTGGTTACTTTACTATGAATGTTTATGAAACTGGCCTGCATAGTAAGTATTACATAACATTATTTAAATACCTTTGGATTCATTGGTTGTATAAAGAAAAACCTGACTTTTCGGAAAAGCAGAAAAAGGCTGTTGTTTAAAAAAACAATAAAATTATTAAATAACAAAACTAATTATGTCATACACATATTTCACTTTTAAACAATCCTGTTACTGTCTGAATTTGTAGAAAGTATGATAAGTACAGTTGGGGATAAATTATTTAATTTATAAATTATTTTCTTTTAATCAATGAATATAATGGTTTTATATTCAAGAGGAATAGAATTGTATGGTATAAATTGGGGTCGGTATACAATCAATAATTTAATTTCTGAACGTTCTTGTGACATAGACTCGGAAAATAATGAAAAAGTTAATAAGACTGTTTAAATCGACAGACGGGCTGGGCTGACTTCTCAAACAGTCCCTAAATAATAATTTATTATCATATGTTATTTTACATTTATTTTTTTCGGTAATATATTTTAAAAACCGTTTGTAACATTTCACGAACATTGAGAGCATAGTTTTTGTGAAATTGGAGAAAACCTTTCAACAGTACCAACCGTAAATTCTAGCTCCAAAATTCTTATAGACTTATAAATTTACGGATTATATAGTTTATATAGTATATCGATGGGTGATACGTTTTTCGATTTAGTAGTTTTGATTGATTTAATTAATATTGTTTCTGGCGATATTTATATAATTTTGATCAGGCATTAATGGAAAAATTTAAAACTTGTTTTTCTTTATCTAGATCGAAGGGCCTATTACTGTATATACCTTGAACTAATTTAATTTTATATATGGCTACCTCATGAAAACTTTACTTAACATTGGGGTCATAGTATTGGTGTAATTAAAATTTTGCTTCTCACTCTTTAACTGAGAAAAACAGAATGTATGTTGTTAAATACCAGTTAGTACCGTATTTAATCCGCTATATCCTTATTTTATTATATATATTTATGTCCATAATATCACACTTTTATTTAATCTTAACGTCGCAATTCAATAAGATAAAAATATATTATATCAAAGACACAGTCACAGCTATTTTAGGTAATGTACGTATCTATCCAAGGTAAAATTTCCTCGGCATTGACTTTATAATATCGTAATCACAAACGTTATAAAAGTATAATTTTTACATTATATGTATTCAAAAAAAAATCAAAAATCATTTATTCACGTAGGTAACACAATGTACACTTGTGATTCGTCATTAAAGAAATACATATTAATGCTTCTAATTTTACATTTACTGCCAGTTCTCAAATCAAGGGCGTAGAACGGAAGGAAGACTGGCAATAAACTCTGCCACTTTTTTAATGTTTTTTTTTTTACACAACGTTTGTAAGCAACCATTACACCATGTTCAATGACATCTTAAGTAATTAATAATAATAACATAAATTAAAAACAAAGACTTGTCCTCTATCAGCAGGAGGCATGGTGAAATAGGAGCACGCACTTACATTCTCGTGGGAACAACACGCAAACACATAGTCGAAATAATTAACATCACCATTATGTATCTCACTGCCTGTTTTAAATAGGTAGATAAAGAAAAATTGGCAATTGGTAGCTGTCTTTGATCAAAAATGTCTCAATCGCAAATTTTTAGATGCTTTCAGTGATAGTTGTCAGCTATTTACAATGAATTTGGTTTTTTACACGAATATGCTAATTGTATGTTTGATTTTACGTCAGTTTCAAATGATGTAGGAGTAATACAATAAATACGTAATTTGTTTTACTTTACATTTTTACAAAACAAAATTAAATCTTTGTCTCTTAAATTAAACATTGATTTCCTTTGATGCACCTTAACTAAAATTTTCTAGGATTCATTTCAGATACGATAGATAAATATAAATCTGATTGAAATGGTTATAACTCAATTAAGTCATTATCAATTTTAGTTTATTAACATTTTTTTTAATTGTACAACTATGCCTATATAGGTATGGAATAATGGCAATTCACTTATTCATTTCAATTTTGTTTTTTTTTTTATTTTACATGTGCGATTTACTTCTTAACGAAGACTTACTTCATTAAACTTATGAATACAATAACAAACAATATGTGATCTTTTTTTACAGAATTTATTCCACAGACTCCGGAAATAAAAACTCAAGATGGAAAATCAATAAGAATAGTATTTCTATTAACTTTAAATGGAAGAGCTCTGAGACAAGTATATCGATTAATAAATACCTTGTACAGAAAAAATCACTATTTTTATATTCATATTGACAAAGTAAGTAAATTATGTGTTGTTAGTTCCAACTCATATGTTTTTTTCTATTAAATACTCTAACAACAAAAAAGGAACAATTGTATAAGACACTCGTTGTTTATTTTGATGATCAGTTTCTAACACGTGTCATATGCTATTTATAGCTAGGCAAAAGGCCCTTGTAAAATGTTGTTATCTATCCTTTTCTAAAGTTTTCATTGTAAATGGAATTTTATTTAATGTTTAACAAATTTTTTTTTATAAATTTTTTGTTATAATCTTACAGAGGCAGGACTACCTGCATCGCAAGCTATCATCGCTTGAAAAGCAGTTTCCAAATATAAGATTGGCTCCAGTTAGATTCTCAACAATTTGGGGTGGTGCTTCATTACTTAAGATGCTGCTTAATTGTATGAAGGATTTTATTGATTTGGGTTGGGAGTGGGATTACGTTATTAATTTAAGTGAAAGTGACTTTCCTATAAAATCTTTGGAAGAACTTGAAAACTTTTTGTCAGCCAATAAGGGTCTGAACTTTGTAAAGTCCCATGGACGTGAAGTTCAAAGGTTTATTAAAAAACAAGGTCTAGATAAAACGTTCCTTGAGTGCGAAACACATATGTGGAGAATAGGTGAACGAAAACTACCGCGCGGTATTACAATTGATGGTGGTAGTGACTGGGTGGCATTATCCCCTGACTTTGTTTCATACATTATTGAAGGTAAACAAGATCTACTTAAAGGTTTGGAAATAATATTTGAACATACGCTTTTACCAGCAGAATCATTTTTTCACACTGTTTTGAGAAATTCAAAGTTTTGTAATACATATGTGGATAATAATTTACACGTAACCAATTGGAAGCGAAAATTGGGATGTAAATGTCAATATAAACACGTGGTTGACTGGTGTGGATGTTCACCAAATGATTTTAGAACGGAGGATTGGGCAAAAATTCAAAATACTTTAAATAGGCAGTTATTTTTCGCCCGTAAATTTGAGCCCATCATAAATCAAGAAATAATAACAAGAGTTGAACAATTTATAGGAGTTAATGATCATTATTTGATTAACAATTTGGAAGCCTATTGGCAAAGCATTTATGATACAAATGATTTAACTGCAAGTACTGACGATACAGTTTTGTCACACGCGGGGAGTATTATTCGTCAGAATTCAAAAATCTTAGCTACAGAAGGTTGTGATATCAAATCGGGAGAAATATTAGAAATACATCTTTATAAGTATGCAGATGTTTACAAAGGAAATTTAATTTTACACAAAGCAGTGTTAAATAATGGTTTAAATGTTGTTATTGAAACATGGTACAAGCCTAAACATCACTTAGAGTTGAACTTTAATAGTCCAATCGTAGATTACATAAAAACGTTTAGAGTAGGCTCCGACTATGACCAAAAAGAAATGATTTTTAGAAATTTTGGTGGTATCTTAGGTCCTTTCTCTGATCCAGTTTTATTATATCAATTCTCTTCACATAAGCAAAGTGGAAATTTAACAGTTTTATGGCTGGATCCTGCAGGCATGTTAGCTGATGTTAATATTATCAGCAGGGATGAAAATAACCTTACGAATTTTATTAAACCTAATATTAGACACCCTCTTCTACCAGGAGTTTGGAAAGTAGGGCTATTTGAGCAAACAACTTTGGTAGCTGTAACAAAGTTTCTTATAACACCATTAGAATATTTTTCCGGAAAAGAAGTATCACATCAAGAAGTTGGCTTGATTCATAGTGGTTCACATAATTCGTATAGAAATTTAACAAATATCAAACCACTGAAATTCGTACCTGCTAAAGAAGAGTCACTTCTGTTGGAGGAAGTTTCAAACTCCAACATTAAACGAATTGGTAATGATTTGCGCGAATGGATTGATATATTAAATATCGAATTTTATAGCATTTTGGGTTCTTGTATAAATGACTCTAAAAATACGCATGAGTCGGAAAAAGTCCTTTGTGGAAATTATCATTTTAATCCATGCGCAGTGACAGAGTGGAGTTCTCTCTCTCCTGACCCTAAGGGCACAATCGGCAAATTAGATATACACACGGGCCGGTTAAAAAGAGTATGACAAAGGGATTTTCTTCATAAGTTGAATTATGTGTTATAAAAGGGCTAGAACAGTCAGTACCTATTAATAAACCTGCACATGTCAGAAGCTACCAGTATGGCAGCTTTAAATTATAACTATAAAATCACAAAGTTCCCTATTTGGGTTAATATTCTTAGTCATTAAGACTAGTCATCTTTTTAAATATCGGGTATTTTCCTCTTTTTATCCTATTTCTGTGATTTACATCATTGTGTAGGTAGAGCGAGATATAAACATCCCAGAATATAGTTGACTTTTGGGCGCAATGTTTTTAGCTTTCACACAGTATTAAATATCACTTTACTGATTACTTAGCAATAATATTATTCTATGATGTTGATGATTAGCGTATGAAACCTGATGTTCAACTGTTAATGTGTGTCGATATTCTAAAGGTTGAATTAAGTAAGTGCATCCTATTTCACCGCACCTTGCTGATAGTTGTGAAACGTTCGGTTTCCTTATTTTAAGTTTATTCTTTCTATTTTATTTTATTACAATAATTAACCGCTTTAAAATGTGACGAGGAACATGGTTGCTGGCGCTTACAAACATATTGTAAAAAACCTTAGAGTTTAAAATGAGTAACGAAGAGTTAATTGCCACTTCTTCTCGACCGTTCTACGCTCTTGATAGAACTTTTTTTACTGATGTTCGTAAGTGCATATTAAGACACCTACATGATAATCAGAATCGGTAACCAACGTGGCTATATTATAGCAAACTAATGTTATATTTTAATATCTTGTTCATGCTCAAAGACTGATCTTTATTAAGATGTAATAAATTATATATTATAGAATGTTGTATTTTTTTTCTTTTTGTCGCGCAAAACTTATAAATAATAATTTTGGCTGATTATGCTAATTATGGCTGACTTTTTAAGTATTAGAACGCTCTTTTCTTGATCTGTCGAATTGGAATACCATACTTCTATAGGCAATTCCACATATTGGTGGTGAAGGAAAAAAGCCTTGAAAGCACTCATGATGAATGGGATAAAACATGCATTCCCGACCCAATAAATGTGGTACCAATAAGGGGTAACAACTTATCATATATCTCAAGCATATAATATCTACCTAAATAATACTGGACTTTTAAAAAGCAGCATCTATATGTGCACAGTGCGATGAAGCTTAAAACTTACGGTAGATTTATTTTTCTTTGCTAGTTTGTGGCTTTTATTACTATCATATTATCAACAGCCAACTATTAGCTTTTGTTACTATAATTCAAATCTTGAATGAAGTTCATATAGCGTAATATATTAGGTTTAAATCAATTGTTAATAACAGCAGACTTTACGTAGTCGGTCCCAAAGTTCTATCATAAATGGAAATAATGATAAAAACAAAAGTACTGATCAGTTTTTAACTCTATTTAATTTCTAGCTTCTCCCTAATTTATCATTGTTTATTGTAGGTACTTCTCTTCAATATCGAAAATTTTTTCGTCCGTAAAGAGGATATCACGGTGTCGGTTTTTTGCGTACCGCTTTAACAACATCTGCGATCTCTTAAGTCTTATTGATTTTACACGAGCATTAAGTAAGTGCCCACTCTTTTTTTTGTACGCTCGTAGACCAAGATCTTTATTTAAAACCTTTTTTACTGTTTTCCTACTGACACCCATCTGCCAAGCCTTCTGTTTTCGGACAGGATTTCTTGCTATCCGCGCCTTGATAACTTTGATTACTACTGATGTTCTCGCGGAGCGTGGCCGGCCAGTTCTTTTTTTGTCCTCAACACTGGAGACTTCATTGTAACTATCAATACCTAAGCGTTATATTCTAATTTTTGAGTAACTTGAAAATTAGAATATAGAAAATGGTACTCGGAGAGTGCCCACAGCGGTGCAACGCAATATCAGCTATTCGGTTTTCTTTCAATGTCCACTCTCCATCGTGAAAAATTACGGAAAGTGATTGTTTTTTTGTTTTAAAACAATAATCAAACATTCAAAAATAGAATGCAATAATTTTTTTTTAAATTATGTTTGAAATTTACGTAGAAAGATTCTCCTTTGATTATATTTTGAGAGCAAAATGCTGGTTATAAAAAAAATATTAAGATCTATATTCTAATTTGTGCAAACAGCATGCGTGAGGTCGTAAGATCGATTCCTGGCCGGACACCAATGGACTTTCTGTCTACGGGTAAAGAAAAACATTATGAGGAAACCGGTATATCCCAAAAAAAATTGACGACTTGTGTCAGACGGTAGGCTTATTACCTACTTGTCTATGAAATAAAAATTATTAAAGAAACGGATGCAGAGTACAATGTTCTAAAATACGGGCCTTAGTGTGAAACGTAAGACCTTCGGCTCATTGCACCTATTCTCATGGGTATTTGAAATTGATATAACTATGTAAAAGTTAAGTATTGGATAAAAATGAATTAATATAGAGATTCTTAATAGCATACATAATGTTGCTGTTTATTTTTAGCTGGAATAGATTTTGCAGAAAAGTGAGGTAAGCAAATATCAAAAATGTGACCAGAATTGAAGGTGTTAAAAATCCTTTGCTATATTTATGAATTAAATTTTTAGATATATTTAGTGTATATTGACAGTTTTACTTTATTTGAAATATAAACAAGGTTACCACCTGAAACATTTTATTTAATCTAATTCTATCAAAATTACAGTTAAGGATTGACACGAAGGTTGTTAAATTTCAATTAAAAAAATATTTTCCAAAGTTTATACTAAAATTAAATTAATTTAAACATTCATATCAATCCTTTCCTGAATACCAATATTGTAAAGAGATCAGAAAAAAACATTGGGGTAATAAGCTCTCAAACACCTGATATTTCAGAAACAAATTTTTAAATCTTACATTATTGATATTATAATAGAAAATTTAAACATGAATGATAAAAAACATCTAGTATAGTGGCAATAATATTGACACTGTACGAAAGTAACAGGAGTTTCCTACCTAGCACAGAAAATAGTTGTATAGTAATAGACCAATGGCAAAGTGCTAGGGAAGAGTTTCACACATTTTATAAATTGTTATATTGCAATTACCCATGGTAATTTTAAAGAAGTTGGTAGTGACATTATGACTTAGAAGAATTGCCAAACACCAAGTACTGCATCTTTGATAGCTTCAATGTATTGTGCAGGGACCCAATATATCCAATAGCGAGACGCTTCAGTAGGTCCTAGTTGAAGGCCCTAAAAACAAAGAAATATTAGTATATTATTAATAAAATTGTCTTTATATTATAATAATGCTTACCATAATATGGTATTCTTCATGCTCTTTGATAGGTTCTGAAGTGATGCCTGAAAATTAAAACCATACTAGTATGATATTTTTATGACACAATGGAGAGGATGATTAAGTAAGGCATAATTATCTTACTTTTAATAGATGTCATAGCAAGCTTTTCTGTTCTTTCCTTAGTGCCAATCCAAAGCTGGTCCTGTTCCGGTTTGAAAGTAAGTCTTACTTTGCCTCCATGCTTATTTAACATTCCACTTAAGGGTGTTGGTGGTAAAGGTTCCTGAATATAATACCACAATATTATATTATAGTCCGGGGAATAATATAAAAATATCTTCTACTCATACTATTTGTATATCAGTACATTACAAAGAATAGATGATGATAAAGCAATAAATTTATTTGACTATTTTTAGAAATATATGACAAGCTTTAAATTTCTAATACCAGAAAGTTAACATTTAAGAAGGAACTAATACTACTTTACCTTAACACCTTTTAATCCCGCCATTACATCAGGAGGGATGCCCTTGTCAAGCACTTTTTGATGTATTTTTTGCATACACAAAGGTTCTTTACTAGAGTGACTACTATTTTTCTCTTCTAAGATTTCCTAAAGGGAAAATTGTCTTTCTGTAGTATTTAATACTAATAATCTCTTATAACTACAAACTACTTATTAATAAATAAGGAACAATTAAAGTGCATTCATAAAAAGTGAAGTTTTTTTCTAATAACTAAAATGTATACCTTTGGTGCACTTTTTACTGCTAAAATGTCATCCATCTTTGAACCAACCAACATTACTTTGCCTCCTTTAACAACTCCTGCTTTTCGTAATGTCATATCATCTTTTGCCATTCCTTTAATAATTAATTTTTGAGCAGATTGTGGCACTGCACATATTCTTTCCAGATGTGCTTTTAGTTCCAATACTGTGGCATCATATGCAAATGTGATGTCATGTTTGTTTTTATTAAAAATAACAGTAAATTCGATCTGTTCTGGTATATCGCATAGTTCGGTTTCTTGGGGTTTTACTGATGTGCAGGGTGCGCTATCCACTGGTGCGATGGAGTTTAATTTATCACAATCAACACTGCTTTTGTTTTCTATACATGAGGCCTTTGAAGCTCCATTTGATACAACTGAATTTGGATCTCGATTTTCTGCTGTATCTCCCTTTTCTGATGCTAGTAAACAAAAAGGATGATTTAGCAAAATTCTAGAACAAAAGCCCCTTGTGTGATTTTAGATTTATACCATAAGTGCCGCTAAATTCGTTGAAATGGACATCTTATACTCACCAATATAATCCATAACTGATTCCTATATTATTTTTGACTAAATTCTTGTGCGGTAACCAATAAATTTATGAATGTTATATGGAGTTATTTTAAAAAATAATTAAAAATATACTGACCGCGGACCAATAATATGACTGGTTGAAATTAGCACATAGCTCATACTTCAAAAAAGATTGACATCTGACAGCTGTTCCTGTTACCATATTATAGATTAAGTATATACAAAACCCACTGGGCAGGAATAATTTATATATATTTCATATAATTACAAAATGTATCAAAAATAAACGTTTGTTATATTTTTGACCCAAAAGAGTATTTTTAAAACAAATAAATATGTCATATTGTGTTTATGTTTTTTGTCTATCATTTTCCCATTGTTTCCATGGCAGCCACTTCAAAGTTTTCATAAACATTAGTCCTTTAATAATAAAGTCCGCTTTTATAATAAGTATTTTTCTAATTAGTTTGTGATTAAATAAGCTATACATCGAATTTGTAGTTTTTACCATGAGTTTTAGTGCCGACGATCCGTTGGCGGGTATTTTAAGTGACGGAAGCGATGATAGTTTCTTTGATGATGATATTTTAAATAAAAAGAAACCTGACAAAAAGAAAGATATCATAACTAACATTGAAAAAAAGAATACGTTATTCGACTTAGATGATCGGCAAAGAACTAAGCCCTCTGATAATACTTACACATCCAGTAAGATAAAGGATAACGTAGAGTCACGAAAAACTTCATCAATAATTGAAAATAAATCTATATCTCCGGCTGCAGTAAGACATTCGTTTTCTAAAGAGGAAATTAATTTAACAAAAGAAAAACCTAATACAACCTTACCGGATTACTTTCAATCTCCGATAAAGCCAAATGTTTCTAAAAAAATAGATTTATTAGGCGATCTAATCGAAGAGAAAAATATACCAAAGCCTTTAGAAAGGGGTAAGAGTTCACAATCCTTATTGGATGACATACTTGGAGGGGCTACTGTAAAAACACAAATATCAAGACCTGCTACATCAACGAAAAATCAAGATATTAATTTGAACTCGGTAATAGGAAAAAGTGAATCTAAACAAACTTTAAATTCGAATATTGGTTCTAAACCAACTTTATTAAAACAAGAGCTAAAACCAGATAACTCTAGAACGAGTAAACAGAAAAAGAAAAGTGACGATTGGCTAGGAATCTTTCAGGAATCGGAAGATACCATTAAGGAAGATTCCGATATGCCATCTTGGTTAACGGGAGGTAAAACAAAACAAGTTGAAAAAGAAATAAAACCTACTGAACCAGTCAAAGAAAGCATAGAAGAAACACACACTGAAACGAAAGAAATTAGTAATGTAGAAACACCACAACAAAAATGTTTAAACTTGGAGGTGAATGATGATTTGACATCAGAAGGATTAACGATGTGTTTGCAGCAGCAAGAAGCTCAGCTGCAGATTGCTCTTCAGTTAAAGGCACAGGATGATAAATTAGCAGCAATGCAAAGTTAGTATAAAAAAAAGTGCGTGCGTACAAAGTACACATGTCAGAAGTGAAACTTCTTTGTAAATTAATTATTGAGTAATTAAGCTTAATTAAATTAATCCCATAATTTAATTTTGCCAGTCTTTCTATATTAATGAATGATACTAAGGCTAATTAAAAACCAGAACTAAAATTAGTTGTTGTTATATATATATAGAAAAACCACCATAAATATGGACAGTTACCAAATAATATAACAAATTCATTATGATCATAATTGCTAACTTATCACATTTTATAATATAGACAACTGTGTCTTAGCAAAAAAGGTATTGGTTCTGTGCCCTTACAAAAATGCAAAAACAAAATAAATTGTATTTTAGTTACTTAAAAAAATAATATAAATTATTAAAATATTTAAATTTCAATTCTGAGTTTTTAAAACAGTTTCAGAGTTGGTATTTTTGATTACGCGTCAATTTTTATCTTATTTTACCTTTTCAGTGCGTCAGAAGGAAACACAAAAAGTGCAGCGTGAAACAGCAATGGTTCATCATCAGCAGTTAGATGCAATGCTGCGTAGACAAGCTGAGCATCGCCGACAGATGCAAACCATTATTGCCTCCCATCAAGATAGGATTACGCAAAGGATAAAGGTTTAAAGGAAATATGAAAATACGTCAACACCGTTAGCTTTAACAGTTTGTTACAGCAATAAAACAACCAGCGATTCCTAGGCCAACCAACACTTGTTGCGCTTTTTTTTCTTTCTAAAATACACACCAACACATTGAATCACCGAAATCAAAGTAAATAAACGAATACACAACAATTAATTGCCTAATTTTATGCGTATAGGATATATAGGTTGGTATAGAGTCCATTCCCGTCAAATTAAGAAACGTGTTGTAAGGTAAAAGACTTTTCAATAATAAATAATTATTAGTAAAACAGACAGTAACTCGAGACAATTTGTATTCAGACAAAAGTGATTACATACTTTTATGACTAAAATTATTTCAGGCACTGTTAGTCAATACCGAAGACGTCGCGCTGGGTATAGTTGACGGGGAAGTAGACCCGACAGAAGTTAAAGAAAGCCCTTACACGAGAGAAAAGAAACAATTGCTTCAATTAGTTAAGTCACTTCAACAGAATCATGATAAAGAAATTGATTTAATGGAAACTTCCTATAGGTTTGTGTAAAGTTCTCCTGACCAAATTTTTTTATTGATGACTCAGCTGAGGTTGGCGGCAAAAGAATTTTAATTAGGTAGTTGTTTGATTTTTTTAGGAAATTAATACTATAGTTTCGGGAAAAGTTATGGGTGCTTATGAGTATATAATATGTTATAAGAGTAATAGAAAGTAACATTAGAACTATGGGACTTTGATACCGAATTGTCTTAAGATATCAATAAAAGAGACACAAAATATGTCTGCCTGTCACGAGACATGGCCAGTTTAAAAATTCATAGCTAAAAATAGTACAATTTCCATTATAGGCGACAATTAGATTTTTTGGAAGTATCTTATAACCAAGCTGAAGAACGAATGAAAGATGAGGCAGACAAGCTGGTAAAATTTTATACTGAAAAGATATCGTGGTTGGACGACCATCACCAAATGTACAAAAAAATGACAGAAGAGAATTTAACCTCTATCATGGAACGGCATAAGGCCGAAAATGACGTACTAAGACAACAACACCTTGACAATATTAAAGTTTTACAGGAGCATCATGCATCTCTTTTGGAGAATATCAAGTAAGAATACAATATTTAATTACAATTTAAGTAGAGTCATATATTGTCAATCATACTAGTCAGCTAGGGAGCTTTTTACTAGTGGTTTATTTCATTAGGGTTTCTGAATTCGATGTCAGTAAAATACCTACAATTTATTCGGCCGCTAACGATATATTACACAACTTCTCAGCTTAGACAATAGGACTTCGACCCAGTTAGTGCTTAGACTAGTATAGTACCCCCTTCAACTGTTTATTTTCACGAACATACACTTTATTTTAATTTGATTATAGTCTACTCCACTAGAAGGAGAATGTACGTTAATTCCATAATTTTACGTTTTCACCTCTCAACCCTAATACGTTTTTACGCTGGAAAAAGTGTAGTTTAGCTGTTGTATTTTTACTGCAGTCGTGGTCAGAAATTTTCTCGCTCAACTTAAAGAAAATAATACCAACAATCTTGGTAAAGATGTTATAATAAGACGAACACAATATTTAAAATACTACAGCAATTAGTAATAAGTTAATTTATGGTCTCAGAAATAACAGCCAGATTATTTTGTACTATAATCGCTAATACAATGCAACGCTATTAATGAAATTATATCTCGCAATTCCAGACACGCAGTAAAACAGGAGCAAGTTCTTATTAAGGACTCAGCAGAATTTTCATTAGACTTACAAGGGCTGGTAGTAGATGTTAAAGATAATAATGACAAATGTCAGCAGATGTTCAGTAAAATGGACGCGTTGGTGAAAGAAACTCAAAGAGATAATGAAAGAAGTCTGCAGATAAGAGAGAAACATATTACGGGTATTTTGATTATTTACAGAAAAATATTCAGGTTGATATCTATATCGGTAATATTATTAAGTTTGTTTTGTTTGGTTCAACGCACTTCGGGAACTACCGATTGACAAATTGTCTTGTGCTGAATATACCATTTATTGAAGAGGGCTTTATGCTATATAACTTCACTACGAGTGAATAAGGACAGGTCGTTTTTTTACGTTAAAAACAATTGTAATTTTCTATATCACAAATATACGCCAACACAAGAATTTAATTTAAAAAAATGTGTGCAAAGTTCCATAGTTAAATAGTCACAATATTGTGTTTTAAAATTGAGGTTCTGTTACGAAAATTATTGTTTATAATAAAACAGTAGAATAGTGGAAGCCAACACAAAAGTAATGGCCGATATTGATAATTTAACATCTCATTAAATGGATTCCTTCATTAAAAGTCTATCTTAAAATAATATTTTTCAGATATCATTGATCAGCTGAAAAAAGATCGAGAGGACTTTGAGAAGGAAAAAACGGAAAGTAAAGATATTGTGAAAATGCTTGAAAGCCGACTCCGACAGATGACTACAGTAAGCTTACACTCTTACTTAAAAACATTGACGATTATTAGTTATAAGATTTAGGTATATATACGTAAATATATATTTTTTAAATATTTTTTATCTAGGTTAATTGGTGTGGGTATAAATATTGTATCGTTCTATCGAATTAGTAATTACTGTAAAGATAGAATAATGATATGGAATAAATAAATAAATAAAAAAAGTCTCAGTCGTGGCCACAGATTTTTCAGAGACACTTTAACTTTCTGTATCTGTTTCGTGATCATTTGTTATTTCTAATAGGCAAGGTATCAGCCTTCTGTGCTTGACGCACACCGTTTTTTAGGTCTAAGGCATGCCGATGTTTTCCTTCACCGTACTAGCGAGTAATAATGAGCAAATAGACAGGAAGTCCATTGGTGCAAAGGGGTTCGAATCCCACGATGAAGCCTCTAGACACAACTCTGTTTATTTTAAGCAAATGATAAATAAGCACATAAAATTTATTATAATAACATGTAAATCGGATGCGATATGATATTTTATCATAATTATGAACTTTGGGCATAAAAGTTCGATTATCGACATGAAATTGAGATTGGTTTTATTTGTTTGCTTTCACGGGTTTTAAATCTGAACATGCTCCGTTGATAACCTTGATGCTCCGATCAGCGAGAAAGCTGAAAATCCAAATACATAATTTCTCGGGGAGCCCATAGGCTGGAAGCTGAGCAACCACGGCGAAAGCCCTACTGATAATCGCTAATCAGCTGGTGGCCCTCCTCTATCTCTGGAGTTAATAATGGTTTCCAATATTTTGGAGAACAAGGCGTGTATATCTATTGAGCGATAGTTGGCCGGATCAGAGCGATTGCCTTTTTTAGGGATCGGATGTATTGAAGCACTTAGGGACTATCCTGAGCGAGTACAGATACCGGAAAAGGCGAATTAAGACCGGAGCGAACTCAGAAGCACAATTGAGGGGATACTTATATTAAAATAATAAAATTAACAGTAACCAGTACTGTAATTTTCCTAAAAAACCTAAAAAAACTAAAGGTCAGATTCAGAATCGACACTTAGTGCTAAGTATGACTTCCATCAAAAACGTATTGGGTATTAACATACGAAAGTCCTACTTAGCGTTAAGTCTCTGAGAGTGACTACGGTGTTTATTAAAAACAGATGATGGAAGAGGAAACAGCGTCTCTTCGACAGAAAAAGATGGAGTTTGAATTCGAGAAAGCAACGTTTAGTAAACAGACTGAATTCGCCAAAAATTTGCTTAAGAAACAAGATGAAGAGGTTAAGGTATGATAAAAAAATACGTTTTAATGGAATAAGCTTCTAGCAGCCATTATAGAGCGGTATTTTATTCTAGAACCAGTGTAGCGATTTGATTCCCACAATTTTTTTTCTATTCAAAGGCAAAATTGAAGGGGAATTTTTTTATTTTCCTTATAATACAAATTTTATTATACATTTTCGTAGATGGCTAAATAAAAACATTTGAACTTACAGATGTTAAAAAATGAAATACAGAAGGAATATCAAGAGAAGATAGCGAGGGTAGATGAAGAGAGGGCTAAAATTATGAAGGAGTCGGGATTGGTTGCCAAAGAAAAGGCCTCCATACAAAGTCTAAAATTGGAAATAGAGGTAGTTTAGATTTTTTGTAAAATCGGTTATAATATTGTAAATGACAAAATTTGTTCGTTCCTAAAAAGGAACAAGTCTAAATTTAAATTGATTTAATTTAGATATATTTTAAAAAAATTGACTTACCTAACTGTCAATAATTTTTATAGTATATATGTTTTCGGTTCTTTGTTTGTTACAGAATAAATTTTAAAAAAAATTATACGGAATTTAATGAAAACGTTTAAGTAAAAAAATTATAAAATTTCAGAAAACTAAAGCAGAGTTGGATGCTCGTCTACAAGAAGTAACCGAGGAGAGGTCAAAACTAAACGCCGAAAAACAAGCGATATATATCGAAGAGCAGAGAATAACAGCCAAGTGAGTTTATTCGTTTTTTAGGCAATGCCGCTTCATATTCAAATCAGTATTTTTTGTATTATTTTTCTTAAATTCATTTGATATATTTTACCATACGTCTGAAATTTTTTTCTCATTAGGAATCGAGATTTGGACCTCTTAGCGAAATCGGCTATCGAAAAACAATCGCAAGCAGATAAAAAACTATCGGAGGCCAATTTCATTCAGCAAAAATACGAAGATCGCATTCATAGGATTCAAGAACATGTTGTGTCATTAAATTTAAGAGAAAAACAAATTGCGAAGGAAAAAGTAGCTCTATCAAGGGAAAGATTGAGTTTGCACAATGAAAGGAAACAGTTGGATGAAAAGCAATGTTCTTTATGTCGTACTAATGTTCAGTCTCTGCCGGTTCATACGGAGTTTGGGATTTCGAGAGAATTTAGTCACATGAGTTTTGTTCCCAAAGATTTTTCTATGAATAGAGATTTTAATTTAAGCAGGGATTATGGTATAATTAACGATATAGAAATGGAAATGTCTAATTTTAATAATGAGGGCAGACAAGACGGGGATATCGCAGAGGATGGCCAAGGGCAAGGATCCAATCGGTATAAGGTAAAAAATATTCTTGTATGTGATTTGAATTAAACTTTTCGTATCAAAATCCTGTTATTTTTTAAAGAAAATACGCTTATATTGAACAATATTTAACTAATGATGATTAGAAACGTTTTTTGTTGTTATTTTACTGTATTAAAATCATTTTGCGTGATTGTGTTGAAACATTTTTTATATATTAACAAAACCGGGAGAGCTCGACTATGGTTAAATTATATTAGTCAAACAGTAGTTACTTACTTCATAAAAAAATATTTTACTTTTCAGAGTTACATGGATCCAAAGTTAATGATGCTTCGCTTGGATGTTCAAAAAGTGATTAATAGTTTACAACAAAGTAAAAAAAATGAAGAGTTGACTGTTGGTCAGGACAATGGATAATTTGAAGAATCGACTTTTACTTAACTAAACTAATAGTATTATAATGATTTTTATATTGCACAATATCCCGTAACTCAGGTTGCCAAATTGTTAATTTCTAGAGCGTTGTAATCAGGTCTCAAAGAATTTGCATAAGTTTTAAAGATATGTGATTTGTATCAACTCATATATCGTGTATAAGATTATTGATTTTATTGCTCTTGAAATAAACGTATAACAAAGACTCATATTTTTTTCAATTGTATACAAAAAAAAAACCTTTAATTTTTTGTAATGACTAAGGCGACCATTGGTAAGATTCGGAGACAAGACAGTGCTAAGTGTGGCTACAGTATGCGGAAAACGTATTGAATTTGATGTACGCTGTGCGGTTAACTTTAATGGTTTATAAACGTTCAGAATAACTTTTTGGTGCATAGTTAGAAAAGCAGAGTATGCAAAATTTAACTACGACTCTCTGTTTTTCTAGAAGATACATCTTCGTCATTAATCATTTTTCGCATGAGTTTTGGTTTTGTAAGTTAAATAAAAGATACATAATTTAAAATTCTTTTATTTCGATATATGGTTATTTTCATTACTTCACAAATGTTATCAAAATGTACAGAAATGCCTAGAAGCTATCTTACATATTAAAATACACGTCTAACAAATTTATTTTAAAGACTATCGAATAAAATAAAATTTAGGAATACAATTCGAAATGGCTTCAATTATAAATAATTAAATATTTTATTTCACAATTAGAATTACTCTCAGCTTAAGAGTTATTTGCACCAATGTCTACCACAGTCTTGAATTAAAATGATGTTATAAACTTTATGGACGGCTTGGCCTTGTATCTCCAGATCTAATACTACAAAAATAATTTTCCTTACAACTAAAGCACTAATAAAGCATTTCTATGAGATGTTATCGGTTCGCTATTGCATATACCCTAATGCTATACAATATTTACATGTTTGATATATCGTATTGTGGCACTTGTTAACGCCTTTTTAATTGGAAATTAAGTAGCAATTAAATCACACCGATTAAGCTGATTAACAATTAGGGAACTAAGATAAAATAAAAGATTTATATAAAGAATCACTTTTATAACAATTCTAATTTATTTAAAAATCATGAATTACTATCGAAAGTCATAAAACGATAAGGGCATGATAATATTTATATTTCATTATAGTATTCTTATATCACAGTAATAATAAGTATAAATATTTATTAAAATTTACACATAACATTACAGGTTCATTTTATTAGTTTTAACGGATCATACAAATAATATACGGCCAAGGGAAAATACGAAAATATTTCTTTGAAATTATAAATGGTTGTCTTGATAGTATTGTAATTTATTCACAAAATAAACTTTTTGTAGCGCGACGCGCTGCGTTGCGTTTCAATAAGCAGCAAAAGGATGCATTGTTCTAGGCCATAGGATAAACTCCACGACCAAAATTGGCCTCAGGTGGCCAATGAAACCTAAGAGTGACGTTGAAAACGAATAATAATACTATATACAGTAGCATGGTTAAATATAATTGTATGTGTATTGTTTGCAATAATCCAATTCTCAACTGTAAAATAAGAATCTCAGTAATAATAATGTTTTGAAATATTACACATTCTGTATTTTATTGTGATAGCTTATAGTGTCAATGTAGACGCATATAGGAAACTTACGTTTACAAGAAACATTTTTAGGTTAACAGGTACACTATTATATTACTAGTATTGTTATTCGTAGCCGAGGTCAGTATAATTAAACCGTGGTGATAATGCGCTCCTGACTCAATTCAATTATAAAAATAAATAACGCCATGATATGTAGGCACGTCTCCAACGACGAAGACGATGACTATGAATCATGAAAATGGTTTGAAATGGGAAATTAAGGTGAATAATTAAAAAGTTCTCATTAAAAAAAATGATTGAATGTCTCAATATAATATTTTAATCTAATTAATTTTATCACGGATGTTGAACTGTCCTTCTGCGATGTAACTTATGTTATTTGAAATCTAAGGCACTACCATACTGGAAGATTTATCGGCGTTATGATTTAAAATCTGGTTTCTGACACTTGACTTCGAGGAGTTGTGGATAATTTTCTACTATTGACAGCAGGATACCGTCAATGTAGTCTCGCAGTTGTACGTTCACATCTTGCTGCTCTTTCAAAGCCTTTTGCAACTGTAAAAAAAAGAATAACAATATGTCACTAAAAAGAATAACATATTGCGTCGGATTCGTGCTTCTTTTGGGAAAACAGGGTGATCATGCGATAGTATTAAAGGAACACAAATATTACGACCAACTTCTTTATAAGCTAAAAAACCAACCACCCCATACATTCACGATCAAATTTAATTTTAGTTATTAACATTTATTTCAGATGAGAACTTGAACTACCTACCCATCTTTATTAAGTTATTTGCATTCATCGGTATTTTACAGGACATGCTTGTTATCGCGACTCATTGCAATAGCAGGAATAATAAATATCTAATTCTTAGAAGCAACTAAATAATTAATTTCAAAGTTTTGGCAAGGAAACATTGACGGTAATGTAAGTCTAATTAGATTTAATCACGCCTTTTAGGCTTTGGTTAACGAACCTTTAGACAAATATTACATTACTTTCAGGGTCTCATTAAAACCAAGATTTCCGAATATAGGCATATACACTATTCGTAATATTTAATGAAGCTGTTATGCCAACTTTATAAACAAGACTTTGTATTATATAAGTTATAATTCTGTAGGTTTTGTATATTTTGAGTTTACTATCTTATGAGTTGCCAGAATTGGTGGGCTCGATTCTTTGCCTCTTATGTTATCTCTAGATTCCTTAACTTTCAATCTATGATAAATTTTAAAAATGTCTTCCAACTCCCTCCTCATTATAACACTTATTATAAAAGACTAAATTACCCGAGATACTGCGTCCGTCATCGGAAAAAAGGACAATTTTATCTATTATCCTTTTTATTTTGGAGCTTATATATTAAGTTACTCAGTTACTTTACAAACTAAAGTTCTTAGAAGTTTTAGCCAAATTTAAGCCAAATTTAAGTGCGAAGTAACTCTCGAACCTTCAAATGTTTATGACATTTGACAGATGTTAGTGTACTTGAACTTGCCTCTGTCATTTAGGCCTGTATTCGAGAATGTCATCTTTATTTTCTTTACATGAAGTTTGACATATAATGACTTGTGAATAATTGGAATACGGGCCTAAGTGTAAGTGATTAGTGGTTAGAAATCATGCAAAGTATGATACGTGCAGTTAGTGAAGATAGCGTACCTTTTCCAACTCTATGCTGTCAGACTGTTCGCTACCAACGAGCTGGAAAAACGCATATATACGTCAATATTGCAAATTATATCCAGCTAAAAGCGAAGCGTGATTGGCTTAGAGTTGTCTTGAGCAGTTTTGTAGTAAGACGACAAATACTCTATTAATACCCCTTTATTCATAAAGAATATATCAGTCTAATTGCGCTGTTTGAACTTGCACTTTTCCGTCTCTTTCCATCTCAGCGTAAACACAATTTCATAGAAAGAGATGAAAGAGTTAGATGTTATGAGAGCAATTGGATTGATTTAGTTTTAATGATTTTACGGTTAATCTCAGCTTTGTAAATATGTTTTAAATGTTATATAATTATCAATTTAAAAAAGATTTTTTTAAATTTAACAACTTTACAGACTGCTTACTACTGCTGAGTTTAATTAAAGAGTCGGTAGTCGTCGAGTCGTCTATAATAAACATGTTTTAATACAAAAAAATTGGTAATGGATATGATGATGACTTTTAATTTAAGATCCAGAAAAATATGTGAAAATGACGTATAAAGGAGTCTATGTATATGAAAATCAAATTCATTACTTTCATAAAGTAATTTATAATAATAATTAGTCTTTAAATAATAATGTTGATTTTCACACACAAAATCAGATGTTTTAAAATGCTGTAAAAAATTATGAAAAGTGATGAACATTTTAATCCAGAATGAGCTTACCTTTGATTAAATGAATCTTCATTGACTTTTTAATGTAAACGATGTTTTGTTATCAGTAAAATATAATATTAAAATGTCGATCAATATTGGGAATACCGAATAATCAGATTTTCAGTGCATTTAAGTGCAAGGAAGCAAAGCATTTCTATGCAAAGCGAACCAAGTTTTAGATAGCCAAAATTATTTTAAATTTTAAATATTTAAATCAATCTGACGAACATTATTGAATATTGAATTGTACATGCTAGCCAAAATCTCTATTATGAATGTATGTAACATTGCCTTAATAAAGATTTTAGTAGCTACCGCGAAATTTGGTTAAAAGTCCATACCAATACAACTTTTCTTATCTTAACGAACAATAATAAGCCCTTACGTACATTTACAGTTTGAATTAAGAATGTCAAATTACAGTTTCCAAGTCATTGTAATAAAAACAATTATAATTGAATTGACATTGGCTATCTAAAACTTGCCCACATATATAGAAAGACTGTTTACCTCATGGTCACTCATTTGCGAGAGTTCGTGTGCCAAAGAGTTGGTAGCGACGAGAGGGCCGCTCACTCCATCTAACAGACTGCGACCCTCTTCAACGCCTCGAGTTAGAATCTGCGCCTGGAGTTCCTCTTGGGCTTCTGTGAGAGCTGGAATATATGGAAAATTATTAGCATGTTATCAGTCCTTCTTAAATTATATGTGGGACCAATCCATAGAAAATTAGTTCAAGTTTTTTTTGAAAGATTTTAAATTGTATGATAAATATCAGTGTCCATATTATATTAAATTATGTTTTTAGTATTCCACTACATACATGCACATAAAAAAAAACTAATTAAAATTTGCAAATACGGTAATTTCCATAATATTGTAAATACTTACATTTATTCTGGGTGCGTAGCAGCGTGAGTTCCTGCTTCAGCTCATCCACCCGAGGGTCTGGTGGTGGGGGAGGAGCCGCCTTGAGCGCTCGGAGTTCCTGCTGTGCGGCGGCGAGGAGTGCTCTCGTCGCTTCAGCGGCCTCTTTTTCACGTCTCTCGGCGTCTCTGGCACTACTCATCTGAGCAGCCAGTTCGCTCGCTGCGTCTTGAGCTTCGCGTGCGCTACGCGAGCTTATTTCAGCGTTCGCCCGTAGGGTTTCGGCAACGCCACGGAGTCTACCCACCTGAAATATTTCAATTTCATTAAAATAGACGAGTGAGCGATTTTTTATTGTTTTATTCAAACTTAAAAATATCTTTATTCATATAGGTAGGTAGGTAGTACACTTTAGAATCGTCAGAATGAAGTAAAAATAATTGTAAATTTACATTTACTACCAGTTCGATATATTTATTCGATATCCAGTTTATTTGTATATGTAAACCAAATAGATCGAACTAAGGTAATAAATCAATATAATATTTAAGAGAATTTAATGGTGTTTCTCTTAAGATAGGTTAGAAAAACAAAAGACAACTAAGTTTTCATAGCAAAGCAAGCTCAATTTTCAAAAACATTCAATGGGTTTGACCCCCGGTGAGAGAGAAACATAATTGATAAGGATTTTGTGTTGTGCTTAGGTCTTGGGCGTTTAATGTATTTATTTCTATCCTCTATAAGTTTGACGTATAGACCCTTGACACAAGTTCACCAGCTAGCGTGGGACTAGGTCAATTGGTGGATTCTTAAAAAAAAAAAAAAAGTTCTCAAGCAATTTTCTTCAAGATTTTTTACTTATAAAGTTTTAAAAACCCCCTTAAATTAGAATAAATTTCATAAAAACTTTGTGGAACAGTATGTAAAATATGTGAAATCCACATTTAAGTTTGTTTATAAGAAAACTTTTTTACTAGTTTATAGATTTACCTCTTGTTTAAGATCAGAAGCCTCTGCTTCAGCAGCGGAGAGTCGATCATTAAGTGCAGACAGCTGAGCGTCCCTGTCACGCTCGACTCTAGCTATGGCATCCCTACATCGTTTCTGTTCCTCTGCAATACGCTCCTCGCAACGGCATTCGATCTGAAATTATCGTTCTCAAGGTCACTGAAGGTCATCGCTATTAAACCGGTTTTAATAGGGTTGTTGGGCGATGTTTTGCAAAAGATATTAAAGTCCTTTTTAAATCTCAGCTGTATCTATTTTTAAAGTCGTTTATATTTCTTTTTATATACATGTTAATAATTTATGCAGATTTTAAATGGGCAGTTATTGTAAGCTATCATGTAAATGTTATTTTTTTTACTTTAAGTGATTTAAGAAATTGTTTCTCATATAATGCAAGCTAATAAATTCACTGACGCAAAGTATTGAATGAATGACGTGTGTACGTACGTGACGTTTTCATTTATTTTTATTGATGTTTCACGTGGCGCGCTTCATACATAAAGCATAATGCAGACAATTTCCAAATCATTCTAAATTATAATAATTAAGAAGACTACGTTATCATTTTTCATTGGGAGTAATAAATATAAGTAACTCAATCAATTAAATTTATAATTTTATCGTGTTCTACCAATGGTTAGTGGTTTTCAGAAGCGCTCTTAGCTATACCTAAGCTTTGATTAGAAAAAATGTGCTGGTAACAATTGTATGTTTTACCTTTATTTGCAAAATGACGAGAGTTACTGCGATTAAGTGTTAGAATTTGTACGATTAAGAATAAAGTAGTTATATATATTCTATATAATTACCTCGCGTATCTGTTCATCGAGCATGTGAACTCTGGCTTGAAGTACGGCGTTGTCGGCCTTTGCTCTGGCGTACCTTTCGTCTGACGTGCTTTGAGTATCTGCGAGTGACGTTACCTGCTGCTGAAGAAGTTGTACCTATAAACCAAAATAAATGCTCGAGATATTCCTAAATGTTGACCTTCCTATATCTATGTTTTCATAACATATGTTATGTTATATGCCTCAGTGTCACGTGTTTAAAATATTATAAGTTCAATCAAGCTAACATATTGTAAGAGTACACGATACTATTTATATTGAATTTGTGAATAAAAGTAGCAAAGGGCCAGTTACCCTTCTTACAGACAATTTCAGGAAATGAGAAATTATTGCGATTATCAGTTTAGGTAATCAGTTAAGACTGTGATATTTTCGTAAACAAAACATCAAGGTCCTTATGGTTTTAGAATGTTATATAATTAATTGTACAGAATGCATTACTTGTGTTTGTCATAATTTGTATTTCGCATGGAAAATATTTAAAATCTGGACAATGTTAAAAAGCTTTTTATCAAGTTAAGCTACATTACTTGAAACATTACATTATTACATAGAAAAAAAAACGATTTTTAATCAAAACAAACTATCTATTATCTATTTAGACTACTTCTAGTCGATTAAGTATAGATTAAACATTCCTAAATTTTCTACGATCGCATACAGAAACTAAAAAACTTAATAGATTTAGCTAAACTAAAATTGCTCTTTAATTTTATCCTTGAATTTAGTTGATTTAACAACTTTGAGTAAGTTAAGTTAGCTAAGATCAAATATTGATTATTGTAATGAATTTGGATCCGGCAATTACAAAAAACCGTTTGTTGACTACTTGTTTGAATGAGATTTTGAATTTTAGAACCGTCTGATTGCAGATCCTGACCTTGTAAAAGAACATGCATATATTTTTGTTATTACCCAGTAAAAGGTAACGCTCATTTATGGGAATTGACAAAAATTACATTGCATTTAGAGAAACAAAACTATAAGAGTCAGGTCTATACTAGTTACTTCTAGTATTGATATAGCAAAGCAAAGTTATACTAAGTGACTAATGTTGTATGAGTTAAGCGATGACAAACAGGAAGGAATCCATTTAGATTTGCTGAAGAACAGTGAATGACCGGCATAGTGAGTGTAACGTAATACCCTACTAATATAGTATTGTAATTGGTAAACCGAAGCCAGATATAGGTAGGGCAATAGATAATGTCGAAATATCAATATTTGTTTCTTTTTACAAACTGCCTTATTTACTCTGAACGTAACAGACAGGGGTCAATTGTCAGCCCGATCCCGCAAGTTAAGTTATTTATTTTTAATTACCTTTAATTCAATTCCTGAATATTATAAGCCGCGTGACAATATGCTTTACCTTTTTTTATAAAGTAATAACAATATTGCATTTTAATAACTCACGTAAATAAATTGCAATATTGTTACTTATTTTAATAAGATAAAAACTCTTCTCTTAGTGTTAATGGAAGTATAAAAAAAATATTTTAATCAAACGTTAACCAAATCGCAAAATGGTTATCTGTGAAAGTGAACTGTATCACATACTTGTACTAAAAAAGCCGCCAATTACTCGGATCGTTACTTTCACAAGGTTATCTTAGTTTAAATGGTTCTTAGCTGTTTGCAATCATTACAATTGAAAAATATTGTACTTATAAATACTTAATTCATTAGGGCTTTTCGTTGACATCATTTTACAAACACGCAACAAGTTGGTCAAAGTTTATTAGAATAGACCAGTTAAGCATTTTTAAAATGATTATCGATATTCGTATATTCAATTTCCTACTTTGAGTCTAGTACTATGTGTACATATCCATAGACTTTAATGGTGTGAACCACCGAAAACATAAACATTGATTTTATAAATCCTAAAGATAAATTTATCATTAAAAATAATGATTTTTGTCATACTATCTCCAATCGCAACAGTATAATTTTACCATTGATCTATTTTAAAATATTTCTTGGTGTTGTCAGAGATTCGCTTCGACCTCATCGTAACTTCACGGTCTACGGATCTCGAATTAATTTAAAAACTAATTTCCGTTCATGATTTCAGTTTTGTTTGAGTAAATTATAAACTTGACCATCTTCAGGTTAAAACCGACTTCTATAACTTTAATACTATACATTTTTATTTCCTTATAGCCACCATACAAAAGATTTATGACTTGCTTGATAACTTCGATCTTAATTTAACACAATATATTCTGTTTGAAATTTCAAAGCAAAACCAAAAATTCAAATTTTAATAAAATAATAGTTATTTTATTGTCAGTAAAAAACAATTGCATGATAACCCAAAGACTTAGTTGAGCATTGAACCGAATAACTATTATTTTATTAACATTTGAATAACTTTTTAGTATTTTGCATGGTTTTTTTCTTTAGTGTTAATACAAACCTAGGGCCATCTGGCTACACGAATTTTAATTAACTAAAATAATAACATTCCACAGAACAATGATTGAACTCACGCGAACTATGGCGTGTTGACAATTGACATCGTGTTGGCGTTAGATTTAAATAATCCCAAGTGTATTTTTTCTGTCATCCATTAATTTAATTATGAACTGTGTACCTACTACCTTGAAATTCGTAGCTTACAAAATATATCATAATTAATAGCACCGAACGCCTTATTTATACATATATAATGATTTTCTGAATAATGCGACTTACTCAATGGATTATATGTATTATAATTTAGTCACAAGACGAGAAATTCTAATCTACTCGGCATCAGAAAAAGCAAACAAGAGAAAGTGAAATCAATTTCAGATTTCGCATAATTGCTTTAAGGTATAGAATTTATCTTTAATAACCTGACAGAGTTGTAATACAAATATTAGGTTATATATTATATTATCGCTATCGTTGCTTTAATTATAATAATATAACGATAACCTTAAAGTAAGGTCTAGATTATTGCTAGGTCATACAAATAAAGATAAAGCAAACTTAATATGTAATTTGGTTATTTACTTACATTTAGAGATAATATTAAACATATTATAATTAGATCACGTTATTCCCTATAGTACATGACATCGTATTCTATTGAACTTGAACAATAGCGTGATACAATAATAAAACGTATAGAAATAATATAATTAGCTATTAATTCTTTTAAAATAATAAAGCCCTGGTAAGTCATCTCATTACAATAAGGTAAATTGCTTTTTAAAATAGGTGTGATATTTTATCTATGCCCTTGATACGAACTAAAGATTCGTGCATCCTCAAGGAGACATGTCCCGAGCAAGTAATTTCTCAATTATTTCAAAAGTTAAACATGATTGTTATCGTTCAGTACAATCAATGGGTACTCGACTGAATGCTTGAGCTCGTGACTTCCCGGAGCCAACATTTTCTTCCAACTTGTCTAACAACTTTCCACCGTTTGTTAACTTTACATAATAGATACAGGGATCTTTATGTGCGTTTACTGTCAACTATGTAGCACTATGAAATAGCAAAAAATTGTGAACGTTGTTCTAGTTTTTCTTATGCTAATAACGAGGTCGTTGATACAGAGTGGTATGTAACATTGCAAATGTGTATTATACCTAAAAGTAATTATTACAAAACCTTTGATCGCTTTAATGTTTGATCCTTGAGCTAGCAGAAGTTAAACTAAACGACTTTATTCGTAAGTAAACAGTTTTCTCTAATACAAACCCGTATTTATTATGTTGTTTATTTAGACGTTTCGTGTGGTCAAACAAAGACTGCCACATCATGTTGATGTATAATTTATATTAATACTAATTACATACATTAATGCCGGGAGTCAAAAGTGGCGACACTTGTGCTTATAAACCGGACAGCATCCTACAATCTTAAAGACTCGATGTTAAAGGCACTATTCAACAATACTTAAGTACATATTTATAGAAAGTGAAATAGGAATATTTACGTGTCTTGTTAGAATTAGAAGGGTTTCCAGGCGATTGGTAGCGGTTGCGTGGGAAAGAGATATTATTCAACATAGTTTGAATATTTAGAATTCAGCTAAGAACAGTATTAGTTTATTCATGAGACAACGTTGTAAATAATAGTTTGTGTACTGTCATAACAATAAATATAATCACTGTTACAATCTAGCAGAATTTTGAAGGAATAACAATGTACCGTTTAAAACTGCATCGAATTAAATTAGAACTTTTAATTTACTTGTTTTAAAAATATATTCACAAAATTGATCCGGCATTGATTGCAGGGTGTGTTTTTTTTTAAAATCACCCTTTATACAAATAAAATACTCGCGGAAAATGACAACTATTTCATTTTCATCTCAATTGTCAGGTCTGCAGTTTATACAGCCGCCTATATACATATACTCAAAAAGTATCTACATATATACAAAAAGTATGTAGTGTGCCACTGAATGGGTACATAAGATTCTCACAATATTACACATGAGTGTTTAACAGATTTCTCAAGTTAATGGAAATAAGAACTTTACATAACTTACATAATGTAATGGTGTCCGAGTTTATGTAAGTTAATTACAAACACCATTAAACGTATATTTATTAAATTGTGACAATATTTTACTGTCACTTCCTATATACCAAAATCATTAAACGAAACCGATATTCAAATTAAACAAAAGCATGTGATTCTATGATCTATAATCTTAAAAGGTACATCTTTTAAATATAATGAAAAAAGGATAATAAGCTATTTTAAATAAGTCGAATAGTGATTTGGGTCGTAAAATGATCAGGCGGGTAAGCTTGACATAATACGAAATGTTGTTGATCGTTCGATTGTGATTGGTTAACAGCACCTCTCGTCGAACACGTACGTTGACACGCGACTTGATACGTCAAGTTATTTCGTCCGTTTGTCCAAACAAAATAGCACGCAACTTTCGTCTTGCATCTATCGTTTTACATCTCACCCCATTAAAAAAGACATAAAATTGATACGTCAAGTTGTTTCGTCCGTTTGACCAAACAAAATAGCTTGCAACTTTCCGTCTTGCATCTATCGTTTTACATTCTTACCCCCTTTATTTAAAATAAAGACTAATTTATTGAATTAATCTTTTATATCGCAGGTAATAATATCATTATCTAAATCATTTTAGAATTACTGATTTATACTGTATAAAGATAGCGCACGCGAAAATTGACCATGACATAGATTAAGAACTATCAGGAGGTTATTTTCACAGTATATCTATAATATTTATACCACTAGAAAGAAGAAACTTCGCCCGGTATAACATGTGTTTAATTTTATTTTTAAATCTTGTATATGTTTGTGTGTGTTTAGGGCTTCTCATGTGGTATTGTATTAATCGATTCACTACGACATAAAATTGTATCCTGCTGAAAACTTACTCTTATTTTAAAGAAATGGTTGGTGTTTTTTGGTATTAGGTACCTGTAACCTGAGTAATCATCATTTGTCATGTTCTCAGTTTCTGGTTTATTTAATGCGGTAAGGAATATCATGAGACCATTTTTCGATATATGCAATAAAAAGAAGTCAAAAGTAAAACTAATAAATTTACCTAAGACTTGTAACGTCAATTCTTGTCTATGTGTTACATTAGCATTGTTACTTATTAAGCTATAACTTTCTAATTAAAGAGAAAATCATTATACACATGTCATTATTCACAGGTAAAAAATGAAATGATTATGTAATTAGGCCATACATGATGTTTAATTATTCAACCTGCAATCTGTTTTGTCTCGCAAGTGGCAACACATAGTTATGCAAAGTTTCTATACACAACAGTGTTTAGTACGTTGTATCTCGATTCATGTGATAAAAGATGGCTAGATAAGATTTGGACGGTAATTTGGAGAAAAAAAACGAATTTGTTTCTATAGGTTTTCAACTATGACACAAACTGTTATTATTAAAAAAAAAATCGATATTATTCTAAGACAAATAGAGTCGTATTAACTAATGTCATGGCTGCGGTCACAGTTTGATTTATGATTTACACGTACAGTTAAAATTCGTCTATCAATTTATTTCTATCTGTATTTTATTTATTATCTTTATTTTATACCAGCGGGTAGTCCCTTATATATAAATAAGGGACTGCCCACTTAATATTACTAAGTATGTAATAGGTAGACATATGGAATTGCGGACTTTTTTGTACATATTGATGTCTTCTAAAAACAGTAGTAAGTGGTACATCAGTTTCCTCTATTATCAATAGTTTCCGCTGCGTACGCCATATAGGGATTTTTATTACAATTGGTTTTTTTTACAACTTGGGTTACATCAAAGTTTTCCTAGAGATCCCTAACTGTTTTAACTTCTTCATCAGGGATAATTTAGGAATGGTGAAAGAATTTTTCAAATCGGTCCAGTGGTTTTGAGCCTATTCAATGCAAAAAAACAATCAAATTCTTCCTATTTATAATCGCCATCGGTATTTGATTTACATTAGACTAGGCGAGAGGCTTCATAACTCACACTATAAAACCCGTACATTATGGAATAACCATAAACAATATTTTCTCTTAAATATCATCTTGTAAGTACATTCAACTATAAAAAATTATCGCAGGTCTATACATAGATAATCGTTGAGTTATCGTTTCGTGCGTGATTGACTCAATGCAGATAATTCAGAGATCAATACTTTGAAAATCGTAGAATATTTTCATGAAAATGTGCGATGAAATCTAGATTTACGTAATGGAATATTGTCCTTACTAGGCGGAAATAAAGTTGAATTTCCAAAGAACTGGAATCGCGTGTAAACCTAACTTGGAAGTAAATCAATTCAACAATGTGCACGCAACAAACTTAGATTCACGTAATACATGAAAAATTGTTTGCAAGGAAAAATTTTGTAGTATAGAGCATACACAACTTGCGAGTTTATTTAAGAATTGGGACAGGACACAACACAACAATACATCTTTTCTTTATTCATCAAAAACGATTCAGGCCTGAAAGCGTGACAATTTTGCACTAAATCATTAATAATCGTTTACTTATATGGACGTAGCACGAAAGTGTTGAAGTGAAGAGAGTTTAAACACTGTTCACATAATCACTGGGTAAATTGAACGATCACATGGCTTATTCCTATTCAGTACTAAATACTTAAACTTATTACACATTACTTAATTCGTATTCGTAGATAAACAAAACTTTTTTAGTTTTAAATTATGGTCGGGTGTTGAAAAAAAAACACTAAAATAAATAAAAAATGTAGCTTGTAGTAATAACGATAGATTGGTATCTATATTGAATATTACTTCTATTTATCATTCATTGTAGTTTCTTTCTCTTCTACGTTTTCTTTGTTTTGTGTAACTGTTGATAAGTAAATAAATGTAAAAAAAACTATTTGAATATATGCCTACGTATAAGGATTTTGTGTATATTTTTGGACTGTAGGATATATGAGTAATTATAATCCTAATAATAATACGCATACGTTAGGGAAAATCTGTGATGATTCAACTTTAATAAACAATTAACGTCAATAATTGTAAGGTCACCGCGTGTTATATTTATTGTAACGCCGGCCGATTTATTAATAAACTTTCAGGCCAGAAGTTTTACTTAATTGTGTTACTACACCCCTCTGTTAGCTATGCGTCAACACATTACAAATTAGTTATAATAATAATGATCGAAGAATTCATAATTTGTAATAGCGTTTATATAACCTTTCTATTATTTCGTACTCCACAATAAATTAATTGTGTTTTTAAACTTAATGAATAATATGCACATAGAAAGTTTATAATTCATACCAAAAACGGTTAAGGTTTCACAGGAAAACTTTCACAGACAGCAGAACGAATAAATTGAACCCTTACTTGGTCAGATAAATTATCGCACCACTGATGTGCAGGTGTTTTCTTTCCACCATTAAGTCCATTGCTCAAATGTGGAGTTAACGGACCCCCGGTGAATAAATCCTCAGTTAAACTAGTGTCCGAAGTGATCCTTGGTCGCAGATGCGGGTCCTGTGGTCCAACAAAGTCAAATTGTCCGTCCCACATATCGTACTCTAATTCTAAACTCTCTTCAACGTCAATTGATTCACCCATTGTGGCCCTTGACCGGTTAAAGAGCCCAGATTTAAACATTTAGAAATCTGTCATCAGGTCTTTGGAATATCTAATATTGCACTAAATTTATACCTAGGTTTGACTTAAATAGGATTAGAATAGAACAAAGCTTTCAATGGCACAAGTAAGTCTTCACTAATATCTCTTTTGATTTCGTCACAGTTTATTACATTTTAAAATCAATCGCAAAGTTAATTATTGTCGTAAAGCAAAATCAAAATTATGTCTGGTAAGAAAACGCTTCGGCGAAGTCGATTTGAAACTTTCAACGGTTGATCTAACATCGTTTTGTGAACTGACTTCAAGCATCCCGATAAACACCGATAATAGTTTAAAGTTTAGGAAGAGTTCAAAACGTAAACACTGATCACTTGTACAGAGGTAAATTAAACAATCGGTACGTTACGTTCAGTCACAATCGCGTTGAGAACTGAGGCGCGCGGCCTCCCGCCCCACCCATGCACGTCATGATTATCAGTCTGCCAGCACTATAACCCATACAAATAAACATTATTCGCTCCCTGCACATATGCACGGGCTTGATAGACAGTGTCGAGGCAATAACCCCTTGCTCTGTGCTTATGCTCCCCTAGCCCGCTTACATCTCATAATTTAACGGACGAGGGACCGTCATGATGGCCTGAATATTCGCCTTCGTCACATATGCTTTATCATCACGTTATATAATTTGATATAGCAGAGATAACTGTAATTAATTAGTTTCGGAACGAAATCAAAATGAAAGTGAACAATATTGAGAAAAAAATGCTATTGCAATATGTTTAATAACAGATTCAGTACCTAGTGTTTATAGGTAATTAGTAAGTTAGCACGACGAATGTCAGATAAAAGAAGAGAAACTGACGAATTTCAATTCAATGATTAATAAATAGGAGTTTGTATTAAAAGATAATACAGCGTTAAGAGTAACGGACATTGAGTTGTGTGAAATTAGTCTTTAAATTGAATATCCACACTATTGTGAGCTATTGTTAGTTGTTTTACGGATAAAAGTAATAAAAGTGTATTATATTGTAGTACATATAATATTTAACGAAAGAAATTTATAATTTAAAGTAATTATTAGTAAATTATTACCTAGGAGAAAGTTACATTTATCAATAAAGAATGTTTACTCGCATTTTTAAACAAGTGCCCATATGACTACGTAATGTTCGCTTTATCTGTAGTTGCTACTTGAAAAACCATTATCTACAAAAATAGATAGAATGTTGCTGGTATTCCGAACATTCATACCAACAAAGACCAACATTCTCGTAATAATTTCCGGTTTTTATGTCTAGTGTTAATATAATACTTGTAATTTCTCGTGTTTATCTTGATGGAGATAATAAAATGAAGTGTAAGAAATGTGCAAAATGAGAACAATGCTCTATTAGTTGCATCGCTGAGAAACACTTTGTGAATTGTTTGCTGGATTATGTCAGATGTAAATAATACTGGAGAATGAGCGATTTGTTCGAAAGATTAAATAATTTAAGAATATTAAATGCACTTACCGGATATGTTAAAATATTCGTCGTGCTTAAAGACGATAAAAATATTAATATTTAAGCACTGAGGTAAGACTTCTCATTTTATAATCGTTCGTTCGATGCATAAGTTTCGTTTTGAAAATTTTATTGCCTACTTTCCTTAATAAAATTTTAGATTACCTAACATGCCAATTAAGTGAGAATTAAGCAATATTTTAATATCATTTCTGCAATTTCTTGAATATGAAAGTTACTGACACAAAGTCTACTCGACATTGAAAATATAAACTAAGTAAAACGTCCTAATACAGAATGATTTTAGTTAGAACATTTGACTTAATTCAAATAAGCCACGTGAAATCTCTTGCAGTTCCTGTCTTGAATAAAAGTCAATTCATTAAAACGAATAATTATTAATTTATCTAAATTAGGTAATAGGAAAGGGCGAATACAAAGCAGGCACGACGCAGGCATATCTTCAGGCGTTAATTTTGCACGAACCAATTCCTTCTATTCACAATGGGGATAAATTGTACCTGACATGGTATTTGAAATCAATGTTTCTTTACAAATAATACCGTCATATTCTGCCTGTCTCACGTCAGTTTGACTCGAAGAGTCGGTTTATTGTTATGTTCAGATTGTTTCTTGATTCTTGATGGATTTTGAGTACGCATAACTGTTTTTATAACCTAGTTTTATAAGGGAGTGTTTTAGTCTGTTTCATATAGAATGGCTTATTTCACAGTGCGATAGAGTTAAAAGATACGCGATCATTAAAAGAATTATAGAACCACAAAGTCTAGATCCGAGTTCAAGATACGCCAGTCTTTGGACTGAAAAAAATGGATCGATAGTTATTTTTGCACGGCCCATTTACATGACGACGACCTCCCAGGGTTGCTTTCTTGTTGGGAAGATACCATATGCAAAATACTTGCTGTTTCGTACGTCAAATTAGGTCAGTAAGAAATAACTGTAACTATGTTTTATCGTGTTTTCGTAATTCTATAACATATTGGCTCTGACGAGATTACTAGATGTGTTATATCTATTCAGGTACATTTTCCTGAGAAAATCAAAATAATTGATAAGTAGGTATCCTTGAACTGATAATTTTTTATAACGTAATTCAATTTTAAATGTAATTGATTAACGTTGGACGAACTAACGCCTTTGTGGTCAAGGAGAAAGCAAACATTATGACTGAAATGATTTTATTTAAATGCGAAAGATAAATTTGATAAAACTATTCATATTATTTCTTATATTACATGAATTGCACGCATATCATTGTTATTAAATTAAGCGAAATAACACCCAAAGATAACAATTAGTACAATGCAGCGTATTTTCACACGGGTTCCTTAAGCTTTTCACATGTTTTTCTTGCGTTAGATAATGCAGAAGTTGTACAAATGCTTGTTACGTACTATTTAATCTCTTCTTGATGATTGTGTTTTGTTTACTGGGAGTGATATTATTGACCTTAGAATATTGCAGGAAAAAACACGCGATCGGACTATTTTAAGCACAATAAATCGAACGTATAATATATTGTTGTAGATGAAAAGAAATAATGTTAGAGTCAAATGATGATAAATTCGTTCAATTTATAAACCTCTTCCTATCTTTACGGACAAGTCATAAGTGTACAAAGTGTTACCAATATGATTAAATGATTTTTGATTTTTTTTAACCTTTTATACTTGGTCAGTTTATCATCTAAATTGACTAATCTTTATGATCTTATGGACATGAGGTAAATCGAAGATCTTATCTTAGTGGATTGACGAATGATAAAACAGTTTGATAAAGAAAATGAACAACTTATACAACACATAAATAACAAACTAGTATATGATACTCGTTATATAAGTGTGAAGTACATGAAAGAAGGTTGCACTTACGTCCTTGATGTGTGAAGGTTTTGAATTACAGATGCGCTTCAATGAAAACATTAACTATACAGGTATAGATTGTAAGTACTATCAACAAACCAAGAGATGTTTACGGAATTGATTGTTCGTGAATTACAAAATTTGCACCTAACTTAATTAAGAAATATTTCATATATTTATGATGTGCCTTGCCTAAATTGTTCTGTTTTCAAATAATATAAATACTAAAAACGATAGTTTAAAAAATGCAATCCACCACTGAGTTTAAAAACTAATGCCTTTTGAAAAACAGAAATAACTACTACTATACTAGTTAGATTACGTCTGAAATATGTGGTTTCATATGGACAATACTATCTAGAGGTCATATGGACTTTGTGGTTTGCTTTCTATTCTAATATTATTGTCTTCCAAAGCTATACTTAATATGTGCAATTCCGAATGTAAGAAATGTTTATGTAAATTGCCGCCCACGTAAGCCAAAATCAGTTAATTTATCCCAACAATTATAAGTATTTTGTCCCTCTATCCTTGACACAATTCAGCCCACAGATTATAGACGCCCACTCCTCTATTGTTTACTGGAATGTTTTAGATATTGGTGTATAAGCGTCTATTTCGTTGTTGCCAATTTTTAAACACATTTTTGGTATTACTTAAAACATAAAGATGGATTATGTTATTTAACTAAAAGCTCTTCATTTTAAAAAATGTATAAAGAGCAAATAACTAGTTTTATTATAAAATTTTTACTAAATGTTAAATTTGATAAGATTTAATTGTTGTTATGTAAGGAACATTACTTGGGCCAAACAGCCTATCATTGCCTGGAAGTATTTAAATTATACCTTCATAAGTAATAATGCTGCGAATGCAAACTCTGGGCGGATCGTTAGTACTTCATGAGGGCGTAGTTGTAACTCAAGCCTCTAAGTCTAGGTTAATGCGATACTTGGTCTTCTACGACCTTCTATGGTTTCCGTATAGGTCATAAACTGACGCAAACCTTCAAGACAAGAACTAATCTTTGTATGCATTGATTACATTACAAGATTTATTCTTGTTAACTGACTTTTCTAGGTCTTCGGGGCCACAAAGACCATCCAAACAAGAAAATAGCGGTTATGAGTAATTAAATATGCGTTTTAATACTGCAGTCATGTCATCTTTGTTTATATAACGGTTATGGAATGTCTAATGAGTGACTGCCCAAAATACGTACTGCCCATAATATATAATCGATTTTACTACAATCAAGTAGGTAATGTTTGAATAATTCCTCAAATGAGATTATTGCAAACAATTCACTTTCAATAGGTATTAGGGGCAGCTACAATGTTGTGTACGATTTCTCTGAACTTATTGTCCATTGCATTATGCACAATTTAGAAGTCAAATGCAGTTCGTATTCTTAGAAGTTAATGCTTTGACTATAGCAATACTTAGAGTTTAACAGCAAACCTAAAGTTGTGCAACACTGTAATGTGAAGTACTGTCGCCTACGTGATTTTCAATATAGGCCTGGTCCTTACAAACATTACATCCAGATTAGAAAGTATGGTAACTTATTTCTCAAAATTATCAATCTACCTACTATGAAATAAAAAATATGAATTATTAATTTTAAACCCTTATTCAAGTGCATGACTTCAATATAAAATCAGCGTTTATCATAAGGTACACGCATTTGACCGGAAGCGGCGCACGCGCAGCTGAGGATCGTTTCCGTCGACCATTATTGATACGCATTGTCTAATGATGCGATACTTGTATTGTTTGAAATCCTTTCCTTGATATTCAAAACAACACGTTTAATATACATTATTACGTTCAATGACCCCATTCAACGTAATTATGGACAAATTATATCATAGTTTTTATATGCTTGTGTAATAGCCGGTACAGGACAGATTTTTATGAAACATGCAATGAGAGAACAGGTGTTCGAAACTTGAAAAACAAAATTATATCTATTTTAAATTACACCTAATATTTCTGATATAACAACAATACTGATATCTAATCAAATAATAAGGATATATAAAAACCACCCTTGTCATATATGGCAATACCTACAATGATTATAAACATTATAAGGATCCATAGACTTTCTTCTTCTTTAGAAAAAATGGTTTTGGTATTTCACCCTACATTTGCACGCTTTTAGCTACGTAAGCATTGTAAAAATGTAATGATATACACTACTTGTACATACAATTGGTACTTATCCTTTGCATTAAAATTTTGATTTAATAACTACATAAAATTTGCTAGAAAATCTTGGATTTTTGCCAACGTGACTTGTTTTATTAAAATAGAAATATTGTTTATATATAATATAGCTATTTTTTTATAAGCTAACATAATAAACATGTTTTCACTAGATAATAATAAACGCCAACAAAAACGTGGTTTTAATAATTTATTAATTACCCGTTTATATAGAACAAAATGTGAGGAAAGTTAATCAAGGTCAAATGTTATGTAATTCAATATGAAACAGTGAAAAAGTTATATTGGAATATATATTGAAATTTATTGCTATATATTGATTGTATAATTATGCACCAAAAATTAAACTAAAACTAGATATTTCGTGAAAAACATTTTCATACGACAAATATAGAAATTTGCAGATATTATGTGTCTATCTTTATATACGTTATACAATAGTTTTATGACAAAATACGCACAAACAGTTGTTAGATATAATTTCCTTCTTAGGTTTGTTCGTGCAGGATTCACGTTTTAAACTTAAAAATGCTTTAAATCTGAAATAATTGTATTAATTCCTTATATCCTATAAGATTCACCGCTATTCTAACGAAATTAACGCTGATGCTTAGTCATTGCGTATGGCGGATGGTGATTTCATTTTATGACGACGAGACCTATTTTCAGCCAACCCTGGGTTAATCATGAAAATTGTAATGTGAGATTGCTCATGCCTGTTCAAACAAATCTTACTAATATATTATTAATTTATTTCCATCCAAATTGATATACCTAGTAGGTAAATATATCATGTGCAAGCCCACACAACAAGGGCGTCGCCAGTATCTGCCCTCCGGCCCCTAGGGATTCGAAAAAACCTCTTTTTAAATAGTTTGTCAATTTTTTATTTAACTGTTTAAACTTTAATATATCTTATTACTTTTATTGTTATCGTTTACGTATTTCATTTATTGTACAGTCAGAGCGTTGCAGTTTTCACTTGCTATTGTTATATTGACTCCAAATGTTTCCAACTGAAAAATATTGTTTCAAAAGTAGTTGTAACCGATATAGGGATTAATATATTTTAAGTATTGTGCCAGCTCTTAGCAATATTTCAAAAAATCCTGACCAACTGAAAAATAATAATCTTATAAAATCAGGACTAGGAATAGTTCTTAAAAGAACTAATACGAAAATTATAAACTTGTAATTTATACAAAAGTGAATCAGTTTTATACAAAAGCAGTACAGCTGCGAAATTTCACATTTTTTTTATAAAATTCCAGCGTTTTGTTATCGTCCGAGGGCTATAGCTAAACCCGTTCTATCAAACTATCGGACGACATAAGAATATTGGTCTGAAGGTCAACTTTGTAACTACCAATTGCGTTAAGTGCTCGCCGATAGTGTAGATTAAGATTAATTAAGGTAGTTATATTTAGTATATTACACCCTTATTGACGTTATAATCCAAATAACACCAACTTTAGTTCTGACTTCTGAATGTCACACTCTGCATAATAACATGTCAGCGAGGCAGTTTTGAAGTTTATATTATTAAGTCGGTAATTTTTTTTGTTTGTAAAAGCTAAAGACCTCACACGACCTAAAATTAAGTATTATCGCTTGATGAATTCGCCACACGTTTGCATAAATTAAATCGATATCTCTTAGGAAGGAAGTCGTCAATTCGCCAAAGTATATGGGACAATGACAAATGCCCGATAAAAACTTTACATTGAAATTACGCGTTTTCTTAGATGTGCTGTGTAGTTACTACTTCAATCAATATATGTTATAATTTATAATTATAGATATGTATATAAAAAGAACCGTGCTACTCTGGTACGGAATTTAATACCCAATTAAAAACGACTGATTTAGGGAGTGAGACCGTTTTTAGCTTCGGATCTATGGTGAAATATTTTAAAGAAACTGTTATATACGATTTTGCGTATTACGATAAATCATTATGAAAACAAAGATTTAACAGACAAAGAGGCGTTAATAGTTGACAACTTGAAGCTTATGTTTGATTGTATGCTTTAGAAGGTATTGATTTTCTGTTGTAACACTTACAGCCAAGGTAAACAATTATTTAATAGTATGTTTTCACAATATACGTAGGCTTACAAAATAGTCATAGAACAGAAATAGGTTAAGTAAGGTGCGAAAGGCATAATTTTTTACTAGCATGCTATATGCTTCTTTGGCTAAAGTCATCTTCACTATAGCGATTTTCGTGCTAACCACTGATGTCCTACCCGCCTCCATTGCTTCGAAAGGCATTCAGAGATTTTAATGTCAGCTCTATAACTTCTTAAAATGCTAAAATGTTTATATATTACTTAAGATAATATTTTTACTTAAGGTAACTTAGTAATAATTCAAAATAACGGCGGTAATTTAAAACTTACAATGAACCTTTCATACAGTTCATAATAGAAGAAAAAACATTATGCGATAAGTGATATGTGACATACCTTATAGTTAAGTCCCTGCACATCTTCTTCTAATGAAACATCTGAGTACATATCGTCAGCTGGCTCTCCCCCCGACCCGCAGCCAGACGAGTTGAAGGACGACGACCGGTACAATTGGCTAAAACAATAACAATGTCACATTCCTTTATTCAGGTCTCAGGACATCTTAAGATGCAATAGCATTGGCAACGCCATCTATTGACAACCATGAGCATAACAACGCCATCTGTGTTCTTACTAGGTAAGAACTTCTTTAACCAATTGTTGAGTTGAGATTTCCTGACGCGTACAATAGATGGCGTTGATATATATGAAATAAATTTACGTATTACGAAAGATGGTGCTAAATAAAAATGGTTACATTTAAAAAGAAATCAAATGAAAAACATGAAAATATAACTATATAATATTTACCTTGCTAAGACATTGGAACCGATTTGTCGTTTCCCAGAACTGTAACAAAGAAAATATTAAATTATAAAATGAATCGTTAATATTTTTTTACTTTAATGAAACCGGATTCTGAAATATAATTTTGATATATCGTTTTGATCAGTTGTTAAATATATCGGCTATTACTCTCAGACAAGGTTTTATCCGAAATACTGTCTTTCTTTAATTATGACATTTTTTATATGTTTACCGCTAATTTTACACACTTTCTGAGTTAAGATTTTAAGTCTTACGTATTAGATTTTTAAATTTACTTCCCTAAAGAGAATATTAAGGTCCAATTTCAGCATGGGACAAATACTGCGTTCGTGTCCTTATGTAATATTGTTTATTGGTGGTGCCGGAAGCCATAGTTAAACACATAAAAAACCTATCATGTTTAGAAGTTTACTTAGATTTTTTATTAAGTTCTAAAATTATTTATAAATATTAACAAGGTTAAGTTAAAAGGGAATCTATGTATTTTTTTCTTTGAATTTTGTGGAGGAAGGAAGGTGCTCCTCTTCCTTCGAACTAAAGGAAGAATCGACCGGTTTAACCACTGACTTGCCCGTTGCCCCCAGAGGCTAACTTCGAGAAGCCGTATATATGACGTTTAAGGTATGACGTCATCGTAGTGATTTGTGGGCGAAGATTATAGGTGTCGCTACATCTTTTTAAGAGGAACAATTTCGTCATATTTTTTAAATTAATAACCGTTTTAGCAGCGCACGCAACGGAAGCTCTCAATAAGGTAAACATTTTTGCAATATAATTGATACTACTTTTGGTAGTGGCGTGTGTTATAAAGCCTTCCTCGATAAATTTACTATCCTACATTAAGAAATGTTTAATTTGTACCAGGAATTCAGCTATACAAACTCTTCAGAATTTAAATATGTATAAGGATAAACTAATTTATTTTGGTATTCCCAAAGCCCTCTAGCTGAGCACGTTTCTTCATTTATTCATAATTTTCACAGTAAGTTCCATTACGCCTACAGAAACAATTATTATTTCACCGGGGATCGAACCTAGAAACTTTGAAGATATGCGTTTTTTCTAAATGAGTTATTCGTAATTCATTATTTTACATACAATATATGTATTCTTAATATAAATATAATTCACGTCCGGTTATGTTTTTCTGGTATTTAGGAGAAAGAAGGAAATATTTTTCAATGCAATCATCATTTAATGTTCCATTCTTGTACCATTATGTCCATATGTACGTAACAATTGTTGTGTAATTAGTTTCTAGGTTAATTCATAAAAACTGTATAGAGAAACATTTGACGAAAACATTTTTGGCTATACTTAATTTACGCTAACAATATTTTATTTCTAATTATTTAATTTATAATGTTATTAACCATATGTTTATTTAAAAAAAGATTAATTACGGTATTCCAATTTAAATATTGTATCTCCTGAGTCGTAATCTTCATTGCTGAAGGTCAGGTCACTTTAAGGTGCCTGAAGCTCTGCTAGTGATATCTCACCACTTTGTTCAGTCTATAGCAGTGTTTCCCAACGTGGGGCCCACGCCCCACAAGGGGGAAATTTGATTGTTAAGGGGGTTATTTTAAATTCTGGAATTCGAATTTCAGCTTTACATTATTATTTTTTTAAATTTACTTACTGTGTGTACATAAGAATTTTCGAAAGACTAAGGTGGGGCTTGGCGCAAAAAAACGTTGTGAAAGACTGGTTTAAGCGCAGCTATTAAGAGACCCATGAATCCTGGTCCTTGGTCACACCAGCATGTTGGCGATCGGCCCCGCTGTTGCCTTCCACCTTGGCGACAACCAGCTTGTCCAGGTTATCTCTTTCGCGACGGGCGATATGACCAAAGTAATTTAGAATTCTTCTACAGCATGTCGTTGAATTGCGTACAAACTTTGTATTGATCCAATTACCAATAGTTTATCAAATAGATTTAATATTATTGACTTAAGACTGTGGTTGGTTCGCTGTAGTCTCAAATCTCATGTGTTTGTGATTGGTAGACATATTGTGATTTAGTAAAATGTTATTTTGCTTTAAAGCCACGAACCATACTCACACAGACGTACGTCAATCATCAAACTTTTGATGCGACCCAACCGCATTAAGAACTTAGCTATGGCATTGCGGTTACACCTTTTTTGGATCCTCATACAGTACATAGGAAAGTACTTCCTTTCACAAGGGGATTCTTGGTGGGACCGACGTGAAATCAGCGCAAATGATAGATAGGCAGCCGGTAGCCGTGAAATTGTTCAAGAAAGCGACGCACTCACGTATTAATAGATGATATGTATCTACACAGAAACGCTATCTTGAAATACAATATAATTAGGTTTTTCATCTTTATATATATATATATACATGGGGGCCAAAAAGTCGTGGATCAAACGCAAATAGGGGATAGATGAGGTCATCAGCTGCAAAAAATTGTTCTACGGGAGGTCTCTAAGCTCAACCCCTGCAGAGTTATAATTTATTTTGCGTTTTATAAGAAAATTGACTTTTTTTTACTAATTCTTATTAAAATTCGGAAAAATCTACATCCTTTGTATATATATAAATAACTAGTCTGGCCATAAATACAAATATAAACTTTACATATAAACTTTTCTTTTTTTCAACATTGTAATTATTTTGAATTTGGAACACATATATTATTTTAAAAACTTCTTTCGATTTTGCGCCATTTCAGATGTTTTTTCGTGTTCATTATCAAATAATTACAATATGGAATGATACAAAAAATAGGATTGGAGTGATCGCTTTGCACAAAATGAGTATGGAGCCGTCGGTCATATTCCAGATACTTCAAAAGCTTGGTATCAGACGTATGTTCGTATATCGTACTATCAACAATAACACTTCGCCTGTCGAAGACCATATAAGATCGGGGCGACCGAGTGCTGTTAGAACTAAAAAGGCTGTTAATGCTGTTAAAGGCAGAATTCGTCGGAACCCCTAACCCCGTCCTAATGGAAGCAAAAAAATCTTATCGCGAGAAATGAAGGTTCCCGCTAGGACTCCGTCGCGTATTATAAAACTAGACCTAAAGCCCGGTGCTTTTCAATCAATCTTTACAATTAAAGAGAGTGGATCGATCAAAACGCCTTCTGTCGCGATACGCAGGTGAAAAGCACAGAAACATCCTCTTTACCGATGAAAACATTTTCACGATTGAAGAACACTACAATAAGCAAAATGATAAAGTGTACGCTCACAGTTCTAAAAAAGCTGCTCCAGTGGTCAGAAAGGTACAACGTGGTCATCATACTGCGTCAGTGATGGTTTGGTGGGGCGAGTCTTATCAAGGAGTCACAAACCTAAATTTTTGTGAAAAAGGAGTGAAATCTTCAGCCAAAGTGTATCAACTAATTAAACTCCTGCGAAACGGCTGTACCGATTTTGATAATTCTTTTGTCAAAAGTGGATTTAAGAATGGTTTAGATTGACAATTTAGACTCGTGTACAGGACGTATTGCCAATCTAAACGTCGTACATACACAAGTACATTAAGCTAAAAGAAATATGCAAAAAAGCAGTGCCTGAACTGACATCTGATTATTTACTGATTGCTGAGTAATTCATTGTAATTGGTATTCGTTGTAAAGAGTAACGGGGCTGGTCTAATAGTTATATTATACAGTTTATTAATAACGTGATATGAGAGTTGAAAAACAAAAGCTAATTCAGTGTGTGTTTAAAGATTTAGCTTTGAAAAACAAGCCCTATTTACTTTGTATACAGTGTTGTTGTTCATCCAAAGTCAGTTAAAGAAGTAATCGTAAACCGTATGAGGTACATTTCAATGTTGATGTCATGACATGCATAACTAAATCGATGACTATATTCAAGTTCAACGACTTATAAATTCGATTCGAATTCGATTTTTAAAGTATCTATATTTTTAAATTACGAATGTGTTCAGTCCAAAGACTATAAACTGAATTGTATTGTAATAAAAAATAAATTTTGGCATTATTTTAAATATTTGAATTTCGATTGATTTTAATAATACACCACTATTCTAATGTGAACAATAAATATAAAAATATTTATGAATAATGGTAATAGAAAATATATACTAACTATGTTAAATTATATCCGATTTAACACTTTCAATGTCGAAAATGATTCTCATTAACATACATTCTCTTAAACTAATAATTAGAGCATAACATTTTATGTTACAACGCTTGTAAATTTAAAATTCGAATTTCAAACTTCCTGTTACCACCATTGGTTTGTTTAAAATTATTTCTCTATTTATTCCAAATTTAAAGTTATAGATCTGTTATGAGATGTTTTATATTGATTTATTTAAAATAGCTACTATACGTTTTAAATTTAGAACAAACGTAAGAAACAACTTGCAAAACAATCTAATATTTATGTAAATAAAATGTTAGCCTTGACTAAGTGGGTATTATTTTGAAATACTGAGCTTTGATAAACTCGAATTAAATCACGTATAAAGAAATATATAACCACCTGTAAGGCCGCTTTCTGTAATGCATGTGAACACTTCGTCGCTCCAGCTTTGTAAATTCCACAAAATTTTAAGAAAGAATTTTTTAATCACTTCACGCACATCACCCGGTTTTTATTCATAATATAAAAGTAGGAGTTACGTATACAACGTAGCAGTAGCGAAGCACTGGCCAGTGGCCGTATGACTGGCGCATCATTGTGGTAATAAGGTACTGGGCCATAACACATTTATATAAGGTATGACAGACACTTGGATTGTTGATCCGTCTACGCGCTTTGATTTTTGAATGTACTTCTTTAGGCGCGTTATGAAAAATTGATGAGAGTGAAATTTTACGATTGCGCGCGCACCTATGACACAAAATTGGCAGTGTGATATAGCGTGCGCGAGCGAGATGGGAATAAGACAAACTACAAGTAAAAAAATAGAATATGCGTGAAGTTAGCAGCTTAACAAGAATTTTGAATGACCATGACAATTGACATCGGACAATGACATTTACCTTTTAAACAAATATAGGAGT